GCAGCTGATGAGCACGGAGGCAGACGGCGTCTTCTCGTCCGCAACTGTAATTTTCTCATTTCAACTCCTCAAATAAGCAGGGTGGAAACCTTGAGGGGTCGTGGATTTAAATCAACTGGTCACTTGTGACGGATATTGGTACGTTTCGAGACATGTGCATTGAGACTTCTTCACGAGGGCACACCCTAGCAGCGACACATTTTGATAAAGATAGGATTTTGTTTTCTTACGGGCCCATCGCGTGACGTAAACCACGGACACGAACAAAAACAAAGTTTAGAAAATATATTAAAAGATCGAACCGACCAGGTTGCGAACCCATGCAGCAAAATGCAAACGTATCAAACTGCTGCTAGCGCTATGCGCTGCGCCACGGGGCAGTTTTGATCCCCTGGGTTCGAATCCAGGTTGTGCCGATCTTTCCTTTAATATATTTTTTTTATATAAATGTTTTCATACGTGGCCGTGATGTGGTGCTCACTTATACAATCGTAAACGCTGCAATGGATTTGTGATGCGTTTTGAAGATTTTCAGCAATATGTTTGTGAATGTGTGACGAATCAGGGAATTGAGGCGGACACATCTGCAGCTGTGGAGTGAACTCAAACACGCACGCGTAGGGAAACCAGTAGGTGGAAAAACCAGTAGGGGTGTAACACCGGCAGATCGGAGCGACACCGGGCGGGTATCCCAGAAAGCCATGCGGTTGAGGGAGCTGTCACTCATGATGACACGCCCCTCCCAGATGATGCCCCGCCTCTTACGCCACATCAGGGTCAAAAGTCTGACGCAGAAAACAAATATTCAAATGCAATTGACGAGGTTGAATTTAAAGACACAGGTGCATTTTTAAATCTCCTTCAAATGTTGCTCAATCCAGATGCTGAGATGAGAATAAACCCTCAGGAAGCCTTGGAACATTCTTTCGTCACCATGAGTCACCTGGCAGACTACGCTCACAGAAGCTCTTATACACACGCTGCCTTTGACCTCATGGTCGTCTGCCCTGCGTGTGATTCAGACAAATGTCATCAATATCTTAGCAACATGAAATCAACTGCAACCTCGAAACGGTTTGGGTTCACCATTACACAACCTCCTGTATTCTTTATCCTGCCCTCCACATCCCCCCGTATCCCCCTCTCAGTGTTTAAACTATTATCTTTGATTTCTAATGTTCAATTAAAACTTAATCACAGTCCCCCTTGTGCCAGTACCTCCGTGGCCCTCTTCGTTTACCATATAACCTAACCCCCGCTGAAACAGGGTTCCACGGAAAAGATTCCATGCTACCTCCTGATTTTCCAGGTAGCATATTAAGTGATGATCTATAGGCCCCTGAAGCTTTCTGCCCCCATCCACGCCCCCCACCTCCCCTCACACACACAACCCCCTATGACACCTGACTACTTGCTTGATTTAAAAGATGTGCCAGTCAAGTCTCTTATCTGTGGAATGCTGTTTTAGTCAAAATTAAATAAATGAATAAATACGTAAATACATGAAATATGCATTTGAAATACATCATGAAATAAATAAATGAGGCAATAAATACATAAATATTAAATACATTTAATTATTTCATGGTACTTTTATTTCATAATGCCACTTTTCATTTCCAGAGTCTTTTATTTCATAATGCCACTTTTCATTTCCAGAGTCTTTTATTTCATAATGCCACTTTTCATTTCCAGAGTCTTTTATTTCATAATGCCACTTTTCATTTCCAGAGTCTTTTTTTTCATAATGCCGTTTTACATTTCACGTTCTTATATGCAAATCAGGGGGCGTGGCTACATCTAACATTCAGAACAGACAACAGAGCCTGTGCAAAAGAAGGCTTGAATCACCATCCTTTGACATGAACAAATGAAAATGATTTAAAACAAAAGATGACAGATGGCTGTATATTAAAGGCACACATTTCAACATCAAATGAACTTCTATCAATCAACTTCGGCAGTACTCGCATCACGGTTAAGGGCATAGATTACTCCCATCAGCAATCAGCACAGGATCTGGCGACATCAATTCCCTGCAGGATCTCGGTACACTACGCACTACGATGGTTGCACGGCCATCACCAATGATGGCAATCTTCATCACTTGCAAGGTCTACGTCAAGCTTCTCCACATCCTTGTAAGGGAAATTAGAAGGTGTTAGGATGTATAAAATACATAGCTCAAGCTCTTCAGGGTGATGTGCATTAGGGAATGTAGGGTGACCACGCATAGCGGAGGCGGGTGTATTAAAACAGCCATATCTCCACGCGGGGAGGCTGCAGTTCAAACAAAATTAAAAAGTAAAAGCGTAATCAATTACTTACGCTGTAATGTTTGAAAAGGTCCTCCTCCTTCTCTCCAAGATAGACTATGAGGCAGCGAATGGCAATTTCTCGGCGCTTTTCAACTGTGTTGTCCTGATTCATGCAAAAAATAGATCAGGTGTTCAATAAAAATCAGATGACCCAAATAATGACAATTTAAAAAAAAATGATTATCAGTATAAAATAGACCTTGTTCATAGCAGCCATTTTGACATAAAAACTGTGAGGCAGATTAAAATAAAGGTCTATTCATAATAAACTCATTATACCTCAGGAAGCATGTCCGTAATGGGCCTTATCTTGAGGCCTGCAGCTCCGACCGGACTGCGGTGCACACAAACGCGGTGGCGAGCTAACCGGAGCGCCTCGCCCGCCATCCGGTTGCAGGTTGCATCTTTGTCTTACAGTAGGCTATCAGCAACAGAATCTTGAACCAATGCAAATATGTGTCATTAAGCATAAAATGACTTACCATTCACCACAACGCTTCGATGAACCTTCGATATGCTCGCTCGCGTTAGATTGGTCCCTTTGAGACGGAGCGGGAAACTCTGGGCTGTTTCCACGTCATCAAGTTATATTTTACGTCAACAGAACTTAAAATTAAATTATGTTTTGATTAACTGATTAAACTCAGACAAGTCATGATTGTATATTGAATCAATAGGCGTAATTTGTGTGTCCGAGCTCAATAAAATAACAATTATAAGTAAAAACTCTAATAGAATTTCTAAACGTTATTTTTTGTAATGACTAAAGGTCCCCTGAATTAGTTGTTCCATTCTCATTCAATGCAAACTAAATGTTATAAGTGTGTTACAGGCAAATTTATCAGCTTTCATCAAGTTAGATTCCTGTCTTCAGCATCGGTGGCGCTCGTGCAGGACGTCGTCGTGACGTCATGAGGGGTCTTTGTGATCTCGGAGAAGATGGGAGGGAGTGATGAACGAATCCAGCAGCTCGGATGAAGCTGCGCCGCAGCAGGTTTTCCGATGTGTTGCTATGGTGATTTAGACAAGCCTGAACTACGTCATCTCATCCTGAAGATGATCCGGCTAACTAGAGGAACAGGGCCTCTTTGTATGGCTGTTGTTAAACTCCACACTGTTATCATGTAAGACATTTAAACCTGAAAGCCCGTGTGTCTTTCTAATATTGAAATACAACACTGCATTATCACAACATCTGCACCTAGAATGCACTTGTGAAAACACCTGGAACCTACAGATCCCCAATAAATTCGAGCTGAAACAGGTTTTCTCTTCAAACCAATGGAGGCCAATCTGGGAGAGAGTTAGAAGACAGTGGTTGTAATGCTGCACTTGGTTCATATGTCCATGATACCGTCATGATTACAGGAGTGTGCGAATAAACCCGATGCAAGCGACCTAAGACAGTTGGATTGTTTCATGTGCATAGACTCGACAAAGATGGCCATTGTTTACAAAACTGTAAGACCCGCAAACAAAATGTATTTACCGAATCAACCAAACCTATTGTACTATAAATATATAACCGCCACTATGCAACGTGATGTGCAGATAATGCGTTGCGCTCCCGGACAAAGATCACGCAGTCCTCGCTGAACGCGCGCACCCAACCGTTGCAGGCCTCCCATTGGCCGAGCGGCACGTCACTCCCCCGCGGTGCGCGGTAGGTTGCAGAGCAGGGGAAGCGCTGACTGCGGTTCATAGGGCAGCACACAGCAGCGTACGCCGCCGGGGACATCGATGGTGGAGTACGCGTCCATCGAGGGAGAGGTCTGACAGAGACCGCTGCTGGGGCTTACATGGAGAGCTGGAAGAGAACATGAGGCCATCGCGCGTAATGATGTACACGTCTCCGGCTCTCATATTTATTCTGTTTGGAACGGCATATATTGGATTTTCGGAAGCGGCTGCGCGCATCAGTCCCTCCGATGGCTCGCCTGTCTCCGGGACGCCCGGCTCAGCCTCCGGCGCCCGGGAGACCTTCCGCGCCGACGCGCCGGGCACATTACGCGAACCCGCTCCCGGGCCTCTGACCGACCTCGCACGGCCGCCTGCCATTGTTTCGCCCGGCCCGAGCAGCACCAGCAGCGGCCCCGCGACCAAACCCGCCACCGCGGACCCGAGCGCCACCTCCGCTTCCACCACCACCGCCGCCCCCGATCCCGGAATTATTTCACCCGTCTGGGGGAAGATAACCAGATTAACCAGCGCACGCAAAAGATCCACCGATGCACTAACGTCCCCCTTTTCCCCGGATAAAATGCTGCAGACCATGGGGTCCATGGCGTCCCAGCGCACGGCCAACGACGCCTGGGCAGCAGATCACATCGGCGCGTCTGCTCCCTCGGTAGAGAGCAGCCAAGGTGAGTGACGCCGCCTCCCGACCTCCTGCTTCTCCTGTGGAGTAACCGATGGCCTGCGCGCATTTCTAGTGTTCAGGATCGGAGCCCGTGAAGAAGGAGTCATCCATGTCTGATGTAGAGCAGGAGGGGGGTGGGGGGGGGGGGGGGGGGTGACGCAGAGAAATACCAAAATGAGCCAGATTACAACAGAGGCATCAGATCACACGACGCGTTCCTCAAACCACCCGGAAATCAACAAACCCGAACGTCAGAAATGCTCCATCCGACCCTGCGCGCCCTGCTGCGTCCTCATGTCCTCGCGAGGGGCCGTGCATGGGGGGGAGGGAGGGGGCGCGAGGGATGATCCTGTTGTTGTTTAGTCCGTCGGGCACTGACAGGGAGCTGCAGAAAGCTGCTTCCCTCCAGCCTCTATTGTGGTTTGCATGGCACACACAACAAGGCCCTTCACCCAAAATGGCCAGGCAGGCTGAAGGAGCGCTGCCAGTGGAGCCCCCCCCTCCCCTCACACCTCCCTCGCCGGGGGTCTCCATGTGGATGTGTGGTTGCCTCCCGCGGGTGCGAGATGCTTCTGTGATGGATGGATGGCACGGCTGCTGAAGCCATGTTGTTTCCACTTGCCATCAGGAGCTCGTTCATTCTTACTCCTCTTTCTTCTCTAAAAGGGGCAAATATTGTTTTGCAAGAGTCCTCTTCAAATATTAGGACGCAAGCGTGAGATTGAAATCTGTAGGTCTGATATTAAGATGTAACAAACGGAACAGGCACACATGGTTGAATATTGGTTTCTGAGCCGTGACAGGTAGTTTTAATGAGTTCACCTGCTGAAACCCAGCTCCATTCTGAAGACGCACCTTGTGCAGAGCCGGGGACACGTAATGTTGGAGAATCTATTTTGACCCAGAAAATGCTACGTTGTATTTTGAACTTGAATAAGCATTTGATATTCTGAGTGATAGTGGCTCACATCTTCACAATGACCCTTTGTTCTCCCCTCTGTGTGGCATTAATCCAGTGATAGGAGGAGGATTAGCTTCTGCTGTGATCATAAATCACTGGTTGTAATGTTGAGGAAGGTTGTGACTCATCTTCACGCTGCATACAGACGCTTTCGGCCCAGAGTGGCTGGTTCAACATATTCAATACATTTCAAATGCTTGTGAATAGGGTTAGAATGACGTGTCGACATCCTCCCTAGTTTACAGTCATATTTGGCATCTTCTTTCAGGGGTGGGGGGGGGGGGGGGGGCATTTGCTGCTTTCCTTTGTCCATGTGGTTCAATGAGTTTAGGGTCTGGACCGATGACCAATTAGAACTGTGGTGCAGATCAATGACGAAAGTAACGGTTGCAGCCCGACTATCAATCGGCCACGCGAGGTACCACTGTGCGTCACTAATGCACATGTCTTGCAGTTAAAATGGCGGCGCGTTGGACCGCTCCCTTCATCAATCTGTCAGTCGTCTTTATTAGTGTTTCGAGTGAAAATAAAATGCGAACCCTTGCGTGACGTCATACGCGGCTCACCGAAGGCCTCTGCGGGGAGCTCATCCCGCTGCGTTGTTCTGGTGTCTGTAAACCCACATCAACAGAGGCAGCGCGACGCCGTCTCCGCAGAGACCAGGTGTGTCCTCACCTGCCGTCCTTACTTTAACATCGCTACTGAAATGGCCAAAGCAACACTTTGAGTACAGCGACTGTGGCTTTGTCCTGCGTGGACGGGACGGTCTGGAGACGTGACGCCAGCCACGCCGTCCCAGCGCTGCAGCAGGCGGCTGGATCGGAGAGGTGAACTCGGTTTCACCCCTCGTCTCTCTGCCACACACAGGTCCTGTCCAATGCACATCAAGCCTGTTGTTTGGCTGTGAGACCCCCCTCCGTCCCCCCGTCCCCACAGGGCCCCTACCGCACACCTAGTGGCAGCCTGACCGCAGTGTGCCAGGTGATACGCATTCCCTCACAGTCCCAGGCGTGATCGGGGCCGACAGGTCCCCAGAGGATGGGGGCCCTGACAGGCCACTCCGAGCCCCCCCCCGGTAGAGGAGATTAATCTGAGGGGGACGGGGGACAAGGACGCTAACATTCAGCCGTCCTTTGCTCTTCCTCGCCCGCCGGCCGAGGTTAGGTGAGCTATCGGTGCCTCTCTATTTGTCTGTCTCGCTGGTCTGACTGGGGGGGACGCGGCGGAGACAGTCAGGCGTCCAGTCAACACTGGCCACACCTAACCTGAGATGGGATGAATAATAGATGGGCAGCTGTACTCTGCGGGGTCATCCGCGTGTCTGCCATCGCATCCTCTGGTTCTTTGAGGGCGCCTTGTCACCGTTAAACACTGGTCTTTGGGGGTTGGGGGGGTCCTGTGCCGATCTGAGGGTCCAAGGACAGAGGATACAGATTGTTAAGCCCTTTTGAGGGAAATGAGTGATTTGGGGTTATACATAATGTATTGAATTCATATTAAATTGAGCCTGTATGTATAACTGAGCTGGACTTTGTTTGAGGTGAAATAAAGAGAGAGAGAGCGGACAAAGAGGACATCCTACAAACGCACAAACTGACATTACGTGTGTTATGAAGTGTCCCGGGTCAGTGAACCTGGGACATCTGTCCTTCCTGGGTCACATGCGGCCCGTTCGATGAGGGTGAAGGGTGCAATGTCCTCCCCATGACCAATCAGAGCTGGCTGAGAAGAATGGGAGGGGGTCTTAAAGAGACAGGCGCTCTGACGGATCGGTTCAGACAAAGGCCGGTAAATTCAGACTGTTAGTGTAATATAATAGTATGAATAACAATGATATGTCTACTTTATTCATAGACAGAAGTATGGGGTCTTTGAAGCAGGCTGGTGAATTTCAATTGATTGCAGACATGAATAAGGTCAAGGAAAGCGAATTAGCAACTCCCACTTTGTACCAAGCGGCTCCCAGGGGCCCCTGACACAAGCCGACTGAGTGAACCTGTGAGCTAGAGGTCTGTTACTGTATGATCACGGTGACGTCTCCCTGCACGCCGCCCTGAGCAAGTGTGTAATGCCACATTTCAGATTATACACATATATATATTTATATATAAAATAAATGAGATAGAATGCGAAGAAAAGAGAAAAATATCTGTGTGTAACCGGGGCGGCCGTTCGCCTGGTCACAAGGGTGACAACGTCACTTTGGGGCTCTCACCCAAAGTATATCAGTTGTAATGAAAAAGAAAGGGGAGCAGAGAGGTGAAGTTCCAGTTTTGTAACAATGTTTTTTTAATTTTACAAGTAGGTTTAATATTTAAAAGAAAAGGAATAATCAATCCAGAAACATTGGTCGGTTTTATGGCAAGATATAATCTATGCTTTAAAAAAAGATTACTATACTGGGGTACCCTACCAGTATAAGGTGACTACTTGAGGCCCACCGGGGCGGGGGAGTGAAAGGGGACAAGGGGGCCACCACCAGGTCAAAGGGAAGAAAACACAGCAAATCAAAAGGAATTAAAACACAGCAAACAAACAAAATAAACCGAAAGGGCCTTCCACCTCGTGAGCCACCCCCTGTAGGCCTACTATATGCCCACCTGCACTGGCATTAAAGGGACCCCCAGTATAGGGCGCAGTAATGGTTGTTCATGTAGGACAAAACAAAGACACTAACCCAGAAAGAAAACAAATTCGCAATTCATAATCAAAGATACTATATAAACCGGGTAACCATAATCTATTTTAAATCAAAGGCAAAAACAGCAGTGACCAGGCTCAGCGTTGCACCACCTGATCATTTCCTGTATAAAAGAAAGAAAAGGTAAATAACGCCAATAAACATTTCACTGCTAAAAAGCATATTAAAACATGAAACAGAAAACCCCTGACATACCTCTAGATTCCGCTCAAACCCATCCGCACGTGGCGAGTGCTGTGCCTATGCCGTGGGAGACCTACAGCAAGCCCCCCTCTAGCTCTAGTGGGGCAAAAGCTCCCATTTAAAGAGCACCTGGTCACACCTGTTAGGCATCACCAATTAAGGTGGTGTGGCCAAACAGGCAGGGGGGGGGAGGGGAGAGCTCTACCCATCACATGTGCATAGAAAGTGTATAGATAAATAAACCGATCACGCTAAAAGCAGCTGTAGACCCGTGTTGTTCTGACTCCCTCTGCACGCACGGCTCTGCATCAATTCTCATTTCTTGTCGTCTTTCTTACACTTTGACCCCCCCAGAGGCTCTTTGTAACTGCAGCAGCGGCGGTGAGGGGATTTTGGACCCGGACGAGTGTGACCCGGCTACCGGTCAGTGTTCCTGCCTGTCGGGCTACAGCGGCCTTCAGTGCGAGGACTGCCAGGAAGGACACTTCACCAACGGCACCAGCGGCTGCCTGCCCTGCTCCTGCGACTCCTACGGCGCCGTGGACCTCCTGTGTGACAGGTCAGACTGAGGCCGGCGGCGGCGGCGGCCGGGTTCATGTGTTCTGTGTTGCATATGGACGAGCGTCCCACCGATGAGAATGGAAGCACGTCTCTGGTCTGTGAAGGAAAAGGCTTTTTTATTTTGAGTTACTGATGTGTATGAGGGCACCCAGCACTGGGAGCACCTGCTATTCCAGCTGCTCTAACTGGGCAAGTGGTTGCATGTTGGTCCTTTACGCCATTATTCATAAATCACGTGATGAGATGGAGCAAAGGAAACTGGTTGGTCTGGTAGCCAAGCTTAGATGTAGATGATACAAAGTGAGGGTTTTACTGCATTCTGTATTAAACGACACAACACTAAACCGTTCAGCCTTCAGCAGATGAGCAGCAGCTTGGGGGCCACCACAGCGCTCTGCAGAGCGTGGGGAGAACAGGCCCGCTAATTGTGTCACTGTGATCTAAACTTGCAAACAAATACTGTTTGTCACAATGTTGGGATTTATTTTGAGCATTACTGAATATGTTCAGGTACCTGTGGCTGCATATGTGCCGTGGACAAAGGCTGTGGAAGACATGTGATCCGTCTTCTTAAAGAGAGCACCGTACTGTGGTCTTCCAAGGCCACGCAGACTGTCTGCTGTGAATTCGTGCTTGTTGTCTCATGACGACGCAGGCTGCGTGTTCCATGTTTAGCAAAGCGCCGTGGCCCTGCAGAATGGAGCGAGCTTCCTTGGAGGCGGCTAAATTAACCTCAGACCCGGCGTACTCCTGGAATTCCGCGTCTGACCATGAAAAGGAGGACATCCGCTTTCAAATGCTGCGGGTCAATGCCCGAATGTGTGCAGGATTTGTGTTGTCGTGCTCTGGAAAGCAGACTTCAGCATGTAGCTTACATAAGCTCAATGCTAACAGGTGCTAACGGCCTTTGCTGGAAACGCTCCGCTTCCTGTTCCCCCGTTGAAGGAGCCTGAAGTGGGTGGAGCTCAATGTGATGTAGGTGAAGGTGCAGGCAGCTTTCACACAGTGAACCACTAAGACGGTCCTTCTCAGACAGTCTGAGCCATGCCTGGCTAATGCTAACCCTGCTAGCCCGGCGCAGGGGCTAATCACTGTGAGTTACACAGATTAGCCCGCTGTCCAGTCCCCCCCCTCTGCTGCTTAGGTATCTTTCCCATTAGGCAATGAGCTGCCCAGCCGAGGTCCAGCCGGTCTCCTTGGTCTCACTCGAGCTCAGTGTTACGACGGTGAAGAGGGAACCAGCGAGCAATAGCACGGGGAAAACCAGCGGCAGACATCTTTGCGCGCCGTCTTTTCCCGTCGCCATCAGTGTGTGGTGATGACATCGTGTCGTGATGTCCGGTACTGAAGTCGGGAGCAGGTCCGCTGCGCTTCCGCATTTTAGCTGATGGAAAATCACTGTGTTCACATGTACATGTTTAGTTTCAAAAGAGTGCTTGGGATTAGCTCGATGTTACCGTTACAGAATCAGAGGTGAGCCATAGCATTTAGCCCCATAGCACCGATCATACGCAGGCCACACAGTGTGAGAGCCTCGAGCTGCACCTCTGACTCATTCACAGGATAAACATTCATCCTCAGCGTTCTCAGAGCATTCACAGCTGACTCAGCCAGCATGCCGTCATGGTTTGTCATTTGCACCCCGCTGTGATGTCAGAGCGTTGATTGGCTTAGGCCTAGATCTGCTCTGTGACTATTAGGTACACTGGAATGTACAGAGCCACTGTCATAAAGGCTCGCGTTCAAAAGCCCAAGATATGGATTAGTGCTTTGGTCCAGTTACGATGTGACTCTGCCACTCAGCACTGTTAACGGTGTCGTTTGGAAGTCTGCTGGTGGTGCAGTGGTCTGATTAGTTGGCCAAATATAGAGGGTATGACATCAGAAGGATATATTTCCAGAATCCGAAACGTCAACGTTAACGTCAGAATCAAAGAGCAAGACCTGCTCTCTAAACCAGAGGTCTTCAACAGGGGTCTGCGGAGGTACTGACATTTTTGGTTGATAAGATCATTTTTTTTCCTTTTTTTTCAATCAATTTTCCACAAATTAAAATGTCTTCAGAATCAGAATACACATTAACATGAACGGATCAATTGATGGAGGAGACGTTGTCCTTCAGTCCCACAGCAGCTCTCTCAAGCTGGACACCGGTTCACTCACAGCTCCTCTCATCACAGGCACCAGCCAGTCAGATCCATTCACGCTCACGTCTAAAGAGCCCCAAGCTCACAAATAAAAGATGGCGCACCCAACTCCGTAGAATAGGGGGTCCCTGCTCCATCTCGCCATCAGTTTCAAGACCCCTGATCTAGAGCAAATATGGTGCAGGAGAAAATCTTATGGAAGATCAATTTGTTCTCATAGCATTTAAATTTAGCATTTAGAATGAACAGAAGTCTTTTGAGTCCAGATCCCTCCTCAAACTATGGATCACACTTGATGCCCTCATCAATAGTATTTGGACTCTGCTTTGCCCCAAGCGGAGTGTCGGAGAAGGAAGTCAAGCTTCTTTGATTGCAGAGATTCCACTTCGCTTGTGACACAGTTACTGAAAGCTCTGATTCATGTAGCTCATCTATTGATATGTCGTACCATGACCACAGTCTAAAACTTCATCTACATTAAACATTTCATCCAAATGCCTGGCTGGATCGGAATAGTCCTTTTTGCTGAGGAAGGCGATATCTCCCTTCCTTCTTAATGCGCATGTCTCTTGTCTTGTCACTCCACACATCCAATTCCTCACGCCAAGAAATCGGACTCCGGGTCCGAGCCGTGTTGGTTACCCCCCGTCGGCCTTGGCGTCCGGGGCAACACCCCCCCCCCCCCCGTCAGCCGTCCATCCCCGACAAAATGTCACTTGAGTTTTCTTGAAAACCTGAGAGCCCTGTAGTGCAGTTTTGAACTAAGCTCTAATAACACTTTTTAGAATTCCACCATTGAAATCCTGATAACTTGCCTGGCGTATTTACAGATATGTTAATTCATCACTAGTATTCATATGAATGAATGAAAGAAATCTAACAGCCGTATTCCATTTTTCTGAAACAACCCTAATGAGATTTCTGCCTGCCGGTTTTCTGCATGTGACATAAACGTACACACGCCGTTTGGTCCGGTCTCTATTTGACAATGGAGCTTTAAGAGATGTGCATGTGTGGCCGCCCTGTATTTGGGTCAGCTCCAGTGGGCTTTGCCTGTAAGGCATTGCATGTCACAATGTAGCATGGAGGTCTGGAATGAAATATTGATTTTGGGTGCAGATGTTTCCGCCTCTGCATCATGTGTCACTGCAGCGGAGGCATCACTGCCATCAATGTATTTGGACTGACCGTGTCTGTTTGATGCGGTTTTCATTTGTGCACTTGAGGAAGGGGCCTCGTGTCTGCAGGTCCCCTGAGTGAGGGGACCTTTAGTCAGAGCCTCACTGCCCCATCCGTGCGAGAAACCGTGAGCACGGCTGTTCCTCTGCTTCGATTAAAGGCCTCTCAGTTATCCGCCGTCCCCGCGTTGTGGGGAGCTAAACACAACTGAACCCTGTAAAATACATGTTTTTGTTGACCAAAATGAACCTTTCTGAACCGTGCAGCCACTGTGAAAGGACACATGTGATGACTAACAAGCAGAGGCTGTTGGTCTGTAGGACAGCTTAGGAAATCAACCGTCAACCAAACCCAACTGACTCTAAAGTGGATTCTTGCAGGCAAGGTAGGACATGTGAACCAGACACGTTTGAAATAGTTTTTGTGCTAAGCTAGGCTAAACTCTTGACTGGATGAAGAGAGATAAAACTGACCAGATTCTTTTCATGTATAATTCTATTTTTAACGCTGCATTAAAAAGTCAACACATGATATAATGCAAAACCTGTGACTCCGGTTAGGATGTGAAAGAAACCTTTTCCCCAAACCTTTGGATTTGTTTTTCTCAAACGTGTCTCTGAACTTGTGACCTGCGCTGTCTGCTCCACCCATCAATCCTCCATATAATGCCGATGAGCAAACTACAAAACATCTCCCTGTTGACTACACAACTTGGAATCTGGCCTGACAACTATGCGTGCGTGTCTGTGCATGTGTCCCGGGCCAGCCGAGCGGAGCGGAGAGCACAGGTCCTGCTGTGTTTTCACTGTCGGGGTGGGACCGAGCCGCCTGCGCCGTGTTCTTCCTGTATTTACGCCGAGCATGTTTCCCTTGGGAATTGAACCTGGGATGTGCTGTGATCTGACGCGTGCTGTAGCCCCAGAATGGGGTTAAGCCTCGTGGCCCATGTGATACTGACCTATTTAAAATTGCACATCTGATGCACAGCGGCTGGGCCAATGAAGTGAAATCACAGTGAAACGATACCAACGCCCCTCCCTCTCCGAGCTGGAACAAATGAGCAGCGAGAATACCCCCCCCCCCCCCCCTCCCCCCCTGCTGGGTGTACTGGCCCTCATATCGGATGACATGACACACGTCTGAGAGCGGCAGCATTACCGCTGAGCTGCGCACGGACTCACGTGAAGACTTGCACATCAATAAGGGGACGACTCGTTTGCACAGCGGAAAGAGGCACAAACAAAAGGTGTTATGGGGAACGGACACCTCTAACTGTGCAGACTGCCTCCTTCCTGGGCTCCCTTTCTCTGTGACCGTTGGACAGTACCTCTGACTGCATTGCATTCGGGTCACGATGCTACATGTGTGGATTTGTTATTGTTGGTGCTGAAGAAAGAGGACTGTTGACCCCCCCCAGCAGTCCCGCGCCTCACTAAGCATCTCTTCATTTGCATTAGGCGCAGTTGTTTAACAAAGCCTGGATTGTATGTCGACCCACACACACGCTCATGGCAAGTGGTCCCAGTCAGTCTTGGTTTGCTTCAAACGTTTGGTCATTGTCCTCCGATTAAGTCCATTGTCTGGGTTCATGGGCGAGCAGGCTCGACTTAGTGCTGTACTTTTCCTTGGAGATTACCTTCAGATCAGAGAGCCACGGGGGAGCAGTGAGAGAACAGAATGTGTGCCAGGTGGTCCTGCATGGACCACTGCGCTCATGCAGACTCGAAGAAGACAAACCCCTCGTCCACACTGCCTCCCACGTGCCACGCAACAGAAACACTCTCACTTGAATCTACACAAATCAAGAGAGGAACAGGACTGAAGCAGCTCAGCGGCAGCGGCAGCCTAAAACCGTTCATATAATTTATTTGAAAAAAGTGAAAAAGAAATGAGCACATTAGCTGTGGACAGACGGATGGACACACAGATGCACAGAGAGCAAACACGTAATCGTCTGGCCAAGATAACACTCCCCTAATTTCCTAATCCCATGTGGGGTTTTTTATGATGTGACCACAAGACATTTTGATTGGACAACCCGTTGTGTCTGTTCCCACATACTCAACATGTTCAACGCACATATTAACGCCTTTTTACGTGATATTGTATTATAAGAAAGGGGCTATGGCCTTATGGGGACAATGTATCTGAAGCTGCCTGGTGGCCAACTAACATTCAGTTTAGTTACTACGGCAACAGAGACCGCTTGCTGAAGACTATCACAAAAACATGAATGGTTGGCACAAACCCCCCCCCCCCACTTCCCTCTGACTGTTAGTCATTGTGTTGAAAGCCGTGGAGCTGCTAATTAAAGTGACTGCAGCAGCGTCGCTTTAATGTGACGGGGAGACAGAGGGTTGGTTTCCATGTCACTCAGCCGCCATAGCGATGCTACACGAGCAATTCCACAGATTGCTCACTTGCATTGTCAAAAGTGGGACGCGTGATTATTCCGTATGCATCGTGGAGAGACTGATGCATTTCCACCATCCAGCCTTCTGGGCTCATTTTGATATAAAAGACTACTGCTACAGTTCTGTTAAGCCGATGGGTGAAACGGGAAGTGCAGAGTGGATCCAGATGACCGTATTTCCTCATCGCTTCTCTTCTTTCAGCTCGGGGATCTGTGTGTGCAAGACGGGAGTGTACGGGCCAAAGTGTGACGAGTGCCACCCGGGTTTCTTCCACTTCAGCAACACCGGCTGCCGGCCCTGCCATTGTCAGAACCACACCAACTACTGCCACCCGCAGTCCGGTGAGTGCCCCTTGTTTCTGCTTCTTCTCAGAAGGTGTGTTCTTTATTTCTTCATGATGATTTGACAATGAGTCACTGGTTCAGTCGGCTGAAGCACCTGGCTGAGAAATAATTTACCTGGGATTCAAATCCAGGGAGACCACCTCTAAAAGAAGGCGAGAGTCGGTCAGAGGTACTTTGGGGGTCCTTGCGTGATGAAGAAGTGATGAGTGCATTCCTTATGCACACACACAGCTCCTACCAACGCACAAACTGACATTACGTTCGTTATGAAACGTGGGACATCCGGCCGTCCTTCCTCGGTCACACGCGGCCCCATTTGAACCTCCTTTGATGAGGGCAGGACTGAGTGAAAGGAAGTGAAGAAGTGTAAGTGGCCGCTGTGATGACAGCTTCCATGTTCCCTACACGGCTCCTTCAGCATAGGAAATAGTATTTACATTTTTTACTCCACTTCAATGTCGTTTTGCAGATTAAGACTTTTCACAAAAACATGTGATCCGTTTATCAAGAATTGAATAAAACTCATGAAAAGTGAAGTATATATGATGTATATCAGGGGTGCCCACACTTTTACGGCTCGCAAGCTACTTTTCAACTAACCAGGTCATGGCGATGCTGGCTGACGGGGGGGGGGGGCGACTGGTAAATAGTCATAAGGAGTCGATATGAAGAAAAACAACGGGCGCACATTCTTGGTCATTACCTTACGGGAGTCAGTTATTTAGCAAGAATAGCTAAACCCCATTACCGTTAGTTTCGGTCTTCTCCCGCGGTAGACCGTGCATGTGGGACGTGACGTCATTTTTTTTATCCATAGCCCGCGATCGACTGGTACTGCCTTTGAGATCAACTGGTCGATTGAACACCCCTGATGTATATTGTTAAGGACTAAACTTCTCAATAACAAACTGTAGTTACATGAGCTTCATTAGGAAAAACACATTTTTCATTCTGTGCTAAATGAATATGAAGTCCATATGAGACCGTTATGAAGAACGTCCCCCTGAATCTGCATAAGCAGCAGCCGGTAGGTCGCCTCTACATTGGCAGCACAGGTGTAGACTGGTGTATAGACTGGTGTAGACCGGTGTATAGATTGGTATATAGACTGGTGTATAGACTGGTATATATACTGGTGTAGACTGGTGTGTAGACTGGTATGTAGACTGGTGTGTAGACTGGTGTATAGACTGGTATATATACTGGTGTAGACTTGTGTATATACTGGTGTAGACTGGTGTGTAGACTGGTGTATAGACTAGTGTATATACTTGTGTAGACTTGTGTATAGACTGGTATATAGACTGGTGTATAGACTGGTATATAGACTTGTATATAGACTGGTGTATATACTTGTATAGACTGGTGTATAGACTGGTATATATACTGGTATAGACTGGTATGTAGACTGGTGTATAGACTGGTGTATAGACTGGTATATAGACTGGTGTGTAGACTGGTGTATAGACTGGTGTATATACTTGTATAGACTTGTGTATAGACTGGTATATATACTGGTATAGACTGTTATGTAGACTGGTGTATAGACTTGTGTAGACTGGTGTATAGACTGGTGTAGACTGGTGTATATACTTGTGTAGACTGGTGTGTAGACTGGTGTATAGACTGGTGTAGACTGGTATATATACTTGTGTAGACTGGTGTATAGACTGGTGTAAACTGGTATATAGACTGGTGTATAGACTGGTGTATAGGCTGGTGTAGTGGTGAGCTGATGGAGCAGCAGTGTCTGCACGCCGATCCCTTTGGGAGAGAAAGAACCAACCTTTGCTGAGGAAATGTTCCCTTACATTCCCCTCTTTTCTTTGTGACACTGAAGGGTTCAATTAGAGACCTCAACAGTACACAAACCCACGAGTAAATGTTTACTGTGGAACAAGCAAGAAGGAACTCCAGACCACAAAGGGTGCTGAATCATGCAAAAATTCCATGGAGCCATTTTTCTTTGCTGGTCTGAGGGGGGGGCTCAGGGTTCACAGCGCTCAGCGGCTCAGCTTTGACCCCTGCCTTCTCCACCTACACAAGAACACATGGTGCAAATGCAAATGGTCCATGGTCCCAAACACTGAGCGCCATAGACAAACATGACAAGGAGCCGTCATTTCAGACAGCACTGAGACAATTTGTCCCCACACTGACCCGTTGTATCAACTGACAGACATTGTTTATGGTCACTTCTTTACTTCTGCAGCATGATTCTGATCTAAATGAATACTGAGCTAAGTTTGGTTCCTTTCTCTTCATCAAACGTCATCTTTTATCAACAGGAGTTGTGTTGCAGCTGTTACTTGTCATCAGTTTGTGTAGAGATTGTCACAGAGGTAAACGCGTGGTGGGAAGAGTCATCCACAGCTCGTGATTTCTGCAGTCACGCATGTGACCTCTGATTATTCAACCCAGTCTCACAGCAGAACGTGTAACCGCTACGTTGGACCGACGTGGTATTCTCACGCTTTTGGGGGGAAAGCGTGACGATACTACTTTTTTTTTTGCAACTAGGTCACGTGACCATCAACTTTCCCTCAGCTAAAAAAAGAAAATGTCGATGGCATTTCTAGCGAGTACGAGTTATATTTTCCTAATCTTCTATCAGAGAATGTAGAAGACCTTCCGTTTATTAGCTTCTAGTGACGTAGTTGCAAGACAATGTAAATGAATGGGCCAAAATAACACGTAGTATTGTCACGATTTTGGGGAGAAAGCGTGAGAATCCCACGTTCCACAACGTAGCTACGACACACTTTGCTGTGAGACCGGGTTGGATTATTCTCAGCCAATCCTAAAGACTTGTCCCCCATGAGTGCACTCAGCCATGTGGGTACTACCCAAACATTGCAAAAATCACACAAGTCCATCAAATAACCAGCTCAGGTGCCACATTTAGAGACTAAAGTATTCTGGATGGTCACGTGAGGCTGAACCGATGGAGCGCAGTCTGCAGTGGGAGATCGGATGAGTTCTTGATGTCGAGAGGGATTATAAAGGAATGGTTGGTTTAAAATGACATTTCTCCCTTCACTTTACCTCACATGCCTCCATGGTAAACGGGTCGAGATGAAGGGAAGTAACAGCTAGAGAAAAGCAGAACGTTCAAAAGCTCCCACAGTGCTGGTGCAGATAATAAAGTGTCATCTAAATGTCGACGGACAGTTTGTGTTCTCCTAAAACATCGGGCGGACGAATGTCTCCATCGAGATGGGATTTAAAATCACGTGAAGTTAAAAATGTCTTTGTGCTGCATTTGTGTCAGAAAGCACAATGGCTTTTTATCAATGGTTCATCATGAGTCGACACATTTAAATGTAACTAGCAGGTCGCGAGGCTCAGGTCAACCTGACGGATTAAATATGTTTCTGCTATGAAATAGTCAAACGTGGAGGAAAGAAACTAAATATCCCTAAAAGCTGTTTGCCGCGCAAAGACATAAAGTACACAAAAGCCACATTGTGGAGGGACTTTAGGATCACGAGTTGTGTTGCGTGCAGGTCCAGATGATGTGCACTGACCATGTCGCTTCTCTTGTGTGCAGGAGTGTGTCTGAACTGTGAAGGCAACACCCAGGGCGCCAACTGCGAGGAGTGTAAGCCTGGCTTCTACCGCAGCCACGAGGCCCCCGCAACCGAAGCCTGCGCGCCGTGTCCCTGCTCCGCCGCCACCTCCACCGGCCCCTGTCACCCCGGTCAGTGTCACCCCTGACCCGTGTAACCCTGGGTTCCCCCTGGGTTCTCCGGGTTCCTTCCAAGACATGCAGCCCCGGGTCACGGAAATGCCGACAGATTTCATTTCTTTAAAATGTGTCAGATCCAGTGAAGTAGTCCGTGAACATGAGGATGGGAGCTCTGCGGGGTCCGGCGGATTCATCGCGGTGCGCCGCTCGCCTCCTCTGTAGTGAGCAGTGAAGGTTCTCTCTCTGTGTGCCAGTATGCGTCCTCAGCATTTACAGAGAGTCGGGGGATTTTATCATGAGGAAGAACTCATGTGTCAAGTGGCGTGTGGCCATAATGCTGAACAATGACACATTTTATTTATAGAGCACTTTTCATTGTGCGTTGCTGCTTTCCAGTCCGTTGATTGTGGGAAGACGGCGTTCATAACGGGTTCAGAGTGACTAACACTAAAAGTGCACACTCCACTACACAACAAGTGCAGCCTGCAGGGTGCAGTGTGTCAGGTGTGTGTCTCTGCGTTGGTTGTGCGGACACTGTTTCACAAGGACGGGGGCTACACAGGCTACACAAACCACACACTACTACACACTACACTGCAATGTGACGTTCAAAAACCAACAACTGCACACTCTTATCTGTGCTCGATAAGACATTACGACCTGAAGCCTGTGTTTGCTTTCTAAACTCGGACATTGAAATACCGCACTATATTATCACAGCACCCACAATGCACCTGCAGCCCGTCAGGAGTCCTGAGAAATCCCAGCTGAAACTCTGGTGTTCTCCAGAACGATGGAGGCCAACCAGGGAGAGACTTGCAGGGCTGTACTTTAGTTACATACTCTATGTTCATGATACTGTTTATAGGAGTATAAATGAGTGTTTACAACAGGCCACAAATGAGTATTTCATCCTCACACAGTATTTTTAGGGTGTGTGGTATTTGTTGTTTTAAGTGTATATAATTATATATTTATAGACGCAAACCCCTTTTATTTAATGGGGTAGTAGTAAGAAATATCTGAAGTTTGGACCTCTACTCGCAGACAGCGTGACCTTCCTGTGACCTTCCTGTGACCTCCCCACTTCCACCACGCACGCAGTCCTTCCCCTCACGTCTTTTTAAGTCTTGCTGACTGTGTGGCCAGTTTCATCGTGCAGCGACGATGTGACCCTTTTACCAAAGGGAGGGAGGTACGGCGTTGTGCTGCAGGCATGAGCCATAGAAACACACAAATGATCATTTTAACGCTTCAGTGCTTTGCAACATGTTGATTACGTGCCTGAAATAAGGTCTGTTTGTGTTTTGTACATCCGTAAACACGCCTCCTGTGAATCTAGAAAACAAGGCCAGGTTGCCCTCAAGTGTCTAAAGTAGCTTGGTGGCAAGGCGAAGTCATGTGATCATTTTGTTTATTTCATCATAGTGTAAAAAATCCTACAGTCAGGGTATCGATGTGTGGAGACAGTAGTAATAAAAAGGTGACTGGATGGATCCCATTGACGTTTTGTCACTGCTAACACATGAACCTTCACACCGCGCAGTCACAGCTACGGGAGGTATTTGGGGCCCAAAGACACACTGACATGGGCCAGCAAATCCTCTGACCCGGACCCTGCTCTCCACTGAGCCACCGGCGCTGTCAGGTTCTGAGCCCCGCGCTGGTCCTTTCATAATCCCCCATGAATCCTCTATTCTTCTGGGCCTCGTGACATTTCCCGTTATTATTTGACTATTCAATGGCTGCGTTTCCCGCTGTGCTCCGTCCGCTGCAGGCTTCCTCCAGCTGTGTGTGAAATGCTCATCTACGGATCCCAAGCTGTTTGGTCGGATCAAATGTACGCACCATTTATATTTCTACACCCCCAAAGGTAACCCAGTTATCAAGTAATCTAGTTCATGTGAAGTTAAGTTCATTAAGAAATGGGCCACTGCTCATTCTTATTAATGTTCATTCCAATGTGTTATGATTAAAAAGAGGTAAAAGAATTGTCTGTTAATTATCAAAACCTATTTTTTTAAAAAATCCCATGTAACCTTTATATTGCCCAAAGGTGCCGTAATTTGATTCCTTTTGCCTCAATCTTCCTGTTTACGATGAGGTAAAAAGCACCAAACGACGGCCCAAAACCAGGTGACGCAGTTGACGATTATTGAGATGTCTGGGATATTTTTCAAAAGGAGACCTTCTGCCTTTTGGGGGGTTTGATTCACAGCGGCTGCTCCGAAAGCCTTGCTGCAAACTACCGTTGCGTCCGTGTTTTCACTTCCCCTTTCTGGACCAATCATTAACAGCACGTCCGTGTGCTGACGCGACGACCCGCCATTGGCGGCGGCCTGCATGGCAACGCGTATAGATGCACTTGGGTGGCCCGGGTTACGTTTGCCGCCGCCAGGGGCCACAAACCAGGCTGAGCCGGGACAGAGTGAGCACAGCTGGGCCATTTCAGCAGCAACAGGGGGGGATGGGCAGCATCGGGGGGCCTCCGCGCTACAAACAGATCAGAATCATGAATCATGTCCGCTGAAGGACGCTCCAGAGGAGAGTTTGGCAAATGCCGAGCTGCCGCATCATCGCTTTGCAGCTTTGCACTGGAGGAGAGGCGCTTTCTAGAGTGACGATGAGGTCTGTTGCAGTAATTGAATAAGACGCAGGGCGAGGAGGAACGGAGCGCTGCACCGGTTCAGAATGTGGGTCACACATATTAAATCATCCATGTATGATGGCGTATTTACTCGCTGCCCTGGGACGGCGGGGCTGATTGCCTTCAGCCTCAGGTTCATCAAATATTTGTATTCTGGTTTTAATTTGTCTTTCACTCTCTTCAAGTGTGTTAGCGTGGCTCCGTAGGTACGCAGGGTGCAGGTGGACAGGTGAGGGCCTCCTGTCTGTGCAGAGCAGTGCAGCTCGTGTTTCCTCCTGGTTTTATAACCTTTTGAACCCCCAGCAGAGGTTAACTCAAGCTCATCAGGAGAAGCCCACGCGGTCACATGACCACAGTAGATAGAGACCGGCATCTAGGCCATCGCACCTCTAAATCATTCATCACTGGGAGCCCTGGAGTGCCGAGGTGTTTAAAAGGAACACTGGTCTAAAGAAGAATTGTTTATCCCTCATATGTCTACAATCAGACTTCAGTCTTGTATGTTATGACCCTTTGCCCACCACCCTGATGCCAATGCACTGCACCTATCTTCTGATTCATACCGGATCGGTCCCACCTCAGCGCCTGCCGAGCTTCTCTCCCAGGCCAGTCTGTCGGGGGGGGGGTCGGCCGAATCCAAGGGTCTTGTTTTGAGCTCGATGTAAAGGCCTTCAAAAGTCTAGCGGCTCTCCTGTGAGAGCCCTCAACCACATCCATCCTGCCTCCCTGCATGAAGAGGAAGGAGGTGTTAGGATGCCGAGAATCGACCTGAGATACGACCTAAAACATTCTCGAGAGGGATTAGATGTCCCATCTGTCCTGTGATCCCCCAGGAAGAGTTGCAGGACATGAACATATGACACGATTGCTCCAGGTGTAAACCTTTATATATCAAACCTTTTTAGAAGGTGTTGTTCCTTAGCTCGCCGCCAGAACAGCCCGCTTGGTCCTGTCGGGCGCTCAGATCAACTCTACCGTCCCACTCAGGGAAAGGACTTTGGTCAACCGCTCCAGACATGAGGACACCATAAAGTCCACAGCAAGAAAAACAATAATGAAACACCTTTACACTGGGACAGTGTTTGTTTGTCTTCCTGTGACTCAGTCACCTTTAAATCAGATATGCTTGTGGAGCAGGGAGGACATGAGCCGGTGAGAGGTCACACTGCGCCCCCTGCTGGTTTAGTGGGGGAGCCGGTGCATCCGCCACCGCCTAATTAAAAAGAAACAAAATGGTAGAATTAGACACATTATCTTTGAAGAACTGTATCTTAATTTGTGTTGTCTGGTGTTGTTGTTGTTGTTATTCCTTCTTCAGTCCTATATTAGTCCCTATATTTTGATGTGTAATGTTGGGTTGGGGTCTGGTTTGGAAAGTGTTTACAGCGCAAGCGTCCCTTGCAGTTGGGTCATCAGAGCTGCTCATGTGTTCTGGTCTGGTCTCACGTGTTCTGATCCGGTCTCATGCGTGCTGGTCCTGTCTCATGCGTGCTGGTCTGGTCTCATGCGGGCTGATCCAGTCTCATGCGGGCTGATCCAGTCTCATGCGTGCTGATCCGATCTCATGCGTGCTGATCCAGTCTCATGCGTGCTGGTCCTGTCTCATGCGTGCTGGTCCTGTCTCATGCGTGCTGTTCCGTTCTCATGCACGCTGATCTGGTCTCATGCGTGCTGATCCAGTCTCATGCGTGCTGGTCCTGTCTCATGCGTGCTGATCCGGTCTCATGCGAGCTGGTCCTGTCTCATGCGTGCTGATCCGATCTCATGCGTGCTGATCCAGTCTCATGCGTGCTGGTCCTGTCTCATGCGTGCTGATCCGATCTCATGCGTGCTGATCCAGTCTCATGCGTGCTGGTCCGGTCTCATGCGTGCTGATCCGATCTTATGCGTGCTGATCCAGTCTCATGCGTGCTGGTCCTGTCTCATGCGTGCTGTTCCGTTCTCATGCACGCTGATCTGGTCTCATGCGTGCTGATCCAGTCTCATGCGTGCTGGTCCTGTCTCATGCGTGCTGATCCGGTCTCATGCGAGCTGGTCCTGTCTCATGCGTGCTGGTCCGATCTCATGCGTGCTGGTCCAGTCTCATGCGTGCTGATCCAGTCTCATGCGTGCTGGTCCAGTCTCATGCGTGCTGGTCCGGCCTCATGCGTGCTGGTCCGGACTCATGCGTGCTGGTCAAGTCTCATGCGTGCTGGTCTCATGCGTGTCTCCTGGTTCCTGTGCAGATGACCGTGGCTCCCCAGCATGTGACCAGTGCCTCCCCCGGTACGCCGGCCCGCGGTGTGACCAGTGCAGCGCCGGCTTCTACAAGCATTCTGGCGTGTGTGTACCATGCGACTGCAGCGGGAACGCCGACCCTCAGGGGCCCCCCCAGGTGTGTCAGCCCGACACCGGCCAGTGCCTCCGCTGCATCAACGGCACCAGCGGGCCCCAGTGCCAGCGCTGCGCTCCGGGCTTCGTGGGGGACGCGCGAGCACACAACTGCACCCGCCCAAGTAAGACCAAACGATGTCACCGCTTCCAAAATGTCTTCACTGCACACATTCATTTTTCTCTGAGCGGAAGCAGAACCACCTGAAGACGTTCATGGACGGATTCTAACTGTTGTTTTTAGGAGTGAGGTTTTAAAGAAGCAAAAGACTCTCTTCCCATCAGACAGTCAACTAATAAACCAATTATTTTACCAATATTAGAGAGACTCTCTGAAACGGTATTAAATAAGATGTTTGACTCATTGCTGCCGGACAAAACAACAGCATTGTGTCCACACAGCGTGTGATGAGTGATGGTTGTTGTGACATCACTACGGTGTGCTTTCATCATTCACATCTAAAGGTATGTGTGTGAGGTTGTACACTAGAACTAGGATCCAGGTGTGCAAAATAAATAAACAATGTTTATATAATATATATATATAATTTGTTACCCTTTATTGTGCTATGAGGCAACTCCAATCAGAAAACGGAATGGTGTTTAAGTTGTATAACACTGCCCTCAGGGTCAGACCTGCTGAGTCAGGCCTCAGATTAAACCAGCAGCACACTCACACACTCTTTACAGGAGTGTTTCAGAGTGTTTTTTTTTTCATTTTATCTCTATGTTGAATCCCTTCTAAAAAAACCTTTTTTATGACGTAGGTTTTTTGTAAAGCACTATTCATCATCATCTCATCTTATCTGCAATCGCTTATCCGGGTCGGGCGTGTCAGTGTTTTTAATGCTGTTATGAATCGATTGATTTTGGTCACAGCTTTTGACTCCCTGAGTTGCAGCGCGGACAGCTGTAACGTATCACTTACTTCTTAAATCGATCACATGTAGCTTCATGCTGCAGGTGTATCTCCACTGAGGGGTAGTTGTGGCCTTTTGCCACATGGTGTCACTAGTTACTCGCGCACCAGCCGCATGATGCTGCCTGCTCCTCTCGTTGCTCTGTGAGGGTGATGAAATGAAACCATGACCGATGCTTTTCTCTCCTCAGCACCTCGGCTTCTGCTCACACCAGAACACACGACCACATCGGAGACGCCCTCGACCACCGCCGGCACCGCTTTGACCTCCACCACAGCCGGCGGCAACGCCAGCACGCCGCTGAGCGCCGCCGCCACCACCCAGGCGCTTTTGACCAGCCCGAGCAGCCCCACCGACAACACCACAGCAGCCCTGACGGAGGTGTCCTGGACACAGTTCAACATCATCATCCTGGCCGTCATCATACTGGTGGTGCTGGTGCTGCTGGGCTTTGTCGGCGGCGTGTACACCTACCGAGAGTACCAGAACCGCAAGCTCAACGCCCCCTTCTGGACCATTGAACTGAAAGAGGACAACATCAGCTTCAGCAGCTACCACGACAGCATCCCCAACGCCGACGCGTCGGGCCTGCTGGAGGACGAGGCCAACGAGGTGACGCCCAACGGGCAGCTGGCGCTCACCACGCAGGGCAACTGCTACAAGGCTTAGCGCTCCACCCACCCGCGAACTTTACCGACGACACACAGCTGCTGCAAAGTACCAAATCCGAATCTCCTTCATGTCCGCCTGCTTGTCGTTATCCCGCTGGTCCGCAGCACTTCACAGCACAGTGCGACGCAGCAGATCGGATCAGCGGCGTGGAAAAGCCACGTCTCTGATGTGATTTTGCGCGGGATGGATGATCAGCGAAAAGGGTCCGGAGAAAGACCGCGTTGGGTTGAGTTGTGGCTGCGGAGCGCGGTGTGCACACCAGTGATCAACCTGTTGGCCGGAACAATGATCCCGACGCTGGTTGGAGGACTCACGGGAGCCGAGCGTTTCAGATATTTTTAAAAATGGACTTTTGACTGTTTAAGTTATAACTGGATCACGTGAACAGTGATCTGACACTGAGACAATGATTGTTATTTAATGCGTTTTGATTCCATTCTTATTTATTGGTTGGCGTTGCATTCTCGGGAGAAATGCTGCACATGTGTGGTGTGTTTATTCATGGTGTTTGCTCTTACGTGCTGTCCGGTGGTAATTTGAATTGCCCAATATGTTTCCATGTATAGTTTGGTGTGTTTGGGAGAGAGTCGTAGGGGAAGATTAAGGGTGCTGACGAAGCATTTGAATGACCTCATCTATTGTTTATAGCTTCCGCTCTTTTGTCAAAGCGTGCCAACTCACCCGAGTTTTTATGAGGAGTGTTTCTTTTTGATGCAAGTGCCGTTCAAAAAGTCACCACCTAACGGGAGTGACTCAGGCCGGGCTCACGTTAAAGCGCCGTAATCCGCTCGGGATCTAATCTGTACAACCACACTCAACAAGTAGTTAAGAAAGCTTTGTGTCCGCGTGTACCCGGAGGCGAGTTCTCCGATAATCAGAGTGTTTCAAACATAAGCAGTTGTCCTGATACGGGTTTTTTTTTGCAGTGAAACCAGCTCGCAGACGATCAAAGTTCCTCATCAGACAGTCTTTGTTATCACGTACAATCAGGTTGCATCAGCTAAAAGGGAGTTCAAAGTGTCACAGCTGATCCGGGTCCCATGGTGTTTTCTGTGTTGTCTAAGCAACCATTGGATAGCGGCACTTCCTTTCAACACAACTATGAGTAAAGCTAATTATAGAAACAAACTCCTCAGGTACTGTCTCTTTCCCTAATGTGATCGCTGTAAATATGATTATTGTACAGATGAATGTGAATAGTAGCACTATTATTGTACAGGTGGAATACTGTGTGTACACTGCCACTCAACAAGCCCCCACCTTTCACCCTCCGAGGTGTGATTCTGCAGTCGGCCCACAGCTTTTGTATTTTCATTTCTTCTCCTCAGTACACATTGCCACGTACGCAGCTGCGGGACTGAAATGCTGTAAATAATACCCCAAATCAGAGGTCAACTCACAAATAAAAACGGTTCCTCCCTCGCAAACCTTTTTATGTAAATTATTGCCACATTTTATGGTGTATATACATATGTATGTGTATATATATACATACACATTTATCAACATTAATGACTTGATCCTGGGAAACTTTGAGTGAATGAATTCCTTCTGAGACATACATATATAAAAGTTATATGTATATATATATATATATATATATATATATATATATATATATATATATATATATCCTCAGTGGCACAACGCCTCCTGTCTTTCCATATCTATGCAACCGTGCCAACCTCGTCTCCCTATATATTTATATATATATATATATATATATATATATATATATATATATATGTGTAATATTTTTGAGCAGACATACACTGCTCAAAAATATAAAAGATAAACGCATTTACGTTTCTACAAATAGAGAAACTGAAACATGTTCTGGTAAGATGGATGCTGTAGTCATATGTGAGTCCACATTAGTAAATCATTACTCAAAATCATTAGTTCACTTTTTTCATTTAGTCTGTGTAAAGAGATAACTACTTTCAGTTCAACATATATAAGCATATATAAACAAATCACTAATATAACATTATTTTTTGCTACTTAATGTCATTAGTTTATTTAAGTAATGGTTTCACTTCTAATAATATTAATTATACTATTTGATTTTGAGATTCAATGCATTGTCTCAAGAAAATTGTATAGAAAGAAACAAATTTGATATTACATTTTAACATTCCAATGTGTTTTATTCTTCTAAAACATTGCACGGGTGGTGGAACAGTCCTCCTAACAGAACTACAACCATAACTGCAATGTAAACATTCGCCCTCCAACCGGAAGATGCTCAGTGAAAACACCGTTAAATGGCAGCAGCTTATGTATTTTCAGTGTGTGTCCTCTTTTGAGACCACCTCATATATACGGACCTGCAGCTGTTCCAGGGAAAGATTCAACACAGACGTGACTTCTTAGAGAAGACTCGACTTACAGTACTTACATTGCGAGCTTGTTCTTCGGGGTTTGTAACCTGGGTTTTAGCTCACTGGTTAGCTGGATGAACTGGGATGAGAGCATCGTAGACTCGGGGGGGTCACATGCAGTGCGTATGTCCAAACAGAAGGCACGTGGCTTTTGGCGGGTCTTGAATCATCAGAACTTCGACGATGATCTTCAATGAGACTGAGATCTTTCTCAACGAGGAGGATCCCAACGTAATATTGCGTAATGAGTCATCGTCCGAGTCCTTAACAAATAATAACACGATTATTATATTTCTCATGAAATAACTATCAATAATGTTAATCAATGCAGCATAGTGGACAACCAGACGCATGAGGGAAGGTTTATTCTATAAAACTATGCTCACTAGGTTCATCAAATAATGGTAATAACAGTTCGAAATGATGCTGTGATGGTCCTAGATGATCTTTCAGGAAATGTTTTTTCTTTTTCAGAAAGAATTACAAAGGCTGGTTGGTAGAAGTCTGTGGCATCGTCCCAGAGGAGTACAGGAAGCCTTCTCAGCACCGGTGTCCGAAGCTGTAATCTTGGGGAAAAACACAAGTTAAATGACATTTCTCGTCATTGTTAGAATGACAAGAGATGAATGGTGTATAAAGAGACACTTGATTGTGTGACATTTGATGTGCCGACCTTGTTGAGAAAGCTGTGCCAACAGCTGCCCAACGTTCCCTCTTTTAGATGGAAATATGTCGATTAGCCGAAGGCTGTGTCGATCAGGGCTTTCGTTCAAATTCCTGCTTGAGGTTCTTTCGCACTGTCCGGTTGAACTCGCGTGCATACCTGTGAAATACAGACAACGCTCCAGTATCACATTCCAAGACTAAATAATACCTTGGAGTTCTTCCTCATAAGTTTCACTACCAGAGACTATTTCTGTCTTGAACATCCTGTCTGTCTGTTCTGTGCAGCTTACTTATGTGTCCATTAAATGCAGAGCACGCCTCGGTATAAAGGTTACATCCTCCATGGGGGCAGTGGAGTCTGTGATGAACGCTGCATCAGTGCAGGACGCAGACAAATCACACAAGTGGCAGTGAGAAGCTACTTGTTCAGGTTCACACAGTTGTGTGGCTTCTCTGGTGTTTTTGCTAAGTGAACCGTAACTTAATCGATTCATTAATATAGTTAAATGTGCGCAAACAAGGAAACGATGCGGTTCTACTGTAGCTCCCGTCTTTTAACCTGTAATGTTTTAACAGGAAACGCCTTTTGCCACTCATAATATTTACGCTTCATCTTCACGTCCCTGTAAAAACAAGAAGGAAACTATTTGCTGTTAGCTTATCGTCGTCGGCTATCTGAAAACACCCGCCGCGGCGCAGTTAACGGCATCCGCCCGCAGTTATTAGTGAAGTTATGAACCTGGAATATCACTTTCTCACGTTACAGAATGAACACACAAAGAAACTGAACTCGCTTTGCTCCTTTTGTTGTGTTGCGTGATTATAAACCAACTTTGCGTTTAACGTCACTGTCTCCTGACGCGGACAGTTTTTAGCTAACGATCCGGTAAAACTATTAATCGTGTGGTGTTTTCAGGGGATTTAACGGTGTTAAAGTAGGCGTTAGCTCATTACCGTTCGAGACAAATACTATTTCAATTATGAAAATAAAAAAATAAAAATGTTGGTTCAGCCTCTGCGGTTGTTGGAGGACGCAGGCCGGGTCTACGAAGGCCGCAGGCTACAAGGATGCAGCCTAGCGACCGTGAGACAGACTTCACGAGCGTGGCCTCGGGGCGGCCCCGCAGAGCGCCACGTGCTCGCTGCATTGGCCTCGGCTATAGAACACCAGAACGGGCGCCCTGTGCTTCTCACAGCTCCTGTGATAATGTGAAAGGGTCTGAAGAAGCCGAGGAGAACGTATGCTGCCTGCAACACGGTTCAGGGGGACCGGGTTGGTGGTGGTCAGTGATACAGGCTGCAGGACGCCATCAGGATGAGCCTTTAACCCAACGCCCGACCCCACGCTGGTGCAGCAGTTATTGCTTCCTTTGGCCTCACAGAACCGGTTTCACGTTATAATATTTTGTGGAATGGTCTTGAAGGCGTGGCGCATAAACACGTTGAAATAGCAGAGTGTAGTTACGCTGTCTATGTCTGCGGCCGCGCAAACGAGGAATCGACGTGAAACTTAATGTTCAGGGGACGCTTGGGAAAGAAGGACAAGCGCATGTAGTTGGGAGAGAAACATTTTTCAGGAACATAAAAAAAAAAAAATGTTGAAAAGTAATTTTTCCTTCTGTGCGGCTCGGTAGCAAATGGCCCAACGGTCCGCGGCCCGGGGGTTGGGGACCAGGCGCCGCAGGTTGCTCCTCAGACTTTAGCGGCATGAGGTCCTTTATGAGACGCATTCTGAGCTGCAGACATTTTATTCTGGCTTAACGCACCAGCCTGGCCCATCATTTATTCACTTTGACTCCCGGGGAGTCTATCAAACGAAGCCCTACTTAAGCTGTATAGATGCCCAACACGACCCGCAGTGTTTTCAAAGCCCTGGACCTTTATGGGCGGCGCGTGTGCACGTGCGTGACCGGGGGCTCCACCTGACGGCGCGGGCTGATCGCGGAGTTTGGTTGCGGGGGCGTACAAGGAGTGTTCGCCGCAGTCCCGTCTGCGGAATGACGACCTCAGAAGAGGAAGTTCGTGTCTGGGTCTCATCTGAGCGAAACTCGGGAAAAGGCTCATTAGCGATGCAGCGGCGTTGACGTGGGCGACCGCGCGCTCATAAATAGCGATGGAAGCACGCGGCTGATCCGCCACCGCGACACCCGCGACGCCGCCGGCACATGGAGGACGACGCGGAACGAGGAGCGCAGCGGGACGCGCTGATCCAGCTCCTGCGGCGCAGCGAGACGCGACACCGGCGCGCGGCCCGGATGCTCGGCCTCGCGCTGCTGCTGCTCACCGGCGCGCTGGCTTTGCTCACCGCGGCGGTGTTCGGAGGGCGGGCCCGGCAGCCCCCGGAGAGCCAGGTAACGTTTGACGGCGCGGCTTTGATTACTGCGCAGTCCAGTTGGAACGGACTTTTTAGCTCATTTAGATAACGCACCGGGTTTGGCGTGTTTTGCTGCTCTAATTGATAACAACTAGCTTAAGTTTGGCATTCAATATTTGCGATTATATATCCTTTCTAATGTGTCAAATCCACCCAATGTTGGCACAGTTTGTATTTGTCTGCGCCTGCGCGTTACAGAAAAGCATGTGTTATTGCTCCAAGCAGGAAACGATCCCAGGCTGAGGTCTGGATTAAGACCACGGCCCGGGAGGTCTAGATTAAGACCACGGCCCGGGAGGTCTAGATTAAGACCACGGCCCGGGAGGTCTGGATAAAGACCACGGCCCGGGAGGTCTAGATTAAGACCACGGCCCGGGAGGTCTGGATAAAGACCACGGCCCGGGAGGTCTGGATAAAGACCCGGATCTTTCTGCCGTCACAGCATCGCGTCCCGTGCGTCGGGCTCGCTCGCTGGTGTTCGCGTGCTGCCACTGCAGACGCCGAGCTCGCGTCTTCCGTCGGTTGTGTGAATAACACGCTACGTGTTGCGCGGCCGTTAAACGGTTAAACGTGTCTCCGGGGCTTCAGCCACATGCTGGGTCTGTTGGGACAAACATCCGGACCCGGTGTCCTGGATCACAACAGTCGGTGAAGTTTCACCTAATCGTTGAGCGCTTGACTGCACCGCACGCAGCGAGAAATGCTACGTTTCTATTACACAAACGACATGTGCATTTAAACATGTAAACTGTCACATTAGCCCGCGTAGTTTCTCGGTGTTCAGAATCAGCTGTGTGTGTGTGTGTGTGTGTGTGTGTGTGAGTGTGTAACTGTCTAAATGTCTCGTGGATGTGAGTTAGTGGAACGTCTTTCTTTCTTCATCCGATCTAGAATTCGCTTTCTGGTCCATCACGACATTTCCTGTACATGCAGTGTTTTGATACACATCATGTAAAATCAAATCAAACATCCGCGAGTAAAAGTTGTGAGTAATCAAACGGACTTAACCCGCCCCGACAGAAGGTAAACAAGGCGTCCATTTGTTTCATGAGAGGTCACAGAAACTTTCCCTCAACACCTCCTACCTGAATTAAGAACGTTATGTAAAAGGATCCGATTCCCTATGTGCTTTTTATAATCCATTTTAATCATGTCTCAATCAATCTTGAATCATGTCGTCTCAATATATGATGTCATCACAATATGATTTCATTGAAGGGAAGATGGATCATCGTATTGAAACCCTCGTGGGAAACAATCATGTGGTCATTGTGGAGAGAATCATGCGGCCTGACCGATTACCGGGTTATGTTATGTATTAAGTATAATACGGGTAGATGAAATGCAGCGCTCTGATTGGTTGAGAGGGAGTCACGGGGTTTGCGTTATTCAGTGATAACGTACAGCTGCTGTTCACATTGATCCCAGCGTTCAGTATCACTGCTCACTCACAGTAACAGTCGGGGGGTTGCTAACAACACCTCCGAACATCATTGGACAATAAAGTACAACCTTTGTACCTTATAGCTTAAATATACCTGTAATTACTAAGTAGTACCAGCTATGTGTGATATTAACACACATCAATGTCTCAGCAACATGTGAATGAAGTGGCGTGAGATGATGTTTCATCTTTGTGTTTGTCTACTTGCAGCCGATGATTCATCCTCACGCGCATCCATCAGGTAAATATCTCATCAATATTCTATGTTTTCTTGTGGTCATGGACGAATGTGCTGATCGGCCCCGTGAATTTCTGTCCTAGGGCTCAGCCTCACGCAGAAGCAGGACTTGATCAATCCAAGCGCCATGCTGACAGGTAAAACCCGCGTTCAGGGTAGGGGCTGCCCCCCCCAGGCCCGTCACTCTTCATCCATTTGCACAATTTAGTACAAATTAACAAACATAACACACGATAACCCCACTGGGCTGATTTAAAGCCGCCATCTAAATAATATTAAAATGTTACAAAATTATATAGAACATTAAAACCTAAAATATTATTGGCAATACATCCCAACAGTGTCACACACAACATGTTGGTGTTGCATTCTATTTGGACCTGATGACGCTAATTAGTCAAAACAGCACGGTTCACAATGTCATCTAGTCTTCCCCATCTGTACTCAGAGGGAGGTGTCCTAAGGACAAAAGAAAAGTAACTTTCATGTAAACCAGATTGCTCCATCAGACAAAAACAAATAAATGCCAATGCCAATGCAAATAAAGTTGTGCAAAAGAAGAACTAATATTTGTCAAAACTAAACGGGGCTGTGATGTTTCACAGTGCGGGTCGATCCGTGTTCTCTCCATAGTTTGCCTGTCTCAGTGTCCCAGTGCTTCACAGCAGCACACTGCTCCTTAGTTACTAAGGGTGGGTAAAATGCAGAGAATATTTTCCCCATGTGGGATTAATAAAGGATTATAAATAAAATAATAATAGTATTTTTACAAATAAATATATATTTTTTGTAATTTAAAAATATTACGTTTCCCCCAGCCCCTCGCGCCCACCTGTAATACCTCTGCCCCCCACCAGAGGGTCGCGCCCCACAGTTTGAGAACCACTGCGTTAACTCATCAAAAAACACACATCATTGCAAGTGGATGAAATAATTCACAACACGTGTCTTTGGTTAGTCTTTCCTCTTTGGTGTGGGTTAGATATGCCGTCTCCACACACTGTTTTCCCCTTCCGATCTCCCTGTGAAACGTTTATGTGAACCAACACGTATCGCCTCTAGCTTCTACCTTCAAGATGTCATCGTGATAGCATCTAACAAAAACATAAACTGCCCACCCTGATATTCATGCCAGTGGAATGATTCGCCATCCGTTGCCTGGGGGGGGGAATAACAAGAAGTTCTTGGCAGCTCGGATCAGGGAGGTTCCCTGCTGCAGCCTGGAGATGAATACTGCTGAAGAAATGCGTCAGCCACAACATCTACAAACACCCTCCTCGTGACTTAGTCCACATTTATATTTGTCTAATATTTTCCTGTTGGAAAAGTATTGAGGGATAAAGTACCACATAATATCACCAGCTCGGGTAGATACCTTTGAAAGTAAACCCTGCAAAACTGAACACCAACATCATTTACCTCTCTGCTCTCATCCGCAGCTCCCAATGGCCGCAACACTAACGGGATGTATCTGGAATGGGAGTTTGAGACTGGAAATGCTTTCCATCAGGGAGGTTTCAACTACTCCGAGGGGAGCCTCGTGGTGCCCAGGAGCGGCATCTACAGAGTCTTCCTGCAGGTCACCTATGAGAGAAAGTACGACCCCAAGTGCTTCGAGCAGAAACTCACCAACTCAGTGGTTTTCTTCTGCGATAAATACAAAAGCAACAGGCCTCTCCTTACGTCGACGGACTCAGTGGGCTGCAGCCAGAACCAGTGGCCTAAGACGCTCTACACGGCCGGCCTGTTCGCTCTGGACGCTGGCGGCCAGCTACGCGTCCAGTCATCGCACCCCAAGTTCATCGTCAAAAGTGAAACCGGTGTGTTCTTTGGCGCTGAACTTCTGCCTCAGTAATCAGCTAGAACCCCTGAATCTCATTAGCTCATGAATTGGTTTCAACTTCCATGGAAGTTCAACAGTAGCTCCAGTGTCGTTTAATGGTTACGGCTCAGGAAAAAGCCAAACCCACTGTTGAATTCGCCACAGCATGAAGCTGCTTGTATCTGCTCGACTGTGTGTTTGCTTCATCTAATTGAAGTCCTAAGCTGCTTAGTTTAGAACTCAATATAATTAGTTAACAAAAAAAAACATGGCCTACAAGCTTATATTGAACAAACCTGCAGGAGTACGCTCCATGTTCTCATAGCCATGGAGCCAGGAACTTGTGGAGGACCCTGGTCACGTGCAGGGCCAAGTGGACCTCCCAGCCTCAACGCCTAACCAAGGAAACCAAAAGTTTGGGCAAAATTGGCAACAAGGTGGATTGTCGGCGGCAACGGTGAAGCAGCAGGGCAGACCTGTCTAACTTTATGCATTTGTGTCATCTAAGTCACGTCGGGTGAGTTACGTCATTGCACCACATGTCAGTTCTGTTGTTTTACAAACCGTGCAAGAGGCGTAAACGTGCCGTTGATATCCAAGTATTTGCTCTGTGATAGATCAACTAATAGATGTCATTCATACATTTAAAGATGTTTATAGAGTCAGTAGTTTATACAGACTGCACATACTGTGGAAATGTGTCATGAGTTTGTGTACAGATTTGAACACATGCACAAATTGGGTTTCTATTGTAAGTTTCACGGATTTGGAGGACTGTCATTTGTAATCTTTTTTTGTTTGTATGTGTGTTGTGGAGATTTTGTGAAATAAAATTTTTAATGAAAATCACGTCAAGCTATTTCCTTCTGTCAGTACAAACGCGTGGGTACATTTTGGGCCTCGCTCGGGAGGTGTTGACACATTTCCCAAATGCTTCTCTCGCACTCGTTAACCAATTGTGGCGGGCATGGTTTGGCTTGGTGGCTGTGGGGACAGAGCCAGTGGAGTGAAACTAAAATCGGTGAAATATGCTCAAACTTCCTTGTGCCAGTTAAAAGGCGTGCAGCTGCATTTTGCACCAGTTGGAGACGTGCAATGGAGGACCCACTGATCCTCATATAAAGTGCGTTGCAGTAATCCAGCCGAGTGGTCACAAAGGCGTGGATTACTGTTTCAAAGTGCTGTCTCCGTAAAAAAGGTTTTATTTTTGCCAGCTGCCTTAACTGGAAGAAGCTTGCTTTCACCACAGCTTTAATCTGGCTGTCAAATTTAAGATCCACGTCCACTTTTATCCCTAGATCATTTACAATTGGTTTGGCATACTGTGCCAAGGAACCCAGATCGCCTGAGCGGGTCACAGAGGTGCCACCAAAGACCATCGCTTCAGTCTTTTTTTCATTAAAATTTTAAAGGTTTCGAGCCATCCAGGTTTTGACATCCTCTAAACAGTTTAACAGTGGCTTAAGGGAATATGAATCAGCCTTTTTTAGGGGTACATAGATCTGGCTGTCATCAGCATAACAATGGAATGAGATGCCGTGCTTCCTGAGAATGGAACCAAGTGGGAGAAGGTACAAAGAAAATAAAAGAGGACCCAGCACCGAACCCTGTGGGACCCCACATGGGAGAGGAGCAGTGGAGGACACAGAGTCACCAAGGCTGATACAAAATGTCCGATGAGACCGGTAGGACTTAGACCGTTCCAGCGCCGAGCCCCTGATGCCCACCCACTGCTTCAAACGATCAATCAGGATGTCATGGTCCACTGTATCAAATGCCGCAGTTAAGTTCAAGAGCACAAGGATTACACAGTGACCAGCGTCAGTAGCTAAAATAAGAATCAACCACGTTACACCAATTAATAAAGTGGTGTATTTGGAATAATGAGTGTGACGCCTTTTAAACGGCTCCAGATGTAAAGAAGAGAAGGATGAATCTCAGAGACGGGAAAAGTAATGGCTTCATCATTTTCTAGTCCTGACAAAGCTGAGAACAAGCCCAGGGGGGCAGTTTATTGTTAAGTAGCAATACTAAGTGGACAGATAGCTCCTGTTTTCATTCTAATCAGAAACATGGTGACTCCCCAACCTGGTTACAACCAGAGTGGTTTCCTTCAGACCACTCAGTTTCTGAGTGGATTGAACATTTAGTCATCAACACGATGTTGCTTTATCTGGCTGCTAATTAATCATGATCTTCAGGGGATGAGGATACTCCTATTCAGACCCTCCAAGTTATTTGGCAAGTTTTAGCCATTTCGAGTGATTTATAGTAGTATTTCAAATTCCTACAAGGAATTTGTCATGACTGAGACGTATTTCCACATCTTCACAGGCTGCTTCCGGTCAGACAGGAAGTCCATGATCCACTTATTATCCCCAAATACTCTGAACTGAATATTCAGAAGACCTAAAGTATGTTTAAGTGACATGTTGTGTAAATATATAACAGGGAGGGAACCTGCTCCCATGCATCTCATCACAATGTCAGAGAATCAATTCCACAGCAGCACAGCCTGCGGGCCGTCAGAGTTGTTCACCTGCATTCCATGCAGTTTCTCTGCCTCTGGGCTGGAGGTTGTCAAGGATGCGCGGATGTCTCAAACGCAGACTTCTTGGAAAGCAAAATACTTTAATTGTCAAAAAGGCAAAAGCAAAAGGCCAAGGGGCAAAAACACACAGGAACCAGGGGAAAAACAGGAGACAGGAACTACGAACTACGAACATCCACGACGAAAGACAATGACGCGACAAGTGACACAAGAGACACACGGCTTAAATACACAAGGGAGGTGCAGGTGATTGGACACAGGTGGAAACTATTAGACGATTACAGGGGATGACGGGACAAGGCAGGAAGTGAACCACACCGTGACCCCCCCCTCAAGGGACGAATTCCAGACGGCTCACACCAGAGACGTTGGTCGGACCACCCGGGAAACTCTGGCGGGCGGCCCGGCGGGCGGCCAGACGAGCGGGGAGCCTCTGGGGGTCGGCCCGGCGGACAGGCACACTGCCGGGGAGCCTCCGGGGGTCGGCCCGGCGGACGGCCATTAGTCCGGCTCCGGAGCGGCTACTGCAGGGCACGGAACGTCTCTGGAATGGGCGGTCGTCAGCGGCTCGGGGACACGGAACACCTCCGGAGTAGTCGGCGGCGGCTCGGGGACATGGAACACGTCCGGAGTAGTCGGCGGCAGCTTGGGGACACGGAACACGTCCGCAGTCGTCGGCGGAAGCTCCAGCTCGGGGACACGGAACACCTCCGCAGTCGTTGGCGGCAGCTCGGGGACACGGAACACCTCCGCAGTCGTCGGCGGCTCGGGGACACAGAACGCCTCCGCGGTCGTCGGCGGCTCGGAGACACGGAACGCCTCCGCGGTCGTCGGCGTGAGGATGCAGGAAGCCGGAGTTGCCAGCTGGAGGGAGCGGAAAGCCCCCGGAGTCACTGTTGCAACCCCTGCCATGACCCCCCCCTCAAGGGCCGGATCCCAGACGGCCCTCAAATCGCCAACGGGAGGGAGGGAGAGGACCACGGGATGGGAGGGAGGGAACCTGAGTCGGGGAGCGGGGACCGGAGGCGTCGGAGTCATGAGTCTCGGGGCCGGTACTGGCCGAGTCGGGGGCATGGAACGTGGGGCCGGTACTGGTCGGGTCGGGGACATGGAACGTGGGGCCGGTACTGGTCGGATCAGGGGCATGGAACGTGGGGCCGGTACTGGTCGGATCAGGGGCATGGAACGTGGGGCCGGTACTGGCCGAGTCGGGGGCATGGAACGTGGGGCCGGTACTGGTCGGGTCGGGGGCATGGAACGTGGGGCCGGTACTGGTCGGGTCGGGGACATGGAACGTGGGGCCGGTACTGGTCGGATCAGGGGCATGGAACGTGGGGCCGGTACTAGTCGGGTCGGGGGCATGGATCGTGGCGCTGGTACCAGGGGCATGGATCGTGGCGCTGGCTCGGGGGTCGGGGGCATGAATCGTGGCGTCGGCTCAGGGGTCATGGGCTTGGGTCGGGAGGCCGGGACGGGAATCTGCTGCGGCCCAGCGCTGGACATTCTGCGCTGCGACCGAGGGGGGTCGGGAGGTGCAGGTCACAGGTGATGACAGGACAAGGCAGGAAGTGAACCACACCGTGACAGAGGTAACTACTGCTCTAAACTCTCTAAATGCTCGCCATCATGTAGCAACTTCATACTATTAAATGTCCTTTACGCTCACCTGACCCAAACCTGATAGAACACCTCTGGAACAGTTGTGACGCTGTCAGGTTGCTCCTCAGACTTTACCGTAGCTCACTGATGCCCTTAGACAGATCTGAGAGGACATCTCACAAGACAACTTTGGTAGTCTCATTAGGAGCATGCCACAACATTGTCAAGCATGCGTACAAACATGTGAGGGCCAGGCAAAATATTGAGAAGCATTTTGAGATGCAGAAATTGCATTTTGCACGGGTCAGCAGGGCGCCGGCAGGAGGCAAGACCAGGGTCCAGAAAGAACCGAGAAAGCAGAAAGACTACCAAGACTAACAAGTTAGTGATGTGCATTCATGTAATAGTGTCAGAAGGCCCATCCATTAACTACAAGTAACCAAGCATTTATGGACGCAGCTCTCTAGTATGGCAATATGGTATCATAAAATCTGTAAGATAAGACGGTACCTGACCAGCAAGTACCTTGTAGGTGAGGGGAAGTACCTTCAATTCTAGTCTTGATTTTACAGGGAGCCAGTGCAGAGAAGTTAATACAGGAGTAATATGATACCTTTTCTTAGTATTTAATACATGTGCTGCAGCATTCTGAATCACCTGGCGAGGCTCAAGAGATGTCCAGGTCGAAGAGAAGAACAAGATTCTTTACGGTGCTGCTGAATACCAGAGAAACTATATCAACAGATTTCGAGGGCTCTGTGGGCCTAATAAAATAATCTTTCATCAGTCGAACGAGATGAATGGTCTTGTCTGTTTCGACAGAGACAATTGAGTATCGTCTGCATAACAATTAAAGTTTCTGCAGTGTTCTTTTGGAAATCTGCATTAAGGTTTCACTATTAACAAACTAAAACTGTAAATGATCCGATAAATACGACTTAAACCAGCTGATTGTGGTTCCTTTAATACCAATCTCATGTTCTGTCAGGAAGGCGGGTGTGTGGCAGAGGCGGGACTCAAACGCAGACTTCAAAACAAAAGACTTTAATAGTCAAAATCAAAAAGGGAAAGGGAGAAAAACGCAGACAGGCACCAGGAACACTGACTTGGACTTCTGGAACATTCAACAATGACGCGACAAGTGACAACAGACACACAGAGCTTAAATACACTAGGGAGGTGCAGGTGATTGGAAACAGCTGGAAACTATCATGACACGACAGACAATCACAGGGGATGACAGGACAAGGCAGGAAGTGAAGTTACACGGGGACATGAGTGGCAGAAAACTACAAAATAAAACAGGACGTGAACCCAAACCGTGACATGTTCTAGTCTCTCCATCATGTCAAATGCAGTACTGAGGTCTAAGAAGACAATAACAGAGATGAGTCCTTTGTCGGATGCAAGTCGTGGGTCATTCGTCTCTCAGCAAGTGACTCTGCTTCAGTTGGGAAAGGCCTTAAACACCTCACAAACTACAAGCCCAACCCCCCTCCCACTCCATGAATGACCTCCGCCTGGTTGACGAGCTGAACGAGTTCTACTGCAGATTTGATAGACAATGTCCTGATCCCATCCCCCACAGCTCCACCATCCTGCCCCAGACAAGGACGAGGGCAGGCTGCAGCGTGTCATCCGCTCTGCAGAGAGGCTGATCGGCTGCAATCTGCCGTCCCTGCAGGACTCGTTCGCTTCCAGGACCCTGAAGCAGCTAAAAAGATGGTAGCCGACCCCTCTCACCCCGGACACGACCTGTTTGTGCCCCTTCCATCTGGCAGGAGGCTGAGGTCCATCAGGACTAAGACCTCCCGCCACATCAACAGTTGGCAGCCGGGCTGACTTACTGACTCTGACATTCCACCGGTCACTTTCTTCACACTCCACATGCACAAACAAATTCACTTTCACATGCACTCACAACACAGTTGTGTAGAGTATGGCTATATGGGTATCTAGTTCTTAGAGATCTAGCCAACACCTCTGGAGCAAGAGTAGGTTTCTAAAGAAGAGGTTAAATTACCTTGATAGACTGTGGTACATGTCCTATCAACAAAGACAGATTCATAATATCCAGTAAAGACGTGCTGACTAAAGGTAAAACTTCCTTAAGCGGCTTAGTTGGAATTGTATCCACGAGACAGGTAGAAGATTTAGACTTTGAAATTGTGGAAGTCAGTCGATCAAGGTTGATGGAAGAGGAGCCATCCGAGTACCAGGGCCCACTGCTGCATCCAAGGACAGATCGGCACTGTTTGAAGGCAGGAGATCAATTTTCCCTTAGTTAGAATCTTAAATAAGTTCATAGTTGTTACTACTGAGGTCCAAAGGAATACACGGCTCGACAGAGCGGTGACTCTCTGTCAGTCTGGCTACAGTGCTGAAGAGAAACCTGGGGTTGTTTTTATTTTTCTCTATTAATGATGAGTAATAAGATGCTCTTGAAACGCCAATACTATTCAGTCACCGTAGAACTAGGGAGCTATTTGGGGTTAAGTGTCTGGGCAATATGTATGTATATATATATATATATATATATATATATATATATATTAGTCTATTTATACAAATACCAAAACATAGATCCAGAGTGCCTGTTGTGTGGTTGGGTAAGGAGTGTTCTTGGTTGTAGGCTTTTTCAAAAGGGTTTGGTCACTCATATTAACATTAGCTATATGGAATTTAGAAAATGGAGATTGAACTCTTTGGAGGCAGACGTAGGAGCATTCCTCTGTCTGCACACGGGATCGTTCACTCTGCACCTGCCGGATGTAAATTACATGTAATGTGCTGCGAAAGTTAGGCCAGAGTGATACTAGACGTTCTTTCAGAGCTGTGTGGATTTGGCCGCCTGATGCCTCTACTGGCTCATCATGCTGGTCGATATTTGTATAACTATAAAGCTCTCGATGATCAAATCCAGATTCAACAACTGATAACTTTAGAAGATCTCATACCGATCGTGATCACTAGGTTTCACTTCCCACCTACACCTTTTGTATTTATAGTGTGGCTTGTAAAACGAGAGTCAGTACAAAGGCAGGTTGGGGAGTTTAATTTCCGAGCTCGGTCTCATGAAAGCACCGACGTGATGAAACGAAGAGGAATGTACATACCTTTGCGTACCGGTTGTTCTGGAAATGTTTCTGTGTGTGTGTGTGGCAAAGATTGTTTTGATGAGCTTTGTTAAATTCCTTCGATCGCAAACTTCCCACAACATTCTTATCCCACAACATTCTTATCCGTACAACCCGAAACAGAATGCCATTCAAAATATTTGAACCAAAACTCAAAAGGCAGTTGGGTATCTGTGCAAGAAAAGACCAAAACTTCAGCTTCTATTATTATCATTAGGGGGAACGGAGCGACGGGGTGGTGCTGGGATGAGGCCTCGGCTGGGCTTATTCTGTGTGCGTCTCTTCCACATAGCGACTGAGAAGCCGAAGGGGAGAGAGGAGCGTGAAGCGCGACGGACTGGTGGCTGGAGGTGCAGCTGTTGGTGTACAGGGAGAAGAGCAGAGGGGAAGGAACGCAGCCTTGGGGGGAACCGGTGCTGATGGTCCGAGAGGCTGAGGCATGTTTCTCCAGCTTCACGTGCTGCTTCCTGTCAGACAGGAAGTCTGTGATCCACTTGCAGGTGGAGTCGGGCACGTGCAGCTGGGAGAGTTTGTCCTGCAGCAGAGACGGGATGATGGTGTTGAAAGCAGAGCTGAAGTCCACAAACAGGATCCTGGCGTAGGTTCCTGGGGAGTCCAGATGCTGGAGGATGTAGTGGAGGGCCGTGTTGCACTCAGCTGGTCCCTCCGTCAGGTCAGCTGTGTGGGGTAGCCGCTGTGGCTTGCACCTCCTTCCTGCACATCGCCGCCCCCACCACTGCTACTGCTGGGAAGGAGCAGCCCCCAGTCAGAAGCCCTCACGAATCCACCCCCTTAATTAAGAAATGTGGTTTCTTAGATTGCCACTGAAGTGACTATACTATTATTAGCACAATAAAGTGGATGAAAATAAACACTAGAGAAAAATTAATTTAATTCAATTTGTTTTAGCCCAAAATCACAGATGACCCCCGGAGTTCTTAGTCACTCGGAATCCCTTGAACTCGCGAGGTTCCGTAGGACTGATCTCAGGATGATACTTGTACGTGACGGGAGGTCATCCGGGGTCACAGGTGACTTTGTTGGTTTAAAGACTCGTCAGAAGACAGAGCCGGAAGATGAGCCAGTGTGAAGCACTGGCTCATTTATGGAGCATTTACCATAAACCAGCATTTATGGAGCGCAGCTCTCCAGTAGGACAATACGATAATATGAGCTCCTTAAGAGAAGACGGTGCTTCACCAACAGGGCTTCGTAGGTGAGAAGTACCTCGATGTAATAAGGAGTGTAGGATCAATACCACACATTATCGGGGAATCATGATGTCGTGGGAAAGAATGATGAAGCTGCCTTTTGGTGCAGCAGCATGAAGCACTTCTGCTTCGGCTTCAGCTTTTCACCGCTGTGGTTTGTTGTTTATGGAGGAAAAGAGCAGGAATTCAAATGACTGACTTTTTATTGAATTACATACATTTCATCCATTCAGCATGGTTAAGGAACAGTACATACATAGACAAAATATATAATATTAATAATAATAATAATACAAGATGAGGTAAACAAGTCACAAGACAACATTTGAAAAAAAAAATAATTGGGAAGTGAGCACAAGACCGGAAACATGACAGAATACATTCTTCCGCCGACCAGAAATATTAGACGTCATCACCCCGTCCCTCTCTGACCACAGGGACCAAAAACTCTTGCATCAGCATCATTTCAACTCCACCAGCACATTTTTGCATTTTCAGTGTGCTCATTTTACAAAAAAACTCAAAAAGGCAGGAGAGAAAAAAGAAAAAACAAGTCAATTAATGTGGGAGAGCATATAATATTTTGTGGAAATGGACTTGGCTACATAATGAACCTGGTTCATCCAGCAGGACAGGCTACGAGGAGTAGCACATGCAGCACTAAGACTGAAGACACTTTGAATTATTGACAGACAGAACAGCAACAGGCAGGAACATCACCAATTCAAAGGACAGGATCACACATACGGAACAAGCACACCATTAAAAGGAGTTGCAGTCTTGCATGCTGTTATGTGGTCTTTTGACCTTTTGTTGAGAGGAGCACATTCTCATCATTTTAAGGCAGTTAGGACAGGAGTGGTTATTTACTGCACAGGTGTTCATATTGGATCTTCTGTGCCGTGAAAAAGGCTGAGAAGCCTAAAAAGCAAGTACAACAAAAGAGCCCATTTGGAGTTCCTCTATCAATCAAGCGAAGGAGTTGGATTGTACCTACAAAACATTATGTTAGCAGCAGTTGAGGCGGCTCTGCTTCCCACGATTCTAGAACACTGATGAAAAACACCATTTGTTGTTTTATGGTCAATGGTCTTTGGGAAGCTAATGTTTATCTTATTAAATGGATCGGAAAGTTGCAAAACACAAGAGATCCAATTGTGTTTATCTAGCATTGGAAGACAGTGGAAGAGGACTTCTGCAGGGAAACCAGGGAGCAGCCACAGCTTTCATTTTCTTTAATACAAGTCAGCAGAACAGCGAGTTTGCCGTGACGCGGTCACAACGACCCAGTCTGTTTGCCCGGGATCATTTTCACTTCTTCCTCCGTGTGGAAGAGCCGTCATACCGACCAAAACTGCACCCAACTTTGATTGGGAGAACCAAGGAGGCGTGGTTACTGCATGCTTTATCCATACGGCGGCCTGCTGAAGACTTGTGAACACCTCTCAGAGACAATAAAGACACTTAATAACAAATCAGATCAACAACTCAGATTTGATGGAAATGCAAAGCAGGCATTTCCCCACATCGTTGGAATGCACAGCAATAAATAAGTAATAAATAGCAAAGAAAGAACACATAGTAATCCACTAACCATATCTAAAAGTCATGTTAAGGATTTTCTTGCAGGCATTGCAACATTGTCTCCATTATCACTGCTGTCAGCGTCACGTGACCATACTTGTGTGTGATAAGAGAAGTGTGTTTCACTTAACACGTTTCATAATGCTTACAGTGGAGGACGGCTATGGAAGGTTTGGTTAGTGGAACACTGTGAAATTGACAGAAGCGGATGAAAAATCTTCCTGGCTTCAGAAGTCATCATACATGTGCGCGTGTTCTTTAGCTGAGAAGCTCCAGGTACGTGACAGGCACTTTTCCTCTTTGGTTTCCCCTCTCTCCCATCAGCCAGTCACAGTCCATCCCTGGGACCGTGTACACTGTGATGAGCTGCAACACACAGTACACACACTAGTAAGGCTAAAGGACCTCCTCCTCCTCCTCCTCCTCTTCATGCGGTTACAAAGAGCCACAGACCGCATAGAGGGCTTGTGTTGGACAAACGGGACAAACATAAGACATTCACTCCACGTCCTGTACACGGACCAATCACATCTCGCAGGACATCATGTCATTGGTTCTGTTTTGGCCGGTCAGTTAGCTGCGTGCTCAAGGACCTTTATGCGTAATGCATTTCAGTGCATTTCAGCAGTCTAGACTGGATCCGTTTTAGTTTATATCACCGAGTTAAACATTACAGCAGTTGTTGATGGTGCAGACACACCTTGAGACCGTCACGACTAAATGCACTTTTTAATGTACTTCCAGTACTCTGTCACAGTTTGGTTATGTGGCTACCTTTCTCTAACAGCACTGCTGTGGAAAAAACAACAGGGGTAAGGGAAGTTTTAGAGTGTGAAATAATTGAAAAACAACCAGCCCCAAAGGTTAGAGATGCAGGCCAGGATCCAGCTCATCAGGAACACTGCTGACTTTATGGGACACCATCTCCGCCATTACAAGAAAAGCTGTGTACACTTCTAAAATAAAACATTAACCCTGCAGGCAAAGGGCAGACGCACTACTTTAAACCGTAAACCAAGCGTGAGGCTCGTCCTTGGACTGAGACCTGGAGCCATTATTTCACCCAGCTGCTGCAGGTGGATGATTCTACTTTACCTCATCGGCTAAAAGTGAAAGCTCGCTGGAGTCCGCGGCATCGTAGTCGTAGAGGACTTTGGCCTTGCGGGATCCCGTAGCTGGGGCCTGAACTTCCTCGATCTTCAGTGTGTCCGTCTCCACAGGGCCTTCCGATGCGCTGCAGGCGGAGGCCGCGGAGTTGGTGGAGTTCAGGGCAAATGCGTCGGGAAGCCTGAGGGGGAGCAGGCGGATGACGCTGTGATGATTACAACGTGTATATGAAATAGAAACGCGCACAAATAGGACACGAACCGTGCCACATTACAAGTCTTTCTGTATTAGTGAAACGGTTCTAAAGGCCGGTGTCCAGTTCCTAATGCATTCAGAAGAAACATTCAAGCCTGAGCAGAAAGGCATGGGGGGCTTATCTCCAGTGCTACTCTAGTTCACGGCTGTACAGCAAATCAAACCGGGTGGAATCTGGAGCAGAGGGTGTGTGATTGAAATACACCCTCCCAGCCAATCAAATCGCCCTGACAGCTCAGCTAAAAGGAGACCAAAGGGGAAACCGCTCAATAAATGCAGCGATGCGTCTTCGGGGGACCATGTTGTTGTTGTCTGGAGTAGAGTGGCAGACAGGGACACACAGGATTGGTCTTTTTACAGTGAATTAGTGAAATATAGTGTTATAACTAATGCAGTTGTCTGCTTAAGTTATTGGACACTGAATTGATTTAATTCAGGTAAGAACAAATTGTCATGTTGTGCATAATATTGACAAATATGATAACAGCACTCCTGAAATTCAAGGATAAAACAACCACAGGACATGCAGAGAGAGACGTCTGCAGGCATTTCATGCAACACCCTCCAATCAGTGTTTCTAAAAGCTCATCATACCTGTATATGTATCAATGCGTTGTAGGTAACTCAGTAAATATGTATGCACTGACACAACAATGAGTTTGGGTGATTTGCATCTGCTTCACACTCTATGAGTCAAAGTTTGACTGAATTTACAAACGGGCCACTGTGCAGCATTTAGGAGAATTTATAGCCGAGAAATGGAATACAATATCAGCAACTATTTAAATAAGACGCCTTGTGATTTGGCTTCCTCAGAGGACTCGTTTGTTTCTACGGTAACCAGTGATGTAGTGGAGTAACTACCAATACTCTACATGAGCGGACTCTTTGCAAAGCATAAAGAGAGGAGCCATACTCACAAGTCCTCATCACAACTGATGCCGCGAGGCCGTCAAAAGGATTAATTCTGAGTTGTCAAAACCAGAAATTCATAGGACCTCTGAAGTGAGGACAAATCCATGCGGTCTTCATCTTGTATTTAAACAATGCATTGGTTGTTATGTACAACTATTTCTAGAATAAGTTAATTCACATGCCACATGGAATATATTCCAAAATGTATCATTTTCTGATTTGATACAGTGCATGATATCCATACTTTATCTGATTGAGAAAATGACTATCATCATATAATTAATCATTTCTGTGTGTCTTGATCGATCACTTTTCAACAGATGGTCTGCATGTTGCGTTTGGCCTCCAGCTTGTGTACAGAAGACACTTCACCACATTCCCTCACGTCTCACCTTCCAAGCTCTTTCTGGAGTTCCTGCATGTGGAAATGACACTGCTTGTAATACGCTGCTTGGGCCTCCACAAACTCATGCAGGCAGCGCAGGTGGTTCACCTGCACAATAGGCAACAACACAGGATCCGTTATTGATTGAAACACACGCTTCTGAGCTCATCTCATAAAGAAGTACTCCGACATTACACACACACACACACACACATAAATACAGTCACCACAAACGCAGCTTTGAATGTGTGTGTGACCTACATGTGTACTACTGATGCCCTCCAGAAGCAGCCGGGTAACCTCTGCTTGGCGGTCAAACTCTGTTTGGGCCACTCGGAGCTCATGTTCAGCCTGAAAGCAGGAAGAGGAGGCGTGTTGGTGACCCTCGGGACATCTACACATCTACAATCAGGTGACACGTGGAGCGATAACGACTGGGAAGGACTAATGCTACGCCTGCTGATCCAACGGACATAGAAGCCAGGACGTGTGTTTTCATGGCCCGGGACCCTCAGAGTGGTAATCAGGGCGGACACGCTTCGACCCCCCCGATTAGAATCGCTTTGTGTTGCAAGAAGCCTTTTAATGTGGCCAATCACAAACAGGGAGAAGTACTTCTGCTGGACAACATGCAGCACAACCTGGTTTATTTGGAGACAAGGCAGTAGGACAAAGATCACAACAACATTTGCCTACTTACTTTTTCCACTTCCTCACTCCAGAGCTGAGAGGCCAGATGACGCAACAGGAGGAGAAGAAAGATATGAAAGACGTGAGAACAATGACCAGAAGGCTTTCACAGGCGTGCTCCCTCCCTGACGCTCCCTTCAGGCAGGATTAAACCGCTGCACCTTTGATTCTATTTTTCACTTGTTTAAATCGTTTGCCTCATGTTTTGATCCTTTCACTGGTTTTATCTGAATGAACTTGAATAAACCAGTTGTTGAAGTGTGCTCTACAAATAAACTTGCCTTGCCGTTTGTGAGTGCGCAGGTGCCACCAGGCCCTTTGTTGATGCTGGGTGTGGTCCGAATGGCCTAATACACCTGAACACTGAATTAAGAAACAAAGGCATGTGGTTTCTGCCCCGCTCCAGGTGGCCTTTCACAGGCAACAACCTCATTTTACTGACCCCACTTTCAGAACCGCAGTCTGCTGAACACACAACCCGGCTCCATAATGAGAAGACGGTGCACGTCCAGCTGTGTTTGGTAAATCGTCTCCTTACCGCTGAGGCACTGGCAGACAGCACGTAGTTGCGGGGTCTGGTCTCCTGAAAGTCTGGTGCCATCTGCAGAGACAGTGAGGTTATTTCCCATTAGCAGCACACACCGGAACATAGTCCAGCACACACGTGAGTACAGAGAGCACAGCCGACAGAAAACACTTTAAAGGGGAGACATAGCATGCTCGTTTTCTACCGCCACACACAGATCACTTTCCTCGTTGCGCCTGTGTGAATATCCCTGCATTCACCTTCTGTCGCAAACCGGACAATTCTCTGCACGAGTCCAGCGTTATATTGGCCCAAAATGATTTGCACACACCGCCCAAATGCCTGCTGGGACACGGCCTTCGTATATGAAATGAATCCACTTGGATCTTGTGACCTTCTGCCTGGGACGCCGTGTAGAGAAACGTGTGGGACTGTGCAGCAAACCACAGCGCATTTTGAAGGTTGGGTCCTTCGGGGGGGGATATGAAAAGGACTCTGCATTGGTCTGATGATGTCGGCGAACCGCAGAAAAAAAAGGTTTTATTTAATTCATTACAGCTTGTGCAGCTTTTTTGAGTGATTACCCAGCTCAGGAATCATTTATTGCCAAAATATGTCGAACATACAAGGAATTTGTCTTGGCGGTTGGTGCGCGACAGTAGAATAGAATACAGCGCACACAGGACTGCGGTGAGGACACACAACCAGGACGTGGCTTTTGAGTTCCTAGGTTCATTTTTATATACAATCCATATTAATCGTAATAATGTGTGTTTGAAATGAATCATGCTGGGATGTTTACTGAAACCGATTGGCAAAAGTCCACCATGCGCCACTGCTTCAGGGTAAGTCTGTCTATGACACTGTCCTGATTATATATTAATATAATATAAATCAGTAAGTTATTAATGTAGAAAGTGAAGTGGTCCACTTCTTATCCAGAGGTTCTTGCAGGAACTTAAAGTGACTCAGAGTCAGATGTATCCCAGCCAACTGCAGAGAGATGACATGCAGCAAATGGAATGGTGATGCAACACAAGATGAAGTGCATCTACACGCGGCCTCCACTGACGTGACCAACCCCTCTGGAACAGGCTGTGATATCACAGGCGTCAGGCAGTAGTTCATCATGCACATGCAAACACGCATGCAAGTGTTCACACTGAAAAAGAACGTTCTGACTCCTTTTGATTCTGTTAAAGAGTTCCACAAAAAGAAGAGGGGGTTTTGAAGGCGTGGAATAGTGGAACGGGAAAGGAACTTCATACATTAGGATTTCGATTTAACAGCTAGGATTTTGTACTGGAGCAGTAGAAACAGAGTTGATTCACAGCAGTCAGGCATTAGCTGTAACGCCGTGGGCCTCTGGCTGGCAGTGCTGCACAACCACCTGCTGGCTAAACAGTATCATGCTGTCAGCCTACTCTGCACCACAAAGAGTAAAACAGCTCCTTAGAATCACATCCGTCTTCCAGAAAAGAACCAAAGAAGATACATTTCTGTTACTCTGCGTTGTTGAGTAGTTCAGGCCTGAACAACGGACGACTGTTGTCGATCTGCCACAGCAACAAAGTGTCACGTGAGCATTAATCAGAGAAAGACAAAGGGTCCACATTGTCTCCTAAGGCCTGTCAGTACCAGCCGGGGTCAATCAGTACAGCCCTCTGCTCCGTATTGGGTTCTGTTTGGCCTTCTGTCAGCACATTTTTTCATCTTTGGTATTTTCTTTTTTTAAAACAGATGCCATCATACTGCATCATTGTACGGTCGGTTTGTACTATCATGGTCTCACTTAATCCAAGATAAGTTCTATTAAAACTAGTTAAAAACAAGTACATCTAGATTTAAATCCAGCTTGTATTGAACACAGCCATGTTAAACAATTCACTCACTCATCTGGTGAGTAAATGGTAGTTTAGTGTTTAAGCAATAGAGATAAAATAAATCCTTGTTGCTGCAACTTAGTCTAAGGGCATAATGGCCAATTTATATATATATATATAATATATATATATATATATATGCTGTTAATTTCCCATCATATTGTTTAAAATGCTGCGGTTTCAGTCGACTTGTTTTTCCAGTGTATTGCGCAGCGTTTCTGAGTGATTAATTGATCAATGTATAAACGTTTCTTGTCACCAATTACTTAATGTCACAAAAACTGGACACAAAGCACGAGAGAAACTGGGCCAACATGTCATCATACTGAAAGTCTCTGGAATGCGTTTGATACTCACTTCGCCATCGCACTGCAAAGGTTATGAACAAACAGACAGACATGATAATGTCAGCACCACGCTGCTACATCGTGGGGGGGGGCAGTGGGCACAACAGCACTCACCGCGGCCTTGGCCTCGGCCACCTTGGCCTTCTTCAGACGGGTTTTACAGGCGTCCAGGTCCAAGCGGAGGTTCTCCAGAAGACGTCTTTCTTTCTGCAACACAGACAACGACCCGGAGGGAAGCTGAGCGGAGAGCAAGGACCACGGAGCAGGTACAGACACACACGTATGTGGGAGGAACAGCCACAGGTTGCCATGACGGTGTCACGCTCATATTCAAATGACCGTCGCGGTCAAGTTCACAATTCAAGGTTTTCACTTGTAGTCAGATTAATTTAAGCATATAGCACGTAGCGTTTGAGCACGTCTTTACCTAAACCTGCTTTAAAAGACGTCAGATGAATACGACTTCTCACTCTGCTTTTCAAAGTTCCACGAGCCTGTAAAAAATGATTCGTCCCCTTTATAGTTACCGTAATTGTTTTTTCACACACAAATGTTTCAGATCATTAAACAAGTTTTAAATCAGACAAAAATGAAACGAATAAATACAAAATGGTTTTAAAAACCAAACTTGTCCCTCTTGGATAAAAAATAAACCTTAAAAAGATTCTGCCGAGAACCTCTCCGTAGCGAAGACTCGGACCGCTTATCACGCACGCTTGACGTCAGTTGTTCCCGCCCCCAAGGGGACACAACCCGTCATCAGGGTTAGGGGACAATTACCCTTTCACACAGGCCCGGGCGGTTTGGACCAGCTTCTATCCGTCTGCCATTAGCAGAAAGGGTGTCGTTTCAGACTCACTGAAATGGTCCTCCAGTCTCCTTCAAGGAAGTTCCTGAGTGGGGTGAGAAAGCTGATAGCGGACGTCTGGAGGAACTCCCTCTCTGCTGCTCCTAGTCTCCGCTCACATTCGCCCACCTCGATCAAAGTTCCCCCTGCAAGAAACACAAAGGCCTCTCAGAGTCCCTAAAGTAGTACCAGACCGTCCTCTTCTCTGTCCCATGACTCAACACAGAGCTGGAGCGTGTGCAAAGGGGATATGATGGAAGGAAACAGAGCACAGCTGGATGCATATCTACCATATGGCGTCCCAGGACCAAACTCCTTTGCTGCGTCCGTCATGTATTGACCCAGCAGCTCTCCATTGGTAACTCTGGACGGGGCCTTCCTGTCCAACTTCTCGTAGAGAAACTCTTCGATTCTAGCACCTACAGAGAAAGAGTTCGACACGTGGAACAGCAGTGAAAGACAGGAGGACACTTTAGGTTCATTTGCTGCTCATGATGAAATAAAGGTGAACATGTTTTGTCTATGGCTGCGAGTGCTTAGTCCTGATGGAGAGGTGGAGCATCGTATGCCAGCGTCTGTCATCACTTTGTGGATGCATGAATGATGACATGAGTTTTGTGGTCTGTTTATCATTTTCTGCTCTTGTTACAGCTGGGCTCTGCTCTGTGGAGCTGCTCGTAGCTCACGGTGTTGAATTACTGGCTTACTTGTGACACGTGTAGTTGAGCCTGTGCCACAAACAGCACATGAGCTCTGCAGGGCGGAGAGACAGAACCACGAGGTGGCCAGTGAATCAATGGACACAGCACACAGCTTAAAGGACATTTTGTCTTGCTTTCCACCTCTGAAGTACAGAAAAACTTGGGTGAAGCAGCTAAAGCAGACTAATCTGGGGCAGATTCAAGGAGAGAATAATACAGCGTTCCTAAGCATGTGATGTGTTAAAGAAATTAAATACGATTCAGACGACAGTAATTAAAGATCTAGACATCCTAGAGGAGCCAACACTGTGATCAGGCAATCTAAACGGAACGAAAAACAGTTTATAATTTGCCACAACCTAATTAAATCTGGGTCACAGAAGTCCCCTTTATAGTTGTGTGAACATAGACGTCGGTAAGTGAGCTCACAATGTTTGGCAACTGAAATACAGGAGAGCGCCGTGCTCGTCCAGCAGGGTGGTGCATCAAAGGATGTTGATGCACCGTAATAAACTGTACTGTACCTGCTCATTGGTCACAAGTGGACACATATACATGGCTTTTGGCACCTATTGAACGGAGGTGACCATATTTGAACCACAGAGTCAGCAAATGGTCTCCAAAGACCAGGACCCTGGTTTACTTCCATCCAGCCAGACAGAGGTTTTAAACGGTAGGAGACGCTGCGGTTTGAAGCCCGCTGGCTTCCCCGTTGAGCCCACGAGGTTCCGGCCCGTTGCCACGAGCAACCTGGGGCGCATTCCACTGAAAGTAACCAACGCCTCACCCATTAAACAGACTCCGTTAGATACCGTCCCAATATCCATTCTGATGACGTTTGGATCTGGGCAACTGTTTAAATTCTGTGTTTCTCCTCCCACTGAAGCTTCCCCCAAACAAGTCCAGAAAAAGGGGTGTTTTTCGGGCCGGCCCGTGTGCCCTTAAAGGCCCCTCAGCTATACATTCAAACAAGTAATGGAGAGTATGTTCATAACAAATCAATACCAAGAATCATGTGCTGATCTGATCCTGTTAGTGCTCATCAATGATACAAAGTCATGAAGGGTTTGCACGGCACTAAAATAAGGAGGCAGACTACTTACCGGTGTGGTCTACTGTAGCATGGAGAATCAAAAAGTCACATGTTAGAGCCCCCATTTCTGCAGGATGTCATTGCATTTCTCTGTGCACCTATGCATAATAACGTGGCACAAGCACGGGACCACTTTGAATCAAAGAGTCACTGCTAATACAGAACTCGTCGTTTTTATATTACGTAGAGAATTGTGGTAGTGTTTTTTTAACTCCAAATCAACTTGTGTTGGTCATTGTGCACAGAGAAGTGCAGTGGTGTGTCAGAAAAGTCACAGAAGATTACTTGGAGCTACTGAATATGATGTCTAGAGTAGGAAGTATTGAACTTCCTGGTCTACCGTCACCACCATTGTAGGACTGATTTCATTATACTACAAGCAAAAGAAATGCAGCATCAATTTACAGCTTTTAATGAAAAGTATCTAGCTGGAGATTTAGAAAAGCAGTTTCTCTACTGCTGCAGCAAACTGTAAAGGAGCTCTACTTTCACAAAGTGGATCAAGTCTCCCACTACACTGCTGCTGGGTGTGTGGAAGCTCACCAAGTAGTAAGACAAACGCGTTTGATTCATTAAAAAAAGATATGCGTCTATCCTGGACCTTTAAGTAAGGAGATGTCAAGAATTGTCTTGATTCTTGTTCTATCATTTCATAAATACAAAAAAATGTATATATATATGTGTATATACACACACACATATGAATATTATGTATGCATATGAAATATTTCTTTAGAAGTTGTAATATGAAATAGCTTTGCGGCTCCATGAAAATTGTATTTGGTGGAAAATAAGGCAGCTTGGCTCTTTAGATGGTAGAGGCAGCAGACATGAAGACAGCAGTCGTGTCCTTTAGTTCCTTCTGTGACCGTAACGGTTAGATAACAGATGATAAATAATCACATTCAGGTCCTCTGCCCCGTTTCACTTTTTATCAGTCCAGCTCAGAATTACTGTTGGACGTTATTCTGTATTGTTGTTTCATTTGTGTTTAACCGTGTTAAAGGCTTATAGGTGATTTACTTTACAATTCCTAAGTATTTACTTGAGTTGCAACTACCCATTTAGTGTTTATGGACGGTTTAACAAACAGTAAATAGTTATAAATATCTGGTGCATCTATGTAATGATTAGAGGGCTTTTCTTTGGTATAATGCACTGTGTGGAGGGGGGTCTCTACAGGCCGGGGGGCAGGAGGTTACTTGGGTTGGGCTGCAGCAGCGCCTCCGTCTGCCTGTAGATCTTCTCGGTCCACAGCTTGGTGCAGTCTGCGCGGCTCAGCAGGTTCTCAAAGTGCGCGTCCAGCTCGGTCTTCTCCGCCTGGCCCAGCTTCTCCTCTGTGAACTGAGGCAGAGCACGCGCATCACGAGCGGCGACATAGCATGACGTCACGGAGGCTCCGGTTCACCACCTGATCTCGCTCACCTGGCGCCGCCGCCATCCCCCCCGTCCCGTTTCTCTCTCTTTCCGGGACGTGTCCGAATTAATAGAAGTAAACACCGCGGTTAAAATCCCCTCCGCTCTTCTAACAGAGTCGATACTCGATGAATACTATTCTGGCCTTGAATATCACGTGACATCCACGGGATAACGCGGGGGTGACAAACAAGCGCGCTACTGATAGCGCGAGGACCCCTGCGTACCGTTAGGCCTCGCTGCGGCTATGACGTGCTAAGCTACGCTGTCAGGCGGTGCTCCGACAGCGCGGAATGAACCGTCAGCCGAACAGTACCGCGCGCCGGGGGGAGAGAGGGGGGAGAGGGGGAGAGAGGGGGGTACCTGCACGGCCCGCGTGAAGAACAGCCCGGCCCCGGAGGCGAACTTCTTCACGTTGAAGTCCATTCTGCTGGGAGGCGACACTCGGAGCGGACTGACGGTAGCTGGCGCGCGGCAGCGGCTGGACCACGTGACCGTCCACACCTCGTTACGTCAAACGTGAATCGACCTACAAAACAATACAGGATTGGACGAACGTCATTTAAATCACATTAACATTGACTTCGCTTCAGGCTTGGGCAGCTCTTTCACTACGGTCTCTTGTTTATTTATTTTTTATTAATCGAAGACCAAAGTTGGCCACTAGGTGCCGCCACTTTTATATCAAAATGATTAAAAACTAAAACGGGTTAAGCACTATTTATTCACATTGGAGCAGTGCCTCGTTTCCCGCGTCTCCCCACAATTTAACCCACAATAAAATCAGCACACGAGGGTTCAGGGTGTGTATCTGTCTACTACCGTTTATATAAACGTGCCTTGTCGTCTGTATTTAGACGCTGGCATTTGTTTTGCAGTAATATTGTTTTTCAGTGAATGACAAAATGTGTAGAGTTAAACAATTTCATATGTATCTCATACGTATGTATGTCATTGCATTTTATTGCAGTTAAAACACTGATAAATAATCTTTTTGAACCTGCAAACATACACTTTTATTTAAGATATTTATCATACATTTTTACAGTAAAAATATTTCATTTTTTGTACAAGCGTAGTGAGAGATTACTTTTTATTATTTGATTAGAGGTTACATACTTAATACCGAAAATGTCAGCACATAGGAACACCAAACGTCAGATGCCTGCTGAGTTGACTGCAGTCGGACTTTCACTCAGGTACAACTATGTACTTGTTATGTGGTTTGAAACGAGATTACTCGTTTGCTCGATTGTCCCACCAATTACTTCCCGTTTATTCCCTTCAAAATAAAATATGCCAGCATTAACGAGAGTGGACAAAAGTCTTCAATGTTGACATTCGTGATGAATTGTATTGTTGCGGGTATTCGTATTGATAGTTAGATAAATGAGTATATGAGGAATCCAGGTAGTACTTTGGTTGTGATAACTGGACCCAGAATTGATCATTTAGCTCATCTCTGTGGCCGTCACAACAATGATGGTATTCACGATTACGTCATTGATAAAGGCACTTGTGAAAACATAGGACTATATTATGTGGTATTCGGTCATTATCAGGTAGTTATATCCTCCAGTCTCCTCCTCATTGTTGTTGTTGTGCAGTGGTCCCTGAATGCACCCTTCCGGTGACGTAACGACGCTGGTCTCGAGTCGGCTGTGGCTCCCACGTGAGTCCTGTTGCTGCGGTGTGATATTTGTTGTGTGGCTATTCTGTGTTCTTCCCTGAATATCAGTTCTCTGTATGAAGTGTCTCACTGTCGACACGTTGGTCTCTGAGAGGCCGCAGTCAAGTGTAGCTTGCTAGCTAACTGCCATAGAGATTAACGCCGTCTAGGCTAACGTTAGCGCAGACCGGAAGCCTTGCGTACTAAGTTCTTTAACGCGCACTTGTGAATCAACAGTACGTCGATGTGTTTTTTAGTGGTCGCTACAGGGACGATATGTAAAGCAGGAGGCCATGGCTTGGAGGTCGAAGACGCGCAACCTGCAGGTGGTCGACACGGAGCTGAGTGCCGACGCGGTGGAGTGGTGTCCCGTTCCGTCCAGCCACGGCGTCCTGGCCTGCGGCACCTACCAGCTCCAGACAGCGGTGAGGTGACACCGGAACACGCCCTTCAACGTGCATCCGCACGCATGATCACTCAATGGTCACGCATTCCACACGACGCCTCCGCTGATTCTGCCTGCTGGTCCACTGTGGACAGAGACAGCGGTGACGTCACGTGCCCAGGGAACCAATCATCTCTAAATGCATCCAACTTATGAGTGTGGAGCACGTCGCCCTTCACCCCAACATTGCTGCTGTAGCTGTGACTCCTGTGTGTGGATGTTAGTTGCTTTATGCAAGTACAGTCCATTTACCATTAACTTGCATTGTAAAGTCATAGTCAACGGGACTGACTGCAGTCTGAGTTCTTCATGATGTCATTGTATGCTGCAGAAACATGCACATACAGGAGCAGCAGTTACTTATGATGTTGGTGTCAGGCGTTGGACTGATCATGTGCCTTTTACCTACTTCCAGAAGAGCGGGGAGGACGATGCCCCGCCCAGCCGCACTGGTCGCTTGTACCTTTTTGAGTTTCGGCGGGAGGGATCCGTGCACCCTCCTCTCACTGAGCTGCAGCGCATTGACACAGCAGCCATTTTAGATTTGAAATGGTAAGAAATCAGGCTTGACCAATGTGGCTGTTGAAGTGACCGCCTGCTTACTCCTGGTTGATTCTTGTGCTGATCACAGGTGCCATGTTCCGTTCCCGGGGGGGGCCGTGCTGGGAATAGCCGCTGCCACCGGGGAGCTGCAGCTGCACACGCTGTCAGACAGCCAGGTGAGAAATGTGCGACCTACAGCTGATGTTTGTCTACAAAATCCGCACGCAAGGCATTCGACAGAACACATTACATTACATTACAGGTCATTTGGCTGACGCTTTTATCCAAAGCGACAATTAGGGCTCAGGTGTCTTGCTCAGGGACACTTCGACTTGGCAGCCGGGGCTTGAACCCGCCAACCTTTCGGTTCCTGGCGGTTGGGGTTAGGAGCACCCTCTGTACTGCATGCGCCACGGTCGAACACGTGTCACTTTTCTACCACAGTAATACGTCCAATTGGGCCATTTTATTGACGGGAAAAAACATAATTCTAACCAAACTCATTTCTAATACCAACGTGGCGTTGTTGTTTTTTATCTTACCATTTATTTGTATTATTCAACCTGTAAAACACCTTCAACTGCCAAAGTATAGGCATTGTTTTGTAGAAACATCCAGCATTATTTTTACAAGATGTCTGACAAAACAAACTTGTGGTGGAGGGCAACATAAAACCGTTCAGTGTTGAATAGCTGATCACATATCTGCCAGATTCGTCCACCACACGGGCGTCTGAAGTGAAGCCTTGTCACGCTTGAGTGACCTCATAACGTGTATAAAAGAAACATAAAAAACAAACCAGAAGCACTTCATAACAAGACCTTTCGACTTGTTATGTCTGAAGCTGTTGGTTTGGTTTGTGCACGAGCACATTATGTTCTGAACACGGAGTTGTTGTCCCAGAGGAACCGCGGCCTTACAACATCCCTACGTCATCTAACATCTAAGGCTGAACCAAGACACACTTCTGTCTTCAGGAGGCCGCATGAAAGTAGGAAAGCTGAGCTGCTCATTTCTCTGGTGTAAATGTGTGTGTGTTAAGCTGTTACCGTGCTATAAGACTGCGCTCATAGGTGACTGCACGCCGCCAGCAGGAAGGCGGCCGCAGGCTGCACCCTCTGTGCAGTGTGGAGGTGGGAGCTGAGCGGCTGGCTCTGTCCTTGGACTGGTCCACTGGAAGAATGGACAGGTAACAGAGTTTTTAATGGTTAGTACCACATTATGGATGAATGATGTCATTAACATTATGTAGGCACAGAAGACCCATCTCTTATAAACCAAATCATCTGGCTGCTGTCATGAGCCACGTAGTCCTGTCATGAGCCACGTAGTCCTGTCATGAGCCACGTAGTCCTGTCATGAGCCACGTGTAGCGGCGGCTCCTGTGGCTGACGCTGCTCACGCAAAGCGGCCTGTTTGTGTCTGCAGCAGTGATGTGCGGCTGGTGTGCAGTGACTCTGCAGGCTGCCTCAGTGTGCTGTCCTTGGCTGAAGGCGCTCTGGCGTCTCTGTCCCACTGGAAGGCCCATGACTTTGAGGCCTGGATATCAGCCTTCTCCTACTGGGACACTCAGCTGGTTTACTCTGGTAACTTTCCTTTGAATCCTTCCTTTGCCACTGAATACAAATGTTCAGGTCCGATCAGTAGCCGTGTGTTAGGTCCATACCTAAAGGTTTGTGTTGAGAAACTAGCAAGAGTACAACATTTTTTTAAAATGATTCAATTGGGAATAACAAGCTTTTTTCAGTGAAAGTATCGCTACCAGCTTTCAAATGTTGCTAAATCTAGAGAGAAAGTTTCCATGTGAGCAAAAAGTCCCCTCCCCTGAATCATCATCCCGAGAGTTACTGTTGGTACTCAGAGCTGTGATACTAGCAGCGACACCTGTAAATAGACCCTCATTTCACAGGAGTCTAATCAAATGATTTGACGGGCGTTGTACAATCCTGCGGCAGCCACAAATATCTTTCTTTCTCTGTATGTCAGCATTGTTGTCGACGGGTGACATGAGAATTGGACCAAATTTAACAAAAGACCATAACCAAGCCGAGCTGCAAGCTGCCGGATAGAGCGCCAAAGCAGGGCTTTCACGCGCTGACGAGGTGGTACCTGCCTATCAGGTTCTCTTCTAAATATACACTCATACAACCATGGCACAGCCTTCAGGAGACGTCCGGGGTTCACGATCTTTCCCCAGGACACCAGCACATGAACCCCAGCTTAAATTAGTTATTCTTCCGTTACTTAACATTTGTAGGACACTTTGCGTTCATACAAATAAGTAAAAATGAGTGGTTAGGTACTGGAAGTATCAGCGTGAAAGTACTCATAATTCATAATTGTAATGAATGATGTTGTGTAACGATCGTTTTTCGATGGATACGAGGCAGATGCTACATCTCCTAACGGGTGGAATCTGTGTGTGTGTCAACAGGCGGTGACGATTGTAAACTCCGGGGCTGGGACCTGCGGGCTGCCCCCTCCCGCCCCACTTTCACCAGTAAAAGGTTCTGTCCTCAGCAGCCGTTTGCTCTGTTCCTCTACGCGGCGCTCACTGACGCCGTCTGTCCTGTCCCTTTGCAGACACTCTATGGGCGTGTGCAGTATACACAGCAGCCCCCACCGGGAGCACATCCTGGCTACGGGCAGGTACGTGCGCCCCCCCCCCCCACAGAGAAGCACTGTTTAGCTCCCCCTGGTCGTGCTTAAGCTCTCGTGCTCTGGCCTCCTGTGTGCAGCTATGACGAGCAGGTCCTGCTGTGGGACGGCAGGAACATGCAGCGGCCTCTCGGTGGGACTCCGGCGGGTGGAGGAGTGTGGAGGCTCAAGTGGCATCCGACCGATCCGCACCTGCTGCTGGCAGCCTGCATGCACAACGACTTCCACATCCTTCACTGCCAGCAGGCTCTAGGTTCTCCCTCTTTCTGCGTGGTTCCGTCTGACTGAATGTACTTTAGCTTTTTATGTACCAGTTGCTGACATCACGTATCTGGTGGCTACATGTAGTTTATGTAAACTCAACCTTCTGTATTCACTCATGCTGTGACACAAACAGATCCCCCTGCCTCCTCCGGGCAGCGGCTGCACATCTGGAGTCTGCTCACACAAACACACTCCACATTCCCATCACAACAGCCCGTCAAGCCGGTGCATTCACGTGATATCAGTCCGATTTCTGTTAACTTCTACTCATGTATGATGGATGCACTGCTATCCGGAGCAACCTTTCTGTGTCCCAAAGAAATTCCTCTCCTCTTGGGATTTAAAGGAAATTGCGTGCTAGCTGGTTTACAAAACGTCTTTTAAATCCTACAAACTGTCCCATAAATGAGACCTTTGCTCTGCCCATACGAGTGTCGTCTCTAACATACCACGTTTCCCTGTCCGTTCCCAGAGGGCGTGGAGGAGCGAGTCCGGTCGTAGCATCCTACACCCTCCACAGCTCCCTGGCGTACGGAGCCGACTGGTCCCGGCTGGCTGTGGAGGAAGCGGCCCCCCGCTCCCCCGTGGCGGCAGACCCAAAGGAAAGCCTTGCTGAGAGCGGGAGTCACTTGAGGATTCAGTACGAGTCTCCCACTACCAGCTTTGACACTTCCCTGGAGGATGACGCAGGGCGATACATCCCAGAGGGCAGGGCAGCGCCCCCTGTCACCACCACTGCGGGCGCTGCCCTGCACCCGAATGCAGGCGCCCCATCGGCATCTTATGTGTTGGCGAGCTGCTCCTTCTACGACCACATGCTGCATGTGTGGCGCTGGGACTGGACTCCGGATCACACTGCACTGAAATCAGATCTCTGTTGACCAAGCTGGAGCATTGGCACGATAGAAACGCCGCGTATCAAATATGTACAGAGGTCTGCATACTGCGTAGCCACCAAAGAGTCCCCGGGCATAGCACTAAACATGCTAATTAGAATGATCCTGTATTTTTTGTACGGACTTGATTTTTATAAGCTTGCATTTCAAGAAAGCGCCGACAATCGTTACCGTTTGTCCTGTAGCAGAACGATCGATGCCACCAGTCACCCTCGTAGCAGTCAAGCACCAAGAACAGTCTTACGAAAGATGGCTCTCAAACATCGGGGCAGTTTCCATGCAGGAGGAGTGACTCGGTCCTCATAGGCGAGGCATGGATGCTGAACTGGATCAGTATCTCCATGGTAACTTCTATTTGAGATTGTAAAAGGTGTTCTGCTGCCCACAATCCAAAATGTTCTCATCTTCACAGCTGTAAGAACCACATTGAAGCTACTTAAATGATGTGATGCTTTCATTACACTTCCTGACCAATAAAGCTATGAAAAGGTAATGATTACGTCCTTTGTATAAACTACAAATCGCCTCGGCACAAAATTCCTTCACAATGAGTCACACACAACACTGGAGCATACGGTGGGATTTATTTTGCCTGATGATCACGTAACAAGAAATCACACGTAGGAACATTTCTAGTCCCATTGTTGGTCTGCACGTCTCAGTCTTCACAGCAGACACCACACTAAGTCCATCTTCAGCGCACGTAGTTCTTGGGATACAGCTTGAAGAGCTTCCCCTCCTGTTTGGGATTAAAACCGTATTTCTCTAGCTGTTCCCTGCTGAAAGAGCCCTCTTCGAAGTCTTTCTGCACACGGGGGGCCACGACGTCAGAAAAGACGCTTTGCGCCGTGACCGGAGGCTCTGTTCCTCGAGGAGAGCGATATGATACGTAGGGCTTCAGCTTAAATCCCTCCAGGTTCGGCACCACAAACTCGGGAATCATGCTCCGTACGGACAGGAACTTCCCGCTGGACAGCCTCAGTCCGGCGGGTCTTGCGCCTCGTCCTTTGTTGTGGGTCCTCGATCCGCGCTTGCTGGTGAACTCGGACATTCGATCTGCTCCTCGGACCAGACCCCTCATCAAGGTGGATAACACGCCCATCGCGCGGCCCGGCGCAGCAGCCCTGTGGAGGAGAAAGCATGGTTATGCACGCGTGAAGACCGCACACGGAGCCGCGGGACTGCGCGACCAGCTGACGCGTCCTGCTACGTGCGGGAATAACGTCAGAAACACAAGTCGCCATCTCGCACATTATCTTCTAGATCACCTTCGTTAGTTTGGTAACGTTACTGCGATGAAGACGCGCGTTGTAAACGCGTTGTTCCTCGTGCGGTAAAGCGGGTTCACGTTAGCATGTGTAGTTTAGCTCGTTAGCTAACGTTAGCCAGCTAACGACGACGTAACGAGCCTGGTGACGCGGTTGCGTCGCCCACTCGCTGGCTAACAAACACGATCATTGCCGTTTAGTTGATTGTTATAACTTTTAACTGCTTTTAAACGCATCTCCTCTCACCTTGAGCTCGCTGTTGGTCCGATGAAAGCGATGTGCAGGGCTTCCAAGGAAATGCTCAGTGATTGGCCGAGAGGCGAGAGCGTCGACCAATCGCAATCAAGGATACTGTGACTGACCTGTCGCCGTCAGGCTAACCACAGCGAACTGCAGCACATTTCAATTAACGTTACCCTTCAAGATAAATGCTGAAAAGGTGCAATTAGTATGCATGATGTAAATATGTATCTAGTTCTGCGTAATGTTGACTATGGCTGTGCTATGTGCCACTAAATAGTCTCATCTAGCCATTGAACTGTGTCTTTCCGCCCCTTTAAACTCAGTCCATGATGCCTTCATCACGTCTCTCCTACATTTCCGTTACTACATGTTTTATTTTGGTGGTCAATACCGGATTCTGACACTGTGTTGTATAGTTTTGACACTACTCGTTTGCATGTAGCGACTGACAAAAACTTTGACACAACAAAGGTACGTGAAGCAGTTGTTCAGTCTAGAAGCTGCATTTGTTTGTGTGAATGTGTTGTCAGTGCATACTTGCTTGTTCAGCTTTCTGCTCGCATGGTTGTGGACTGCGGACACTGTAGCGTGTGACATTTAACGGTCGGCAACAACAAACTTCATTTATTCATTTGAGTCATTGTGGAATTGCATGTCGGCTCTCTACGTAACTTTGGTTATAAAGTGTCATTATAAGTAAATATCAAGTTATAAAAGTGTGAGTTGTTTGGCTCCTCCAAGCCAGCAATATGAGACTCTTTAAATATCTGCCCCCCCTGAGCGACCCCCCCATGCTGGTGGACCGTGGCCGGCGCGCGGAGGGAGGAGCCCGTGACCTCTGTTTGTGATGCGCGGCACGTGATCCGTAACCCAGATATGCGCACCGGGTCGCCCGGCGGGAGGAGCGGTGCACAAGGGTCACAAAAGCGAATGTATCCATATTAGCAGCAAGTCATCTTGAGTTAAAGCACATTAACATCCTTTGTGAAATATACGTCTGTATTTTAAACTCTTTCCTCTCACTCTCACGGAGTGTAACGTGTTTCTGCTGGGTTATGTTTTCTGAACAGAAATGGAAGACGATGAAGAAGAGAAGATCTGCAGTATATCGGTATGTCGTTCCTATTTAATGCACGTCCTTGGTTTAAAGTCAGGCTCTATGCTCATGTGTGTATTGGATCGTAGGGCCCCTGGGAACAGACACACAAAAGGCCCCGGCACGTCTCCTATAGAGGACAGGGCAGCGACGCTGTGATTGTTTATCTTTTGTTTGTTGTTTTTTAATGTCTTTAGTTGTTTTGGGTTTTTTGAAGTTATCTTTTTTTCTACCCGTTGACGGGTTTTTTGTTCCACATCTCTGTGCAGACGCTTTGTGTCTCTTTTTGTGTCTATGGGGTTGTTTTTCCTCTTTTCAAAGTCGTTGCCAGTCTCGTTCTTGTCGTTTAAAATTGTCTTGTTGAGTGACAGTGCGTATGAAAGAGGTGCCTGTGACACTTTGGGCCCCTTTGCCCATTGGACCCATTCCGTGACCCATCCCTGCCCTGTCCTTGTCCTCAGCCAGGCCTTTAGGGACCGTTTTTACAATCCATCGGTGTTTGCGCCTGCTGATCGCTCCCATGTCCCTGTTGTTCTGTCCTGCATGTTTCAGGGCTTGGTTCCACTGGGTAGTGAGATCAAGGCCAAGATGATGCAGCTGATGGAGGAAAGGACAGAGGCCAACATGGTAACCCCGACACTCAATGTCACACTTTGGTCCTCATTCACCAACCCTTCTTAAGAACTCTATATATTTTGAAAAAAGGATTTAGAGATTATTATTGCATGAAAAAGAACGTAGGCACAAGTAACAAACTTGGCGTTGGTGAATGACGCCTGTTGTTTGCATTAAATGTAGATGGACACTCAAATGCACGTTACATGGATTGCTTTATTTAAAAGGACGTCAATGTCTTTTTCTTGCAGTGGACGGCTGTGCTGATTGGAGCTGCAACACTGGTTTCGGTCCTTGGAATTGTTGTGTTCCTTCTTTATAGAAGATACAAACGTACAAGTCAGTGCCTTCTGAATATGTACAGTATCTGAAAGGATGCAGCATGTAAAGATGTGCCAAGTACACAGTTACCATGGTAACAGGGGTTAATTCTTACCATATTGGAGGTTATTATCATACGGCAGAGACAACCTCTGCATTGTTCACATTATATACTAGCATGGATTTGAAGTGTTATGTTTAACTGATTACTTGTTGTTATCAGTATTGATGACGTTGCAGTAATTAGAAGTTTACGTTTCTGAGGTTGTCAGTGAATCAGTAGTCATCAGGGATCATAGCCCATAAACCGCTGGGCGGCGTAGTGCATCAGCCCGACGTTGGCAGAGTGAGAGGACTGCAGACTCCTTGGTAGGCTGCAAACGCTCCTACACAACCAGCGTGGTGTGTTTCAGAGGAGGAGGCCGGCGTCCCACACTACCGCTTTAGGAAGAGGGACAAGGTGATGTTCTACGGCCGAAAGATCATGAGAAAGGTCAGTGGCTCCTTCAACATGCTGCTCAGTGTGGCTCCTCCTACGGCCACTCGCACACTCTGCAGGGGGCCACGTCCCAATTCTGAGACACAGAGGTCTTTACAAACGATGCATACTACGAAGCAACCATGTAGGTCCCGTAAAGCTACAGATTTAAACCGAAGATGGATTTTCACGATGGAGAACAGGGGTCTTACTTCAAAAGAGGATCGGTGGTTCGATCCCCGGCTGGCTCCACTGGTCTATGCCAACGTGTCCTTGGGCAAGACACTTACCCAAGCTCGCACGGCTGTGTCTACGGCGTGTAAATGTTAGTTCATTTACTTTTATCATAACAATAAGTGCCTTCAATCAAGAGGCTGCAGAACAAGAAGAGTCAAGGAAGTACGATTAACGTGAAGTGCTACGTAGCCCAGGTGTGTTTTCAGCGTGTCCTCTTCTCTTATTGGCTCTGTTTCTTTGAGTGCAGTGGAATCTTGCAAATGCATAAGGAGGTAGAAGCAACTTAACTGTCTCTTCTTCTGCTGTCAGAATATTGAAAGAAAAAGAGCAAATATGACGAATAACTGTCCTTTTTATCAAAGTTACCAACTGCAGATTTAACTTTCGTAGAATCCTCAGAGACCCCTAAATGTCAGAATATAAAAAAGGTTCGTTCCTGTTTGCTAGAGCTTATAATAACAGTTTATTGTCGTGTGTACATTACACTCACGATCCGAAAAAAATATTAAAATATTGTGATTTTTATATCTGCTGATGATGTTAAATTACATTTAAAATGACAGAAATACAATAATATTAATAATAATAATACTTTCATTTTTATAGCACATTTCTGGGTACCCAAAGATGCTTTACAAATATATTTCCATGTGTCTTTGTTTAAAATACATGTAGGATGTAAATTGTGACCTGTCTAATCTCCATAACTCCTCCTGCTGCAGGTGCAGACGTTGTCCTCAGCCCCTCCCTCTACTTCTAACCCCGCCTCCCGTCAGAGAGTGAGGAAAAGGACCAAAGTCCTATCGATCGCTCGCAAGTGAGTCTCTTCTTCAGTAGTTGTTGTTCAACGTTTTTGTAAAGAACAGTTTGACAAAGTAATCTCAAGGTCCAAGTTGGGACTTTTATCAAGCTGGTATTTTAAGAAACAAAGGAACAGGAAAGAATACTGAATCAGACCCATTCACCACTATATGTTGGATATTTTTTCAATAATATACTATTTAAACCCTTGTTAAACAGGGCAATCATTCAGAATTTACTTTGAACAAACATTAATGTAATATTAGGAAAGTCAAATACACACAGGTGAAACTTGGTTTATAAAGAAACAAATCAAAGTAGTACATTTTGACGGTATGAAGAATAGCCTTTTTAAGTGTGCGTGTGCTCACTTTAGGATCCTACGCATTCGGAAGGAGCCCCCCACCTTGCAGCCCAAGGAGCCTCCCCCCTGTCTGCTGGAGGCCGACCTGACGGAGTTCGATGTGAAGAACTCTCATCTACCATCAGAGGTGTTGTACATGCTGAAGAATGTCAGGTAGGTCAAATGGCTGATGCGTTATTCCCATCTTCCACAAGAACAAGTAAAAGGTCTAAGATCAGTCATGACTGACTGAATAACTGACCTGAATATTGATTTATGGTTTAATTTCATTAACTTTAAGGATGTATCTACTCTTTCCCAAAGCACAGGTATCAGCATCAGAACATAACATTTAGCACATGCATGTGGTTTTGTGTTTATCTTAAACACGAACACAGTCAAACTATACGCGCCTCTTATTGTTAAAGTACTACAGCCGCATTGTATATGCTCGGGTGGTTGAAACTAGGGTAGCTCGGCCACATTTGAGAAGCCTCTTTTCCTGGAGCTGTGTCGCCACATGGTGCTGATCCCGCTGCACCAGGGAGAGGTCCTCTTCCAACCCGGGGACACCGACGACAGTATCTACGTGGTTCAGGATGGCCGCCTGGAGCTGTGCATCCGCGAGAGTGTAAGACGCCTACTGATCACTTACCGGTACTTCCCAGTCAGCAGCCGATGGCACCGGGGCTTGTCGTGATGGTGGAATGTGCCTTCTTGCTGCAGGATGGAACCGACGCTGTGGTCAAGGACGTTCTCCCAGGAGACAGTGTTCACAGTTTGCTCAGTATCCTGGACGTCATCACGGTACGTCTTCCTGCCCATTAAACATATTTCAAAACGTTGCACACAACTGCCCATTATATTTAAACAACGAGGTACGAGAGGCTATACTTTATCCTCCAATAATGAAACAGTTTGGGGTGTTGTTAGGCCCGATGCGCAGTGGAGGGCCGGCAACCCTCCAACATGATTGAAGATAAAGTACTGCCTCAAGTAGCTGCCTGTCAGCACAAAATAGCTGTAGCCACCAAACGTTGTGTATCTCATTTCGTCTAGAGAACAAATTGTCCCCGTACGTGCACGTAATCAGCATCGGGTCTCCTTGGAAGATCGCGCAGCATCTCATTCATTCACATTGCTCATGACGTCCACTTAATTGTCCGGTTGTGAAAGCTCTCATTGTCCCAAGCCCACCAAACCCATCAAACCCACCAAACCCACCAAGCCCACCAAGCCCACCAAACCCACCAAGCCCACCAAGCCCACCAAACCCATCAAACCCACCAAACCCACCAAACCCACCAAACCCACCAAACCCACCAATCCCATCAATCCCATCAATCCCACCAAACCCACCAATCCCACCAAACCCACCAATCCCATCAAACCCACCAGACCCATCAAACCCACCAGACCCACCAGACCCATCAAACCCACCAGACCCAGCAGACCCGTCTGACCCACCAAACCCATGAAACCCACCAAAACCATCAAGCCCATCAAGCCACCAACCACCAAGGCATCAATCGATCATTGTGGGGTTCTGGATTTTTTGGCGATCGGTCCCCAGCTCAAAGCTAAAAAGGTCACGATAAATCTAACGGTTACTGTGAGTGAGCAGTGGTACTGAACGCTCGGGTCAACGTGAACAGCAACTGTACATTATCACTGAATAACGCAAACCCCGTGACTCTCAACCAATCAGAGCGCTGCATTTCATCTACCCGTATAATAAAAAGTGATATGAATGCTTCTACTGATGCATATTTCTAGTTTATAGTACTGGTTCAGTTTTTCTGTCATAACTCAATAATTAATATGCTAATTAGGACAACTTTATACAAAACGTCTTAACGGATAAAATAATCCTTTAGCTGATCATTGTAGCTTTTCATTCAACTTTGGACAAACTCTCCTCACTTTGTGTTCCGTTCATTCAGTATTTCCCTTTTCATTCACGTCTATATTTTGTATCTATTGCCGCGCAATTAGTAATGTTTGGTAAAGAGGATTTGCGTCACTCTCTACGTTTTCTTCACCTCTTAAATCAGGGATACCCGGCACCTTACAAAACGGTGTCTGCCAGAGCTGCAGTTCCCTCCACCATCCTGCGTCTGCCAGCTGCAGCCTTCCAGTCCGTCTTCCAGAAGTATCCTGAAACTGTGGTCCGCGTCATCCAGGTAAAGAGGCCACAAATCTATGTTCCTTTTTGCATGGGGGGCTTTCGTCCTTTGTGGCATCAAATATCATAGAAGGGAAGGCGTCCAGTCCCTGCTGTTGCATTAAGCTGTGTGTGTGTGTGTAGATAATCATGGTGCGTCTCCAGAGAGTGACCTTCCTGGCCTTACACAACTACCTTGGCTTGACCACTGAGCTCTTCAACCCGGTACGTTTTGGACTCTTTGGGACTCTCAGAACCTCCCTCATGGTCCTGCTGTCGGATATGCAGAACTCTCTTAAAGCAGAGTCTTTCTGAGAGCAACAAGTCCTCGAGACAGTTGCCGAGTTCTGCACGCAGTCGCCCTCACGTCTGTAGCAGACCATTGCCACCGTGCCGTTTATCAAAAGTCAAATTAATAGAATGACTTCTAACTTTGTAAACCTTCTATAATGCTACACAATCAAGCCCATGTTTGGTGCCAAGCGTCAAATATTCTCACTCTTTCAGTTCCTGTGCTCAGTGAGAGGGACTGGCTTTGTTGCATTGGTTTTATGTTAGTGTACTGGACAAATAACCAAGCACAGTGTGAGTTTAAGCTGGTCTACAGACTAACCAGCGCTGCTCTTGGTGCGTTGCAGGAGAGCCAGGCCGTCTCCTTGGTGTCGCTGGCCCATGTTCTGGGGGAGGCTCATCCACAAAGGGTCCTCCGCAGGCAGCCGTCCCACTCTGATGAGCTCGCCTCTGAAAAAGGGGGCGCGGGTCAGAAACCACCGCCTGCTCTCAGCATTTCACAGATGGGTGTGTGTGTGATATTGTGTGTGTGTGTGTGTGTAGTAACGTTTTTCTTTTTTCACACGTGAACAGAAAAGTCCAGCTCGTCTGCCTTCAAGAAATCTCGCTCCGCGTCCACCCCGCTGGCTGTCACAGGTACACAAGCTTACACAGACATCCGATGTCTTTATTTTCTAGGACAACTCTGCATGCCGATGGATTATCCGAATAGATTAAACGGTTTTAAACATGTAGAAAGCAAATGTAGAAGGCCTGCTGACGTATTTGTAGGTCACTAAATCTCAGCGTGTACTACTCTTCAATGTATTACGTAGAGCATCGCGCCAGCATCTACATAACAATGATGACAATTAGCATGATTCCGACCATCCGTTGGCAATACTTGACCAACTATGTAGGACAATGAACAATTCTGTCCTCTAGAACTCTAATCTAGTCCTTTCTAGATTAGAAAGACTTACACAAGAGATCTGAGTTGTAAAGACACGAGAAAAAACTGTGTTGGGGATTGTTTTCTATTTAAGACCAACAGAAGCATCATCAGGTTTCTGCACAGCGATGCATTCAGCAGATGCTCGTCCATCTGTCAATAACAATGATCAATGAATATTATCCCAGGTACTAAACCCTAATGAGATATGCGTTGACTGTATGTTTCTTTGTAATGCAGCTGAAATGTCAGCCGACCTCAAGGAAGTATATGAACAGACTCGAGTTTCCAAAGAAGACACTCTGCCTCACGCTGTGAAGGTCTCTGGATGAAGATGTTCTTTCTTACCGTTAAACAATATGTGTTATAGTCTGAAGGGACCCGCCGTCAGTTTGCTTCTAGACCAAGGTAATGCACGCCAACTAGGCTGTGAAGCAAGTAAGACAAGGGAGCGGGTGTGTAGACACAGCGGTAGGCTGCAAACCCCAAGCTGTGAGTAGGAGCGCGTGCACATCCAGACACACTGCTACCGTGGCCCCACTGCACTGGTTTGGTGTGTATCTATATGATTGAGCAGATTAAAATGCCATTTTGACGTATACTTGGCATGGTATTCATTCAAGCTGTACACAACAGTGTTTGTGTCCCTTTGGGATACTGCATAGGTGCAGGCCTGGCGGATGGCGTTTAGTTAGTGCTTTCTTCTCTGTCTTCTCAGTCTATCCTGAAGAAGACGGTGACGATGCAGCCCGCTCCGTCGGCCGTGTACCACTACAGCGATGCAGGAGGAGGCAACGCGCAGAATAAAGTTAACGCCATTTTCCAAGCCGCCAAAAAGGATCTGCTGAAGGTCATCCAAATACAGGTAGAGTACACGCGTTGTGTGGCTGTCAGGTCGTTTTCCTTAATGGAATAATCAGCAGTAGAATAGAAAGTGTTGAGGTTGAAGTACGCTGCTGATACGTTTGTTTTGGTGACCTGTAATCATGAATCCATTCATGTTGAAGCAGTTAAAACGGGCTCTAATCGTGTTTTTGAAGGATTTAATCATGAATTAATAATTGATGTTCTGTTGTTTCATGGGAAGCCCGGTCTGCTGGAGGGGAGAGTGAACCTTCGGCAGGTCAAAGCCGGCTCTGTTGTGGCCCACCAGGGAGACCAGGTCAGTGTGTGGGGCCAATATACGGAATAGTCTGCTTGAGTGTTGCTGCCATGGACTCGTGATGCAAACAGACACAGACTGATATGTTTTATCTCATTTGTCTGAATGGTGGTATCAAATCAAGACTTGTATGACATTTTACAGCCACGTCTCAATGTATATGACGCGGGTTACAGCTGATGGTGTAGCGTCAGGCTAACACTGTTAGCTCTGCTAGTGACGTTCGCACCATTAGCTTATTGTCGACACGTCTGGAGCTGTTGGAGGAAACGAAATACTCCCAATCTCTGATCTTACACCAGGATCCATGTGGAGCTTTCGTGGCAACAAAGATGTTGCTCTATTGAGCATTTCTTCCACTTCCTCTGCCCATTTCTTGCAGGATGCCAGTGTGGAGTTCATCATCTCTGGGTCGCTCCATGTTTATCAGCGCATGATAGACCGCGAGGAGGACACCTTGCTCTTTGTGGCCCACCCGGGGGAGATGGTGGGTCACCTGGCTGTGCTCACGGGGGAGCCCCTCATCTTCACCGTGAGAGCTCACAGAGACTGCAGCTTCCTCTCCATATCCAAGGCCCACTTCTACGAGTAGGATCAAGCTCACACACTGAACATTTACCCCCTTCCGGGGGCTCGCAGCGACGCTTCTTCCCATCACAGCTCGGGGATGCAATCACGTCCGTCTTTCTGACTCGGCAGGATGATGCGGGAGGAGCCCAGTGTGGTGCTGAACGTAGCGCACACCGTGGTGAAGAGAGTGTCACCATTTGTCAGGCAGATTGACTTCGCCCTGGACTGGATGGCCGTGGAGGCCGGCCGTGCCGTCTACAGGTACCTGCTCTACGGACCTGTTCAGCAAAGCCACTAAAATGTGACACATTTCTTGTTGTGTTGTAGAAAAAGAACAAGGGGAACGGGACATAAATAAGTCACGTTATGTGAAAGCGTATGTTTGACTGTGTTCCGTGATTGTTTGTAGACAGGGGGACAAGTCAGACAGCACCTTCATTGTCCTCAGTGGCCGGCTGCGCTCCGTCATTGCAAAGGACGACGGGAAGAAGGAGCTGGCTGGAGAGTACGGCCGTGGGGATCTGATTGGCGTGGTGAGTGGTCACGGTCTAAAGTCCCACTGGACCAATAGGCCTTCATGCAGCACGACGCCTGTTGTGGGTTGTCCAGGTTGAGGCCCTGACCCACATGAACCGAGCCACCACGGTCCACGCCGTCAGGGACTCTGAGCTCGCCAAGTTACCTGAAGGGGCTCTGAACTCCATCAAGAGGAGGTATCCTCAGGTCGTCACCAGGCTCATTCATCTGCTGGGACAGAAGATCCTGGGCAACATGCAGCAGGGCAGTGGACCCCTGGCCGGTGATTACACAGTTTCATTTGATTTGCGATTTGCAAACCGTCCTGTTTGTGTGAGTATCTGCTGATCTGTGTGGCCTTACAGACACAGGGTGAGCGTGTCAGAGCCTCATTCTGCTGCGCTATAGATCATCTAGCATACGCCAGCGGCACTATGGACAACGTTTACATCTGTGCTGTTCAATGAGAAAACCAACGTTCCGCCCTGCAGCTCGAAGTCTTGCCCTCCACACCCCCACCAGCAAGTGGGATGCCGGGAACCCGGCGTCTAACCTGTCCACCGTGTCTCTCCTGCCGGGGTCTGAGGACGTCCCCCTCACTGCCTTCGCTCTGGAGCTGCAGCACGCGCTTGGTGGAATAGGTACACACACACACACACACACACACACACACACACACACACACACACACACACACACACACACACACAGTGCTTACTTTACAATTTACAAATGCAATCATTTCCCGTGGGGATTAATAAAGTATAAATCTATCTATCTTTAGGTCAGTTTAAGAGTTATTTTCTAGTGAGGGTTTTGGATTTTCTCAGAGCAAAAGGTTTCCTTCTATTAACCCCTCTGAGCAGAATGGATTGCATTTACTTACTTACTTACTATAATTATTGTTAACAATGCAGCTTCTGGGCATTATGAAATTGATATCGGTGTAAGTAGTTATTCACTGAATAACACCCATGAGAGGACTGAGGATTACTGATGTACAGTACCAGTCAAAGGTTTGGACACACCTAATTCAATGGTTTTTCATTTTTTTTCTATGTTGCAGATTAATACTGAAGACATCCAAACTATGCATTTTTGGAATTATGTATTAAAAGATTATATTCCTCTTGCATTCATGAAAGCTTTGCACACTCATTATTTCACATTCTTAACATCACTTTCACAAGGAAGCTGACCGAAAGAGTCCTCAAAGCAAAAGGGCTTTAACAATCTAAATATATAAAACATTTGTTTTTTTGGAGCATTTTGTGATTCCATGTGTTCCTTCATAATTTGAATGTCTTAGATATTAATCTACAAAGTAGAAAACAATAACAAAAGGAGCATTGAATGAGAAGGTGTGTCCGAACATACTTCTACTTCTACGATTCTTTGACCAATTATCCGGTTGTTGCATAAACAGACTTGTCTTTGACTTCTCTTACTAGAATCTGGTTGGTCAAGTAACATATTCATTTCCTTCTTTCTGCTCATTGATTGCATTGTTAGTCGTCCATAGACTGAATACTAGTCATATGGGGGATCCTCATTCTTTTACAGCCATAACTAAACCTTTTATCCTTTAGGAGGGAAGATTAATAGTGCTCGTCAATAAATGTAATTGCAGGGGGTAAAGATATTTCCCTTTAATAAAACTAAAATATAAATGGTATTGCAAACCAATACTTGTGTGACAAATATGCAAAAACCTTAAACCCAGGAAGGGGGCGAATACCTTTGAACTGCACTGTATGACTCTAACTATGTCTACTACCTAAATGATGTGCTTGTGTTCTGTGGAGGTCCCACTCTTCTCCTGACCAGTGACATCATCAAACAGCGCCTCGGCTCTGCTGCTCTGGACAGGTACACGTTGTTTGAGGGATGGAAATGTGGGGGTGGGGGGGGCGGACGACCAGCCTCTCGTCTGTCAGACGCGACCGCATAGCTCACGAGGAACAGATTTGTTTTTAATGTACGTAGTGAACCGGTATACACATCATTTCATCTCTTTATGTTAAAGTGTCCACGAGTACCGTCTGTCCAGTTGGCTCGGGCAGCAGGAAGACATCCATCGCATTGTCCTCTACCAGTCGGACGCCGGGCTCACGCCGTGGACCCAGCGATGCATCCGCCAGGCGGACTGCATCATCATCGTGGGGCTGGGTGAGCAGGAGCCCACTGTGGGTGAGGTCAGTCGAAACCACTCCGGACCAACAAAGTCCCCCCCGTGTGGAATCTGATAGAACACACTGGTTTCACACGGAATTCAAAATGGCCGCCTTCCTGTCGGGTTTACGACGGAACGTCGACCTATGATACAGATGCTTTGTGAAAATGTTGTGGAGGTATTAGAGTCCCATCAGAGTGCGATTTGGGCTTTACATGGTTTGGTTATGTTTACAGCATTTCTAGCGCTTTTAAAAGCGTCTTTGTGGCTCGTTGCGAAGGATGTTGTCGTATATGCTGGTAGATGTCTTCAACCCACGAACGTACCATTATAACCTTCACCAAGAAACACGTCTTAACGCCTGTCTGACCAAATTAAGGATACATCTGATTAACCTGAGGAGGAGGATGTGACCAGACTTTAAGAGCTGATTAAATCTTCCAAGGTCTCAAGATCACAGCGACCTAATATCACACTTCAATCTTCTCCGTGAAACACAAAATGGCTGACTTCCTGTTGGCTTCCCTCCAAATATAAATATATACATTCCAAATTCCAGTGTTTATGAGCCACCATGTCCACGATGAGCTGAGTGGAAGCTCCATCTGCTGCTTCTCCCTCCTCTCCACCCGTAGTTGGAGCAAATGCTGGAGGGCAGTGCGGTGCGCGCTCAGAAGCAGCTGGTGCTGCTGCACCGGGAGGACGGACCTCCGCCCAAAGGGACGGCCCAGTGGCTGAACATGCGGAGGTGGATCTCCAGTCACCACCACCTGTCCTGCCCCCGCAGAGTGTTCTCCCAAAGGAGCTTACCCAAGCTGGTACCAACTGCCAACCTGCCGGAGGGTCCACGGGCCATTCTGGACCACTTTGCTAATGCCTCGTTTCTGGGTGTTTCCAGAGGGAGTTGTACCAGCGCGTGTTTGAGAAGTGTCCTGATCGCCACTCTGACTTCTCGCGGCTGGCCAGGATTCTGACAGGAAACGGCATTGCCCTCGTGCTGGGTGGAGGGGGCGCCAGGTACACGCACACACCCAATGCACCAACACCATGGAGCGGTCCCTGCAACCCCGACTGCCTCCACACAGCAGCATCAGATCCAGAGGTCAGAGAGCAGCAGCAATACGAAGCGGCAGACAATGGACGGTCGATTCAAATCAATAAATATGCTACATATATATGAGCCAATAAGCAGGTTTGATTGGCCTGTTTCTGTCTCAACTGTCTGGTCCTGGACCTTTGGGATGTAAAAGTCCAGTGAAGAGAGCAATGTAGAGAGAAGAACGTCTGTAGGGAGGGAGGAGGAGCACCAGATGAGGCCAGACAGGAGGAGACAGAAGGTTAAAGAGGATGGAGACAGTGTGTGTGGGAGACTGAGGTTTGGGAGTTACAGCTACTTTCTGTGGAGCACCGCGACGTTCGATTCAATCAGACCAGCAAAGAAACTACTGAGAACATTTCCCACATCCTTATGGAAGCTGTGGCTGTAAATATGAGACGGATTGGCATTGTTTAATGATTGGTGTCCGTTCTCAGGGGCTGCTCTCAGGTCGGCATACTGCGGGCTCTGAACGAGGCGGGGATCCCAGTCGACATGGTGGGGGGAACCTCCATCGGCTCCTTAATGGGAGCGCTGTATGCTGAGGAGAAGAACAACAGTCGCATGAGGGTCCGCGCTCGAGAGTGGGCCATGGTGTGTTTTACTGAAGATATTTGGAAACACCTGTTTAACGTGTGTTCTCCCTGCTGGTTCTCCTTCAGTAAATTCTATTGTTGAGGAGAGAATTCCGCTTTTCTTCAAGTGCTGTTTTTAATTCCTTTCATTCTCAGGATATGACGTCTTACTTTAAGAAGATCTTGGATCTGACCTACCCGGTCACTTCCATGTTCTCTGGGGCTTCCTTTAACTCCGGCCTTCGCTCGGTCTTCAAGGGCAAGCAGATAGAGGTGAGGTGACGGGTTCTCCAAACACACGAGGAACCACAGGCACAGGGGATCGGTAGACTTGGGCACCTTTAAGGGCATTTTGTTCCAAATGGATCGCTCAGGATGGCGCCGGCGATGGCTGCCGCGGTGCTTCAGTGCGCTTCGCTTTCTGTTGTTCACTATATTACTGGCCCCTAGCATTGTATTTTATGTCCTTCTTGCACTTGTCGTCCCTTGTCGTACTGTCTGCTGTTACGCAGCAACCGCCAAGTCACATTCCTTGTATGGGACATATTATGGCCACGTTGTATCAGTGAGCGCTTGTGAGCTCTTTTATAATACTAGTCTGATACTTTCCACTGATATGTCTCCCTTGCCAGGACCTGTGGCTGCCCTACTTCAACATCACAACAGATATCACAGCTTCCTCCATGAGGGTTCACACTGACGGTCTGTGCAGCCTCGGACCTTTTCATTGATTTATTGTAAATGAACCACAGGTCATTAGGTAGCTGTGGTGTGTAACCCGGCGCGCGTTCTAGCATCTCTCCTCCCCTTTGTTAACCATTGGGTTCTCTCTGCTGCTTTAGGGTCGCTGTGGCGTTACGTCCGAGCCAGCATGTCCCTGTCTGGCTACCTGCCTCCTCTTTGTGACCCCAAAGACGGACATCTCCTCATGGACGGAGGGTACATCAACAACCTGCCCGGTGAGAGACACACATTCCACCACTAAATATGGCCTCACCTTTTCTTTAAACATCGTCAATCAATATGCAGAACAGAAAAAGGTGGCGTTGTTCAACCACAACTTGAAAAAGACCTTTTGATCTTGTAATATGTAATGTTTTTTTATTTTTGTTAACCTTTAGACCCAGATTGCTGAAACTCTTTTTCCATTTTCAAAATATCTCCTTCCAGTTTGTTAATCTCTGCCGTATATATTTTTTTGATGCCCGTTGTATGAGATGCTATTTGTACTATTTGTCCCATAATAAGAAACTGTTTGGGGAGGAGGGGACTTGTAACTTCAAACGTCTGTCTGTGACGGAGAGTAGGATCTATGTTGGTTTGATGCTTTTTCTGGCATCAAAACAGATGAATGCTCAGTAACCCATTTCTGTATTGAATCTGGCTTATGAATTGATTTGGCTAACGGGCTCAGCCAATACCTGCCAATATGAATAAACCCAGACAGGGTGGCAGCATCAGATTCTGAGAAGGCTTTTCTCATTAAAAGTGTGGGTTTGGTCATTTGTTTATTGACTGGGTGAAAACCCTTCACCATAAACCCAGAGGCAGAATGATGAGACGGGACCCAGACATAAAAGTGTTCAAAGTCGGCCAAATAAATAAGATGAATCTCCTGGCAGATGATGTCATTTTGTATCCAACAGACCAATTTAAGTGGCTTCCGAATATGAAATAATTGGGAATATTTATAGGTTATAGTCAAGGAGGTTTTCCATTACCCAACTTAAAACTTCTGGATACAAATTGCACTCCGTCCCTTGAACGAAGAAACCCCAGTGATTTTATTTACAAATGGAACTCCAGAACCCCAGAGGGACAGACTGTCCAATCTCAAAACCTCTTATTCAATTACTGTATGAAGTCCACAATATATTGTAACGAATGAGACTGTCACTCAAAACACCTGTAAGACTAAATGAGCTCGTAACCGTGACTCTAAATAACAACGTTCTGGGGCCTGATAGTGGAATCCAGCACTTGGAACAACTGAGAAGAAAGTACGACTTTCCCAGTACACTTTTCTTTTGTCACCTCCAGTTATTTTTATTTTTTATTTTGCTTGTTGACAGAGGGGGATTATTGTTAATATAATTTGTTGCTTTGTTTTTTACTTTCTTTTCTTTTTTTTTTTTTACTAATTTGATTTATCTTTACTTACTGCATTTTTCCATCCTAATATGCTCTAATTGTCTGTAATGTTCACTGTATTTAAGGGCTAGTTACCTTGCAAGGTTAAAAATAAGGTCAGCAACGGCTGCCAAACTAAAAAACGTAGCGTAAATTCCGGACTATAAGCCGCTACGTTTTCCCCACGCGGTGAACCCTGCTTGTGCAACGCTGGCGCTAACGGCTCATTTTATTAGTGTACACATCATTTTTCCGTTCTAAATTTAGGTGGTGCTCTATAGTCCGGAAGTTACAGTAAAAGGAAAGTGAAACATCTTAATTCAAGTAAAAAAAATGTTTTGCAGAGCAAGCGTTCGCTTATTGCTTTTTCCTGTATAATTACAATCAAACACCTTCATTAAAGGGATATCACTAAAAGTTCCTCTCATGTTGGCATGTAGCTGATGTCGCGCGTTCTATGGGGGCCAAGGTTGTGATTGCAATCGATGTAGGAAGTCGGGATGAAACCGACCTTACCAACTACGGGGACTCCCTGAACGGCTGGTGGCTGCTGTGGAAACGCTTCAACCCTCTGGCGGAGAAAGTCAAGGTACACCTTCATGTCACACGTCCTCTGTCTGCTTTCCATTTGACTGACATCGTTTGGACATCGGCTGAACTCGTTTTGGAGGAACTGTGGAGAGAGACTCGGCCAATGTTTCCTTCCAGGTCCTGAACATGGCCGAGATCCAGACCCGGCTGGCTTACGTGTGCTGCGTGCAGCAGCTGGAGCTGGTAAAGGACAGTGAATACTGCGAGTACATCCGGCCACCCATCGACCACTACGGCACGCTGGAGTTCGGCAAGTTCGACGAGATCGCTGTGAGTTCCCCAACAGCTCTGTTACTCGTGCCACCGATGGAACGTCCCTGTGAGCCTCCCTCACTGTGTCGGCAGGAGGTCGGATACCAGCACGGAAAGACCGTGTTTGACGTGTGGCAGCGCAGCGGCGTGGTGGACAGCATGCTCAAGGACAGACATCAGGAGGAATTCCACAAGACCAAAACTGGCCATGTGAGTCCAAACTACGGACACTACTTTTAAAGCCGCGTCCACGTTCTTTCGTTTCGAAATCATTTAATATGAAAATGTGTTTGCTGATCTGCGATATTTCACTAGCTTTCTAGATCATGTGAGATTAAAGTGCGTTGTGTCTGACTTAAAGTAATCTATGGAATGACGTGTCTCTTTCAGGTTGTTACTTGTCCAAACGCCTCGTTCACAGACCTGGCAGAGATCGTGTCGAGAATCGAACCTGTGAAGAATGCTGTAATCGACGGTGAGTCATCAGTCAAATATTGAAATATCAAGAAATCTTAATCAATGTCCCACTGTGGGTCTATCTCTGAGTAATCACTAAACGTGGGCGGTCGCGTTGTCGCAATCAGAAGAAGCGTCTGATGAGTACCAGACGGACTATGACGAGGAGGCTGTGGAAAGCGCTCTGTCTGACTTCGAGGCGTTCGCCGCCGGCAGTGAACACACGGAAGGAGAGGAGACCGCCGACACTGCTGAAACCGTACGTTCAAGCCGACAAGTCCTCTATCCGCGGTCGGCCCATGCAGACTCCTCCCAGCTCATTGAAGTGAGGACTTTTGTTTCCACAGGACGAGGATATTCAGAGCCGAGTTCGACGCCGGCCGAAGAATGCCCCGCAAAGTGTGCGGCCATGACACCCATCGGAGCCGGGACGGCCACAGCAAAGCACGTCTCCCTTCAGTATTTCTGGACTCATGGGCGCTGGTGTGACCTGAGGGAAGAGCCGCCATGTCTCTGGTACCTTCTAGACCCCAGGGGTTCAAACCGTTAGGGGCTTACATGTAAAATAGGTAAAACTTTCATTTGTAATTCCATGGACTTTTCTTCATTTTAGCTGTCTCCCAGTTTAATACTATGTTTCATAATTCAAGCAGGGTTTCAGTCTGTATGTGAGCAGCAAAATGGGATTTTTACAAATAAAGCTCTTTGTGCTGACCTTTGCTAGAAAGTTAATCTGCCTTGATGTTTTTCACATGTCTTTTTATACCAGGTGTTGTTACTAAACTTGGATAAAAGTTAGTTATTAATTAGTTCCCTATCATCAGGGACTGAGTAATGAAGAAGAACCTACCGATCAATAAAGATACCGCCTCCAGTATTACTGTAAATAGTCCTAGAAACAGAAACCTTTTCACGTCGAGCTTCGGGATAGAATGAGATTCATAGAGCTGCTGTTAAAATGATCATGATTTATCCCCATAAATGACACTGATACTGTTATTTGTTGCAACATTACACTTTTATCACCATGGTTACAGAGTATTGACTGATCCTGAGTTTTTATGACCAGGTGGCATAAAAAAGAAAGGGTTAAGAATATTGCGTCTTGGATCATGATAAATACACAATGTTTGTTTGTTTAAAGATTTTGTGTTGAATCTTTGAAAAGCTGAATTCCTTTTTTTTCAGTTTTTTTGTTCATTATTTGCACTGGATTGTTAGTATTGTATCCAGTGAAATAATAGAAAAACAATAAATGACTCTCCATCCATTTTCAAAGCTGCTTATCTGTGAAACCTAAAATGATGATAATACTGTTGTAAAATGATTCAATAAATAAATAATGACACCAAATGTTATTTACTGTACGTCATGTGCTGTTTACCCTTTATATATATATATAATATATATATATATATATACAAATGATTGGAACTCAAGACAGTTATGACATGATGACATGTTCTTTACTAGTGTATGTAAACGTTCGACCACAATTGTTTGTGTGTGTACATAATTATATATATATATATAATTATGTACACACGTAATTGTAATTATGTAATTGTAATTGTAATTATGTATTTTATATATATATATATATATATATATATAATTATGTACACACACACACGATTGTGGTCGAACGTTTACATACACTAGTAAAGAACATGTCATCATGTCATAACTGTCTTGAGTTCCAATCATTTGTACAGCTCTTGTTTTACTGCGATGGAATGATTGGAGCACATACTTCTTTGTCACTAAAAATACTGATGCATTTTGTTTTTTTCTACTGGGTCGAAAACATACATAAAGTTTTTTACACTTTTTTATTTGGAGGATATAGAAAGTGGTGTCAATCAAATTTGCTGCGTGGCATGGTCTTTTAACTTGAGTGATTATGATTGACTACAGCCTCTGAGCCCATTTAAAAAGGGCTCCTTTAATGCTCCACCAGACTGCTACAAACACTACGATGGGAAACGCAAAGTAACGCAGCACGGAGCTGAAAAAGCAAATCATTGTCACTTGGAGCCGTTCCAAAGCAGCTCAAAGAGCCCAAGATCAACTGTAAGTATAAAGTGCATGGCGTAGTTTTGTCACTGACACGATCAAGAAGAACACGCAAGCTATCAGAAAAGGAGGGTGAAGAGTGTCAGGGAATACTTCTTATTGTGCTATTATCATTACGCAGCATACTGTTTCATTGTCCTGGTTTAATTGCGTTAAAACAGGAAACGGTGGACTCAACTGTATCCTCTCCACCAAACTGAAAGGCAACTTAATATATGGGAGGAAAGTCCCAGATACATTTGCATACACTCATACGTGATCTTACACACATGCATTAAGCTGTTTGAAGCGACATACTCTGTTTGGTGTACAATGCCTTTTGCTATCACTGTTGTACCACTGACCTTTTTAACAAACAAGTGTCGACGCCTCATGCTTACATGGTTCACTACCTCAATAAAAGGAGGCTGCATGGGGACGTCTAGTGGTAGTTGGCTGTGATCGAGTGAAGGCTCTTGTACCGGGCTCCCCTTGCAGCAAGTAACACTTCGACTGAGTGTCTTTGTTTCTCGTGCTGTGATTGTTCTCTGGTGTAATCAGCAGGGTTCGTGGTTTCTAACTACGACCTAACAAAGAGTCAACCAAGAACCACCAAAAAGCAGATCTACAATGAAATAGAAGTTGATGGAACACCGGTGTCAGTGTCTACAGTCAAGCGTGTTTTAAAGCTGCCATGCATGAAGGAAGCCTTCGCTGCTGAAGCGGTGCATTAAGGCTCAGGAGACAAGGTGGGGCCTTTAACCCCATGAACACCGTACCTACTGTCCAGCTGTTTGGATGCCAGTGGAACTGGTGTTTTACAGAAAGTAAATGGAATGATAATGAAGCATGATTGCATCCAAATTCTTCAGGGAAACTTAAAATCATCAGCCAGAAAGTTTGGTCTCGGACAAAGTTGATTTTCCAACAGGACAATGACCCCAAACACGCATCAAAAGTGGTGAAAGAATGGAATGAGGTAGAATGTCGCTCCTAAAGTCCTGACTTAAACCCCATCATTGATTGTGCTGAAGAAACTCGTATGTCAGAAAGCCAAAATATTTAGTTGAACTGCACCAATTTAAACCCAGCAGATTTGGTCATTTTCAGCAGACCCCTAATAAACTCGTAGAAGAACCATCAACCACCAAAAGAATAAGAAAAAAAAAGAATTTTCTTTGCGACAAAGAAGCGTGCGTTCCAATCATTCACAGAACAAAATTATCGGAAACCCAAGATAGTCACGATACACATGTTCTTCAGTGTTTGTAAACGTTTGAATAGAAACTTAAATTTGAATAGAAACACATTTTGAGTTTTGTGAGCGAAAAATGTGTGTACATCAAGACCGGTCAAGCCGTGGTAGAGACCTGTATAGCTCAGCTTTAAAGCTTACCCTGCTTTGTTCTGACTCTAAATGGACCATCATTTACCAAATGAACATCACGCTGTATTGAAACTTTGAGATTGAGACCATGAACTCATGTTTACTGAGAGAATACATCAAATCTGTGTGGAGCCTGCATGTTCTCTCCGGGTACTCCGGCTTCCTCCCACAGTCCACAACATGCTCTGTGGATCAGGTTAATTGGTATTGCTAGGTTGCCCGTAGGGGTGTGGATGTGAGTGTGTACGGTTGTATGTCTGTGTGTTAGCCTGTCTCTCGCCCGAAGTTAGCTGGGATTGACTCCAGCCAATGGGACCAGAGAGGTTGTCCCCTGGTGGTCACTAGAAAGAATGCAGCTTCATCACGTGAAGCTTAAGTTCACAGGGGTTCCCTCTAGACTGCTGTACCTCCTGTGATTTGAATTTTTTTAAATTGTGGCAAAACATGGTAATAAGATCTGATTATGTTCAAACTAGTTACACACTGCTTTGGTGATCTGACCACTTCATCATTTAGTCCATGTTTGCCTTTTCAGCAATACCAGTGAAGTAGGCCCTATATAAATACCATTTACAATTAGCTGACGCTTTTATCAAAAGCGACTTGCAACAAGTGCATTTAATAAGAATCAAGAAAGTACAAATTATTTGAGAGAGAAAGAAAGAAAGCCAAAGTACAAAAGTGCTATAGTCCAGGTATAGTCTGTAGGGATGACCGCTTCAGTTTGCGTCGAAAGCTGTATATTTTCCACGGTCTTGATGTCGTTGGAGTTCATTCCACCATTTGGGGGCCAGGACCGCAAACAGTCAGGATTTTGATGATCGTTCAGTTCATTGGTGAGAGAAGTTCAGTCTTGTCATGGTTAATCTTCAAGAGGTGAGCCGCCATCCAGCGAGGTGTCCTTCAAGCAGGCAGAGATTCCTGCTGCTACCCGTGTAGCATTGGGGAAAACACATGATTAGTTGAGTGTCATCAGCATAGCTATGGTAGGAGAACCATGTGAGTGGATGACAGCCGAGACAATTGGTGCAGAAAGATAAGAGGAGGGGACCCAGGACAGAGCCTTGGGGGATCCCGGTGGTGAGAGGACACCCTGTAAGTTCAGTTGTTGAGGGTAGGGTTAGAGAAGGAGAGAGGGACTGGATAGATAGGGTCAATGGGACAGCTGGTTGGACGGGGGAGGTTACTAAGGTGAGAACTTTGAATATCTTGACAAATACATTATACATACATTGCTTTGTGCACACTGATGAAAATATGTAATTCTATCCCTACTTTAAAAAAATTATGAGAGCTATTTTATTGTGTAATTTATTGGTTTGTTTGATAAGGGACAGTCCACACTAATAAAAACATTGCTGTGAATGTGCCAGAGTTAGCCAAAAGGCTATTTTTCCATTTGTAGTCCCAAGTGTGAGACTTTCTGTCTCAAAGTGATGCAGAGAAATTGGTTCATGCGTTTGTCACTTCCAGACTGGACTACTGTCATTCTTTGTTATCAGGCTGCTCTTGTAAAGCTCTTAAGCCTCTCCAGTTCATTCAAAATGCTGCATCATATCACTCCTGTATTAACTTCTCTGCACTGGCTCCCTGTTAAATCAAGAGTAGATTTTAAGGTACTTCTCCTCACCTACAACGGTGCCTCACCAGCAAGTTCCTTGTATCTTAAAGCGCTTGTATCACCTTATTGCCTAGGCATCTGCGCTCCATAGATGCTGGGTTACTTGTTGTTCCTATGGTTTTAAAAAGTAGGACGGGAGCCAGAGCCTTCAGTTATCAAGCTCCTCTTTTAGGGAACCAGGTTCCACTTTCAGTCCGGGGGGCAGATTCAGCTCTTTTAAATTAAAACTTAAAACGTTCCTCTTTGATTCTGCCTATAGTTAGGGCTGGCTCAGGTTAGCCCGGACCAGCCCTTAGTTAAGCTGCTATAGGCTTAGACTGGCGGGGGACTTCTTAGGACACACTGCGCTCCTCCCTCACGCTCTCGTTCTACCATAATCCACGTTTTATTAATGCACATGACTAATTCAGCTTCTTTCAGGGAGTTTTTTGTGCTTTCTTCCCCCTAGCAGGTCTCCGTAGATCGTGGTTCCTTCTGGACCCTGGTCCTGACAGCTGCCGTGGCCCTGCTGACGCCTGCTGCTGCCATCATCATCATCATCATCATCATCATCATCATCATCATCATCATCATCATCATCATCATCATCATCATTATTATTATTATTATTATTATTATTATTTTAGATATTAATCATATTACTTTACTCATAAACCAACATTACCGTCTCCTAAAGTCTCTGTGCTCTCCCTCCCCACAGGCTCCTGTGGATGGTGGTTCTATGTGATGGTGGTTGTCCCTGCAGTGGTCCTGCTGTGCGCCTGGCTTACTACTCACAATTACTTGAATCATTTCTGTCATATAATTGCATGTATTATACATTGTTCATTCTGTACACATGGCATCCATTGTAATCTGTCCATCAGGAGTGGGATCCCTCCTCTGACGTTCCCACTAAGGTTTCTACCCTTTTTTCCTCTTGGAAGGGTTTTTTCATTGTTTGGGGAGTTGTTCCTGTGCCGATGGTGGGTTTCGGGACAGAGGATGTCGTATGTGTACAGACTGTAAAGCCCTCTGAGGCAAATTAGTAATTTGCGATTTTGGGCTATACAATTCAATTCATTTTATTTTGAAGTGGCTGATGTTACAACTAGGGCACACTAGTTGGGCTTGTGTCAAAGTGAATGGATTTGGGTCAGTGGCTGGTGAGGAACCACAGCAAAGAGACAATTTTGTGATTATTACTGGATCAGTGGCTTTTTAAAGTAAGTTTTGTTTTCATGGCATTTTAGATTGCATTGTTTTCCAAGATGGCCGTCGGTAAATGCCATTATTTACCTGGATTGTGAATGAGTTATCAAATTTTGATGATCCTGATAATAAAATATGGGTTATTGAGTACGAGAAATCCAATTCTGCACTCAGTCCAAATTGTCAAAATAAATGGAGATATAAGCCAATTACAAAAAATAGTGTTGGTCAGTGATCAATAGTTGCCTGAGATAGATACATGGTCTTGGGATTACAAATGATGGGGGACTCCACTAAGTGCTTGGCCTTAGGAATCCAAATAAAATCCACGTGTGGAAGTGGATGGACAGCTCAATGTCAGGATTATGAATTGTTCTCATCACGACGCTGCGTGCACTGGAGGACAAAGCAATAACATTTGCATCTTCCACGACATTCTGTCATTGGCATCTCTGACTATGGAGGACAACAAATTATTAAAAAGTATAAAATACATGTATAGATAAATGAATGTATCCATAAATAAACGTTCATAATCAAACCACATAGTTATTTTTACATTTGTGTTTGCCTACATTTCTTTATTTCTTTAAGTCATTCTTTGCACTCGGTGGACCACACACTGAGGTCTGCATCTGTAACTGGGGAGGATTGGCTGAGCTTCTGGAAGACATGAAACACTTCACAGGTTTGGCATACAGTCTTTTTACCACAAAAGGCTGATACAACATCACAGACGGTGAAGGTGAGAAAGAAAAGGATGCCACAGGAGTTTTCAATCCACATCTGTTTACTATTACTGTAACGTTGTTTCCACTTGTTTGCACTTTGGGAGAAGCACAATAAATTTGCACCACCTCTACCTACGACTACGTCAATCTTTTGTGCTGTTCAGCAAGGACTGAAGTTCGACCCCCTAGTAGCCTCCATCAGATCAGATTCATAGAAACCTGTGGGGAGGAAGCACGATGACGGAATGTAGCCAAAGCTCCCGGGGCAACAAGCCCACATGCTGTTCATCATCTGTCAAATGTCACATTAAACGGATTCCTTCCGTTTCCTGGGCTCCATCATCACCCAGGACCTCAAGTGGGAGCTGAACATCAGCTCCATCACCAAGAAGGCTCAGCAGAGGTTGTTCTTCCTGAGGCAGCTGAAGAAACTCAACCTGCCAAAGACGATGATGGTGCACTTCTACACGGCCATCATGGAGTCCATCCTCTGCTCCTCCATCAGCGTCTGGTACGCTGCAGCCACAGCCAAGGACAAGGGCAGGCTGCAGCGTGTCATCCGCTCTGTGGAGAGGGTGATTGGCTGCAATCTGCCGTCCCTGCAGGACTTGTTCGCTTCCAGGTCTCTGAAGCGAGCTAAAAAGATGGTAGCCGACCCCTCCCACCCCGGACAAAAACTGTTTGTGTCCCTTCCATCTGGCAGGAGGCTGAGGTCCATCAGGACTACGACCTCCCGCCACACGAACAGTTTCTTCCCGTCGGCAGTCGGGCTCATCAACAGAGCCGGTCCCACTGACTGACTATAACACTCCACCGGTCACTCCCCCTCATACTGCACATGTCACTTTAACTGTAATTCATCACTTTGTCACTTGTCACTTTGTCTCTTGTCTGTTACTTGTTTGTTAGTGCACTTTATGCTTAATACTTTTCTTCAACTTTTTAATATTTAACATTTTTTAACTTTATTCCCTTGTTTTATACTAACCCATAGCCTTAGCCTTATTCTACTAACCCATTGCATTAGCATTTCATTCCACTTTATTTTATTACTTGTGCACTGTTGTCTTGTCTGTCTACTGTCGCGCACTAACCGCCAAGACAAATTCCTTGTATGTTTGACATATTTTGGCTAATAAATGTTTCCTGATTCCTGATTAAAATGTGCAAAACAATACACATTGCATGAAAAGTGGGATTTTCGGCAAAAGTGGGATTTTCGGCACTGTAAATTGTCGTGGAACTTCAGGTTTGCGGCTGTTCACAGCAATTTGCGGGCAACGCCGAAAACTGCCGTAAATTGTCAGAAATTGACGTGGGCCTCCCTTGGCAGTTGTCCCCCCATGACCCCCCTCCTCCTATTTCTAGGGGAGGCTTTGACATGTAAATGAAAATGCTGTGAGCTAAACAAATGCAAATCAGGGTCGCAGAGGGAGTTTTAGCCCAGGTGACATTTTTTAAAAGGTAAGAAAATCTCTGGTACAAATAGATCAGGCTCAGCAGCCTAATTATAGACTCTTACATTTTAGATTTATTTAATTCAAATATGCTAGATTACTGTGTACGCCATTAGCAATGGCAAATGTTATGTAAAAAAGATACACAAAATAACTTCTTTAAAAGATGAGTTTTAATCAAGGTAAAATGAGCATTCTATGCAAACAACATTTGAATCAGAATGAGGGGTCTGCAGAGATCAGTCTCCTAGAGCTCAACTACAGTGCATAGTGGCAGGACTACAGTGACCTTTTCTTTGGTCTTACTTAAATGCACAGAGGATGTATTACCCACACATCTTCTAGCAATGCGCTCAACTGGCAGAAATGATGCTGGGTACGACGTGTCTGTTCCCTGCAAGCCCCAAACTTCTATTGGCTTTCCATAAAAATGTCTGTCTGGGTGGGGATGAAGCCAGGAAACTTGTGCAAGAACAAGTTTAAATGCCGTACCCTTTGACACAACATTAACAACTATAAACTGCTTTATAATGGCTGGTCGTAGTTCTGCTAGAGGGTCAAGGACGGGTTCCTCAAAACTGTTAGTGTTTCCACACCACTTAGCATGAACACATGCTGACCTTCATGCTCTGCCTCTATCGAGTAAGTTACATTCATATATGTTACCCGTTTACATGTCATGGCAAAACATTCAACCTCAGTGACACAAGGGTACATGTGATGATACATTGTCAACATTGCATGTCTGTCAGACTCTAGAGTGTCTGGTGGAATGGAGAAAGAGGCACCACTGTGCAGGTTTCATGGGAAAGTCGTTCTGCTGACACCAAAACACTGCTTTACATAAAGCATATCAGCTGTTTCAGCTGGTTTGTAAATAATAGCTGGACGACGTCTCGCGTTCAACTCGCCTTCCTCCTCTCCGCGGTCACCGGTACGTCTATTTGCCAAATTGGAAATTTTGCCGTAAAAGGACTAATTCCTTTTGGGGCTTTTTTAAGGGCAGTCTTTAGGTTTGAGAAGTAGGATTTCATTCTTCGTGAGTCTATTTGTGTGCGGCAGGTCAAATGACACACAGCAGCTGGTTTTTCAATCTGGTGGTGGGATAAAGTATCGCATGTAAAACATAGAACACGATTGCTATATTTGATGAAAAGAAAGAACATTACAAAATAAATAATGAAAGTGTGTCGTATGTCCAGCTGTGTCAAACGTTTGGACACACACTTTGTCTTTGAATGGAATGAGGAAATGTGTCCAAACCTTGGACTGGTACTTTTGACTGGTATTTTGGGTGTTTTTGGGGTCTCTGACATCATCACCTCATACTTATTTGGAACGTTGTCTTGACCACGGTTTGACTGTTTATTCCTGGACGTGAGACGAGTGTCACGGGCCCTTTGCTGCTGTTATTTTGGTCCGTGGTCTGTCACGCTTTCTGCCACCGTCTCTCCACATTGCTCAAGCTGAGAAAGAGGAAGTGAGAAGGAGGCGCTGAAAGGCCCACAGCGCGCTGACAAGGGGAAGTGTGAGCAGCACCAGAGACAGGCTCCTCGCTCTCCCAGGCCGGTAAGAACCATCTTCGTTCTTTATTATAGAATAACGTGATGCCGTTGTATCTCCAGAGAAGACCAGTGAAAAAGGAGACAAAGAAACACTTGTTCAGTTATCTCAGTCAAAGCATCGTATGTGAAAGTCTATTAAGCATTCATGCCTCGTGGAACAGTTCTGAATATATTAGTTGTTTAAGGTTTTGATTAAACATTTGAACGTATGTTTTGCGCTGATAATGACGATTTTTATAGTATTTTTAAGTATTTATTTGCCCGGTACACCCTGTGATGTCATCAGTCAACTATGATACATAGTTCCACCATGAGGCTGTTTTTAGGCTTCTGCTCAGATTGACGCCCCTGATAACAAGTGAAATAACTCTGACAAAACAATTACTTTGTCTTTCTCGACAATTGTTTGCTGTTGGAATAAAAGGGAGTGGAAATCTTTTTGTGATACTGGAGAAGAAATAAATCAAATTAACAGAAAAACCCTCGGCTGAAAAGAAACACTAACAAGGCATCATTACTACTAATAATATCCTTGTTTGTTCGTTGGTTCTGGCTCAGTTTCGAACCAAAATCAGTGAAATGTCTTTGTAAGGTGGGCGGAAACACAGGAAGTGAGATGTGTCGGCATTTCTTCCATCAACGCGATCATGCGTTTAGTCAGCGTTGAGACGCAAACCTCCACCCACACACACACACACACACACACACACACACACACACACACACACACACACACACACACACACACACACACACACAGACAGAATATGGAATGCGAATGTTGACATGTTTGTTTCTTGCTGCAGGTCTGATCAGAGGAGAGACAGAATGGCTCAAGGCTGCCTCAAGTGTTTAAAGTACACCATGTGCTTCGCCAACTTCCTGTGTTTCGTATGTATCACTCATGCAGCGTCGCATTAGGTCACTGACATACGTGTTGTGGCCCCGCTGAGGGACGACATGAGTCAGTGGTTGAGAAAGTATTCTGGTCCTCTTCTAAACTCGACGTGTTGCTCGTGTGTCTATGACTTAGACTGTGGACAACGTGTTCACGGTGTGTCTCTGTGTGGAGGGAGAGCGCTGGAGACTCGTCCCCTTCAATGTCCCCCCGACGGACGTGACGCACACCACTGGAAGCTTGTTCTCCGCCTGTAACGCTGCCTGTTTGTTAGCGTGTGTCCCGCTCTGGAATATTCTACACTGAAATCTTGCGTCACATCCACATTTTGGAAATCAGCAAAGTACTGCAGCTCAGAAAGTCCTTCAGTCGCCTGAACACAAAAACAAGGCTGAAAAACACTAGTTTGCCTTTTAACGTAAAGGTATATTCAGTGAAATGTACTGAAAGTAGGAGTACTAATAATGCAGAACGCAGCTCTGTGTCACAATATAACTACACACCGTACGATGTGTCTATGAAATGTGTAATAATTGTAATACTCCTGTCAGATCTGTGGCGTAGCGGTGCTGGGCTTGGGCATCTACATGACGGTGTTCTTCCGGATGGCGGCGCTCACCCCGACTCTGGCCAGCTTCAACGTGGCCAACATGCTGCTGGTCAGCGGCATCGTCATCACCTGTGTGTCCTTCCTGGGCTTCCTGGGGGCTCTGAAGGAGAACCGCTGTCTCCTGCTGACGGTACGACTCACACGTCTGCAGAGTCCTCGTGATCTTCTTTGTTGGGAAGATGGTAACGCAAAAAAGATCCTTAGAAAGTTCCTCACGCCGACTGTCATCCGTTAGCCACGGTGTCGTCCAGATGTTCGACAGTCCTCATGAACCCACCATGTGATCTGTAGACTCCTCAGTCACACTGTTTCTTAGAAGACTAGACTGCCGTTTCAATGCTGGACTGGACTGTCCTCGTTTGTCTCTTTTGTCTCTTTTGATAATATATCTGCAGGGCTTGATACCACTAGAAGAAAGGAGAGTTTTCTTTTGTAGATTCTCGTCACAAGAGACAAGTGGTTAAAAGTGAGAGAAATATTTGAAACATAATGTTTCAAAGTTTGAGATCTCCTATACACGCGTTTTATCACGAGCATTAGAATCAAGTTGTACTCTGTGGACAACAAGACACGCAGGAGCAATCAAAAGTCCTCGCTCTACCCACATGATCTAAACCATGACCTATTCACCCCCCGATGGGAGGAGCTACCACACAGTGACACCTGTCCATCAGTAGATCACATTCACACCTCGATGGGAGGAGCTACCACACAGTGACACCTGTCCATCAGTAGATAACGTTCACACCCCGATGGGAGGAGCTACCACACAGTGACACCTGTCCATCAGTAGATAACGTTCACACCCCGATGGGAGGAGCTACCACACAGTGACACCTGTCCATCAGTAGATAACGTTCACACCCCGATGGGAGGAGCTACCACACAGTGACACCTGTCCATCAGTAGATAACGTTCACACCCCGAGGGGAGGAGCTACCACACAGTGACACCTGTCCATCAGTAGATAACGTTCAGACTCTGGTCAGAGGTACTTGGTGTCTTACCCAAGGACACAGACCCGGAATAGCGTGTACGAAGTATGGTATTGAACCACTGCCCCTCATTGAAGGACGACGTAACCAACTTGCCGGTCCATTTTGAATAATTATTACATTACATGTCATTATGTGACGCTTTCATCCAAAGCGACTTATAACAAGTGCATAAATAATGTGTGTGGAGGGTCATTGTGTGTTTTGTGTTGTGACAGTTTTTCCTGCTGCTGTTCCTCCTGATGCTGGTGGAGCTGACTGTAGCGTGCCTGCTACTCATGTATGAGAACGAGGTGAGGACCCATCCAGCGGTGCTCACTAACAGAGGAAAGACATTTAGACCATGTGTCCAACCTGCACATCTCTGCTCCCTGTTCAGATTGGTGCAATGGTGGAAAATGACCTCAAAGAGGGTTTGAGAACGGCCAAAACAGGTTTTGCGAACTCAACAGATGTGAAGAAGGAGTGGGACCTGGTTCAGACTCAGGTGAGTGGACCAGAGATCTCTGACGGCTCACGTGAATGTCTTCATGTGGCCACTGTCCCCAACGTCTGAAAACCTGTTTCAGTTTGATTGCTGTGGAGTGATGAACGTGACAGACTGGGGAGACGAAGTGCCCAAGTCCTGCTGCCTGGACCCCTGCGACAGCCTGAAGCCTCAGTACAGAGAGAAGGTACACGCGTGCTCACGTGATTTAAAGATGGATGCGTGATCGTCGGTAACGGTCGATCTCAACGTCGTGCTCTTTTCTTTGCAGGGTTGTTTCGTAACGTTGAAGATCTTCTTTGAGGATAATTTTCTAACCACTGGGATTTCTGTCATTGTCTTCTGCATGTTCGAGGTAAACTTGCGCTTATTTGAAAACACGCAATACCAAAGAAACACTTTAACATCTCAAATATCAGGTTTGAATGCAACTGTACTCTGAAATGTTATAACTCTATTTTTCCCTCTGGTTGGTTGACAGGTCTTGGGGATGTGCTTCGCCATGACGCTCTTTTGCCACATCAGTAGATCCGGACTGGGCTACAAGCTATAGACACTTTCTCTCAAGCAATATATCCTGTGTCAGCAATTCTTAAACGTTGCTATTGTACAGTTCTTGTGTTTGCAGGGAGGCTCATTTAAAAAAAAAAAAATTTAGTCTGCTTCTCCCAACAATAATGAACAGCAGCGGTTTCTGTAACATTATCAATATATTATACAACTTTTGTAAATCCTAAAATGTACCAATGAAGCATTTTCTACAGAATTACAGACGGCACTCCTCCATTTTGACTAACTTCATGTTGTCACATGTTTATCATTTCCTGTTTTTAGCTTCTGGGCTGTTCACTGAACTGTGGTGGAGCTTTTTTTATTCACCACTTCCTCTTCTGTTCAACCATCAGTTAGTTCCTCTAAAGTCACCAGACATTGTCTTAATGTCACTGTTGTGTGTAAAAGCTCAATATTAAAGACCTCCTACTTTAAAAGAGACTTTTTTTTCAAAAATCTCAAATGATTGCACAAAAAGCAGGTGACACAGATGAATGTCTTTATTTAAAGAATAAATCCTGCATCAATATTTTAAGACAAAAAACCCTAAAAAAATACTAAGATTTCCTTTACACATTAAAATAATTTTGTTCTTTTTGAAACCATCACACAAAAAAATAGACAAGTACAATTTTTGTAATTAAAAAAAAAAAAGAAATGTAACTGTACACAGAATATATCATTTATTGCCGACTGAACACCCTGACACCTCAGAAACTAAACACGTATTTCAATTCCCCTAGAGATATGAAAGCACAAACTACTGATACAGCGCTCTCATCCTCTTCTGAGTCTGGTCCCCCAGCGCGTCACCGTGAACGTGACACAAAGCGGTTCAGGTCCATTCCGATGGATCCCCAGTAACTGTTGCATTGGTTCCTTCCTCTTTTAGATGAACACAGTCCTCTTTGGAAGAGACCACCCTCACTAAGCAGAGCCGGAAGGATCCGATGTCCTTTCTGAACTGGGAAATAGCCGACCCCTCGCAGGGAAACCTGATCCAACAAAGCATTTAGCTGAAATCCTATGAAGAGCAGCCCACTTAGAGAAGGTAGAGTTCTTTCATTCAGCCCGATCAAATACTTAGAAGCTACACAGAAATATCCCTGGACAGGCTCAAGCAGATATCAGGAGTTTGTGTTACCAATAACAAACGCTGTTGTAGTGAAACCCTGAACAAAGTATTGCTAACAGGTCCGATACCTAGTTTGTGCTGGAGATGTTTAAAGACAGGCCACTGCAAATGCACCTGCAGGGGACGGCACGGGGACACAAGTCATTGGAGGAGCGGAGCGTCCACCGATGACGTCAGTGTTGCAAAGAGCGATGTCTCTCTGTAAACGTTTACTGGAGAACATCCGCAAAGACATCAATAAATAAGAGAAAGACAGAAAGAAAATATTTCCAAACCCTAGTTCACAAACCCACCTAATGGACTGGAATGAGTGACAGGAAGGGAACCCAGCCCCCTTGTCACCACGCTGACGTATCCAGGTCTACCTGTGTTATATACAGAGAAGCAAGGCCGGTTCACAGAACACCCCCCTCACACGCTAAAGACCAGGTGACTCAGTAGTATCAAATACTTCCATGATTACCAGTTATGCCAGAGAAAGATAGAAGGCAACCTACATTCATGAAGAGAAAAGGCTTGTTACTGTTAAATCCTGGAAAGAAAACGCGTTGCACACACACACACACACACGCGAGTGAGCTACAGAAACTACACGCGAGACAACAGCACGTCAGCGAGGAACCGCTTCCCAACCTGGAGCCACACAAAGCGCACTCCGTTCAGACCGCCACACATCCCAGAGGATGAAAGCAGCTGGTTCCAGTGAAGGAGGCTCCGGCACGCATCGCATCGGGGGACCGGGCTGCTCCGTGGGACTACTTTCATGACCCCATCGATTAAAAAGGCTTAAGGCTTCGTTACGGACTCGTCTGGACTCACAGCGCTTTTAGCATCCTCTGGAGCTTTGTGCCCCCCCTCCACATACAGCCCGGGCCACCTGGAGGGAACACTCCACTTCTCACACCTCCCACAGTGTGTCTGGAGGACCTCATCTCAACAGGCTCCTCAGCGTCCTCCATGTCCGACAGCTACAGTCCTGTGTGACGCCACATCTCTCAGTGGAGGTGTTTGAATACACTTTAAAGACCACAAAGGAGCCGTGTGCCACGGGACATGAGGGACATGAGGGACATGAGGGTGTCCTCTCTGGAGCAGCAATACACCACTTGCATTAAGACTCATTAAGTTACTACGGCCAGTCAGTTACACACACACACACACACACACACACACACACACACCTATTAAGCCGCCTCAGCTGTCCCCTGGTGACCTGGAGGCCGCGGACATTCTGGGGGAGGACCGGACAGGCTGGGGGACTAAACCTCTCAGAGCGTACCTTGCTTTGTTGACCAGCACAGGGACCATTTGAGTCCACTGAGCGTCCCTGCAGCCTCTTACACGTACACATCCATCTGCTCACCACAGCATCTGAATATTCTGCTCCGTGTGAGCGGCTGGAAGTTTAAAGCGTTTTTCTCAATTGAAAAAAAATAAAAAAATCTAGATGTACACTTGTTATATAACTATATGTTGAAATCTTGTATTTTTGGAATCAGAATGATAACTTATGAGAGCAACCCTGCTGTCAAAGTGCTAACACTGTAATCCTGTATGCAGCGTGACAGTTACTGTGAAAACAATGAGCCCTGCAGGGTGAACGGCTCCTCCTCGACTTGCCAAGTGCTCTTTCAGACAACAGTTTTGCTTTTTCTAAGTATTTTTCAATAGATCTGGACTTTTTGGAAACGCACACTGGAGACACTATTGGACTCTAGTTGGAACAAGTATTCGAATTTAGAATTCCAATGTCGACGTTTGGACCGCCGCCTCCAACTCCCTATAAAGCCAACGTGCACAGCAGCCGTCGCCGCGGTAACAACGGGCCGAACGTTGATGTGTTGTTGCTTCAAATATATTACAGTCCTCCTTTAAAAAGGGCCGAGTAAGACTACGTTACTACTGAAACTGGCAGCGTCCGCGTTGACCTTTTCCTACAGACATCTGAAAGGTCCTTCCAGAGACACTGCTTTCCCCTAATGAGAAGGTCTTTGTGGAACAGAGGATTCACCAGAGAGACGAAGGAATGCGTTACAGTGAGTTTTACTGAGTGCTACAGCCGCAGGGCGCGGGGGGGCGGGGGCGGGGGGCTCGTGGTCTCTGTGGGTTAGACGGGCCGTGCCTAAAGGGGCATCAGCCTGGTGGTGTGGAACAGGAGGGGGTTCAGGTCCTCGGCGTGGACGGCCCGATGGAGCGACGGCTCAGAGCGACTCCGCTCGATTTTTGGCAGCAGGTCTTGAACCTGCTCGATGGCCACAAGGATCTGACGAAGGGAAACCGGATGAGAGGCAACGGTTAGAACCTGACAGAGACCGATGACATTCAGTAATACTTCAAAGGCAAAGCTCCTGCAGGTTTTGGGAGATGATACGTGTGTTTCATCTGGAACACGTGTGTGGACTGACCATAATGACATGTAATAACTAAGCCGTTACATTGCACTCACCTGGGGGAACAGGGGCCTCTCGTCTCGTTTGAACTTCAGACAGTCAACGATGAGCCTCTTCATGGACTTGGGCGAGGTGCAGAAGAGCTTACTGAGGTCCGGAGACAAGTAGCCGCGTCCGACCATAAAGATTATCTGAGAAAAAAAGGAAACCGCTAATGAAATCTGAGAGGGCTTCCATGGATGGAGACCAACTAAAAATACTGTCAATTAGTGACCATTTGTATTTTGAAAGCATTCATATTTTGGATCAGCATGCATGGGACTTAATTACAGCACAATAGGCAGAATGCTAAAGGTTCAGTGATCCGAGAGCATCGAATGCTGCTTCGTGAAACACGGGGAGCTTCTACATTCATGTTCCCAGAGTCCTGCTGCATCTCGCTCCTCCAGCAGAGCAAAATGTACACTTGAGTAACTAAGCCTTAAGGCTAAGACTCTAAAACTACAAAGGAGCAGATGACCATGACATTGATCAAATGCTGGAGGCAGACTAGTGCTGCGTGAACGCGAGCAGCGGCTCATCACCTGGTCTCTGTTGTTGATGTTGCAGTAAGGCAGAGTCCCCGACATCAGCTCAAACAGGACCACTCCATATCCGTACACATCCGACTGGAACGTGTAGGGGTTGCTGTCCTGCATTCGGATCACCTCGGGAGCCTCAGGAAAAGAAAAGAGTGACTTGTGTCATATTCAGGCCCTGTTAAAGTCAGAAGCTGGCAAATCAAGTTCCTCTCATTTAAAAGCACTGTTTGACCAGCAAGTATGTTTTGGCCAAAGCTTTCCATTATTAATGTTCAAGTTGTTAAGGACTTTTGGTTTGATGGACTCACCATCCACAGGATGGAGCCACTGGGCTGCTCCACCTGCTGAGAGCCGCTCCACCGAGACTTCACCGTGGCCAAGCCAAAGTCTCCGATCTTCACAGTCCAGCCCTCGTGGAGAAAGATATCTAGCAGGACGGCTCAGGACACAGTACAACGACAATCTGGTGGACAATTCCATAGTTTGAGTTGTCCCAAATCGAGCAGAGGAGAGCGCGAGGGAGCGGAGCACTGCCGCCTCCGCCAGTGAAGCACATCAGCACCACCGAAAGCAGACATCTCCACGTCTCCAAATGGTCATTTGGGTAAATCCAATTACATATCGGGAAACTAGTATCGCAGGAAGGATGATAGAAGAAGGCTACTCCTACTTCTAAAGCAGAAGAACACTGAATGGTTAAGAATAAGGTGGATGTGGATTAAATGTAGAATTGTGTAATTGTGACACACTGGTCAGGGTTTTCCAACTCAAATTGTTTTCAAAGTAATGAAACCTACAATAAATAATGATAATAAATACTGTGCCTATGAAGATCATGATTCAGGTCAGTGGATAAAAGCTTGCTAGCTACAGAACACGAACACGTGGTTATTGGTCTCAAATGATGTCACACACTTACACTGTTAAAGAAAAGGATACTGTTTGATTTCAGGTCTCGATGAATTATGTTCTTTGCGTGAAGATAACTGAAAGGGTGAAAAACATCACTGAATGAGGCAGAGCACCACGCTCAGACGTGACAAGGTGCATGATAGTAGAAAGCCAGTGTTCAGCCCCCCAGTTCCCCCACAGGCTCTACTTTCCCACGCTGAACGTAGCAACCAAAGCATTTAAACACATGTAACCCCATCTCCCCCTCAGAAAGTGCCCGTGCCCCTGCAAGGTGGTAAACGCAGGGCAAACACTGATGTGTGGGGGTGAAGGTGTGATGCAGCACAGCACTCACTCCATGCCCTGCGCCGTCTGTCGGGCCACATCGATGCGCCGCATAGTGTCAAACTTGGTTTCTGTGACATGCAGGTGGCGGTACAGGCTGCTGCCTTCACACCACTGGGTGATGATGGCAAAGTTGGGCTTCGTCATGTAGCCCATGAACAGCAGGATGTTGACGTGGCGAGTCTTCCTGCAGAGAACAGAAATCACGACTATGTTAGAAATTCCAAGACCAGACACATTGATTACATTCAGCGGCACACGCGCACATGAATGAACACACAAAAAAGGATCATTTAAAACACCCTTTTTACCCTGTCTAAAGAGTGACCTGTTTCCATAATGTTTCCCCTTTAAAATCCTGCTTCAAATAGACACTTTGAACAGTGCAGATTGACTCACAGACGCTGTGAACCAAAAAGCAGAGCCTCCAGGCAGGAGAGACTAGTCGAATTCAATCGTGGATGTAAAGAAAAAGGGCCAACATATTTGTTCTGAATGAAAACATGTTGCGTTACATCCTCGTGGAACCAGAGTGGGCCGTAGCAGCATCGGCAGTCTCCCTTTATTTGTTTAGTGGTTTGTTGGCTTGAGAGCAGTATTTATACTCCTATCACAATAACAATGATCACTGAACAAGTTGTAATAGTAAGTGTTAGTATTCTGTATCAAAGCAAGAACAACTTTAAAAGCTCTCGTTGCCCCAAACCCATCAAATCGATCATTTGTGGCGTTTCTGGGTTTTTGACACCGATTTCCCTCAGAGATCGTTGCTCCCGTCGGTAACAAATCATGGGAAACAGGATGCAGGTTAAAAACACAGAAGTGAGCGATTAATAACCAGGACTTGACGACAGACAGCAGCACTCGGTTGACCCTTTGATCTAGTCTTTATCAAACACAAAGGTTCCACAAGTAAACAGGCTTCTCACCTTAACACCTGCATTTCATTCTTGAAGGCCTGCAGCTGTTCGGGGGTTGGCTCGGTGACTTTAAGGATCTTGATGGCCACGTCTCCGTGCCACTTGCCCTTGAAGACCGTTCCAAAGGAGCCGGCACCGATTCTCTTCTGGATGGTGACTTCTCGAGAGTGGACCTCCCAGTAGTAGCTGGAGTCTCTGTAGCCCCCTCGGTGCTGAAACATCACATGGAGCATCACAGCACAAGTCACTCTCTCCATATGCACCGGTCTGTAGACGGCCAACGGTCAAAGTCTACACACCACTTTCTTTTTGTCGTCAGAGGAGGACGGCTTGCGCTCCTTGTGCTCTGAGGGAGACTTTGGCGGTCTCCTCCCCGGGGAGCCGAGTGAAGACGGCGGGCTGGTGGAAGGTTTTGGTGACGGTTCAGGACCTGCAAGGACGAGGAAGCAGTACTTTAGAAAACATTTTGAATTGAATACAAAGTGAAATATAGGAAGAAATACAACGTTTACGTACCCAATATGTTGTTGGATTTCAGCGCTTCCTAAAAAGGAGAAGAAACGCAGCATATTATACTGTTTGGCTTTTAACACAGGTAAGTAAAGGTGGTTGACGACTTCATTTGGAACAACATTTTCAATGAGATTGGCGTCCAGGTGTTCATGTATAGTTATACAAGGTAGAGTAGACTGAACCGACCTCGATGATGCTGGTACCAGCTGGCCCCACCGTGCTGACCATGTGCACGTTGGGAGTGGAGGTGGAGCGGTGCCTCTGCAGGGACTGGCCCTCCCCACTCGGCATGGGGAAATGAAACGCCGAGGTCGGGGACAGGAGGTCCGTCCTGCGTGATCAAGTTGAATAGTCACAATTTATACAGGAGAGACAGTTTCACAGACTGAGACACACTTCCCATTTGGGCTTAGTCTATACTGCGGGTGGGCGGCGCGGCGTGCACGTCAGCGCTCTGAATGCGTTTGTCTTTGTACGCGATCAGAGGACGGTCACAAATGGTTCCCTGGTAAAAGCACTATAGTCGCACTAAACGGACAGTTCGCTTTGAGAGGCTTCAGAAACCGGAGGTCTCAAAAATGGTCATTTGAGTAAATAGTTTGCAGCCAAACCGAATCATTAACTCGATATTCAGCCTGCGTTTCTTTATGATGCATGCGATACTTGTTTCGTTACTGGACTGAAGTATTCTGCGAATATGAGGTACAAGTCTACAATTAATAGCTACCCCTCCTCTCTATAGGGACGGATTGGTTTATGGCATGTGGGCGTATCTATGGGTTACACTTGTGGTCTTTTTTTATTCTGCACTGTATATTTTGTTTGTTCGCCCCCTGGTGTTTCAGAGAACAACGCAGCGCACAGAGTGCAAACACTAGCAGCTCGAGGGCCATCTGCAGAGGCTCGTGCTACGGCGCCAAGTGCATAAACAAAGCTTCAATCTACTTTGTTGGGTATAGGAGCTTACCCAGCAGGCTCTGGGGTTAAGGCTAGGTTGCTCTGCGATGGGGAATTTTCTGGTAATAGTATCCGTGGGTACTCATCTGTGCAGGGATTAGTATCATTCCTGGACAAAACATGGGAGAAAGGGGATAGCACAAGAAACATAATGAAACAATGTGTCAGACAGACAGAGGAACACTCATTTACACTGAGAACTTTTAGTTGGAGAGGCTCTTATTATTACATATCTACATGCAACCCACATAAACTGATCTGACGAGAACTTGTTTATATTTTTAGGATCGATACTGTTAACCTGATTGTACCTAATAGATATTTGTATTTATTATAAATTTACACTCTACCCACTTTTTATTGCCACTGCTGCACAGTAATTTGGTTTGAGATAAATACGGTTTTATCTTATTAGTAATTTATGGTTTTTCAAACTTTGCTCAAAGGTGAATTCAGCCGATATCAAAAATGATGTTTGGTGTTAATTTCTTTCACAAACGAAAATCATTCAACAACAACGGTGGTAGACAGAAAATGGCAACACAGATAAGGACACAGAAATGTATGAGACAAGCTGATATGATATGATTATCATCAGGTAATACATGTTACACAATCATGTCCACCTGCAGCTCCTGCTCCTCGGGAACTCTCAGTTTTCTGGCCTATGTCTGGTTCTAAATACTTGTGTTTTGCAGGTTGAGTGTTGACTCTTTCCCTCAGAAAAAGTTGCATTAACTAGAAAACGTCCAACTCAGCAAGCTGGGAAAGACACTGAAATGTGGCCAAAGAAAGTATGTGGACTTTGAGTTTAGATTATTGGCCATATTTTTAAAACAGCTGGAAGTCTGTTTCATTTCAATCAGTTCTATGCAGAAATAATTGCGTCTTCCTGTCAAAATAGATGAAGTGAAGAGAAGTTCTGCCTCAGCTCACCGTTTGGTCACTGTGTCCATGTCCACGCACACAGTGGGAACCTTGCTGCTGCAGTGCTGGTGGAATTTGTAGCCACATGTCTGACATCTGAAGCCGTTAAAAAGAAACTTGTGGCAAAAATCACAATAAGCCAGTTTGAAGAAGGTTTTCCGTACCTGCACGGATAAAGAAGACGCGGTCAAATATCAGGTACAACATCAAGCAAGCCACTTCCTGATCAGTTGGCAAATAAGAAGGTATTTGACTGAAGCCCTGAACGTGTGTACGTGTTGCCAGCTACTTACAAAGTTGTGCATGGTGAGGGGTATATCATCCAGGACCTCGACTAGAAGCTCCTCTCCAACCAGTGGAGTGATGTCTGTCTCCCAATCGGTGAGTCTCTTACGACTGGAGGGGCGAAGACATGAAAACCATAAGCACTTTTAAAAGCGTTAGACTTCCAAACCTACAGATTTATTTACATTGTGCCTCACAATGATGATCTCATGCACTTTATTTGGAGGTTGCCACTGATAAAGAAGGCCTAAGGTGCTGTCTGAGTAGGGGACTTCTCTGTGGATCTGTCACAGCATTTACAAATTCCCCAAATCAACATGATCAGTACAATGTTACTAATTTGATGATAGCCTAAACTATGAAAATGACATGCAGGAACTTCTCTTTAAAATAAATCACACACACACACACACGTAACTAGAGTGATGTAAATTCAGAATGTATGAATAACCAACACAATTTAAGTTTGCACCACACAGTCTGCCCTGAGTCATAATGTTCAATAAATATATCAACAGCACACCGTACTGAAGAACACCCGTATCTTAGACTTTAGCCAATTGCCTGATGTTGCCTCTTGATCTTCTATGTTGGCGATAGATTTTCCCTAAATGACATTCTGCAGACAACAATCAAATCCTACCCTTCTAGAAGGCGAAATACAGCACAGCAGTCTTGGCTCAGGCCTCTCACTTTGAGCGCTTTATCTAGACTCTCGTACACAGTCTGTCCTTGGCGAACATTCACCTGAGAACAGGAAACAGTATTTGGACAGATGGGACTTTGAAAGGACGAGCATTGAGTTATGAGGAGGAATGTTAGGAACCCTGAGAAGCAGAAATTACAGCTGCCAGTTGGGTTACCGGGGACGATTACTCGTGTTGTGACAGAACGTTTAGCAGAATACATCAGTAGTGTAGATGTTGCGTTCTTATTCCGAACAACGCAGAGCTCTTACTGACAACATAGCTGGATGGCAGACAACCACAGCTGCTTGGTTCATGGTTATATTACTGCAAATTGTATCACAATTACATAGTTTCTAACATAGTAACACGGAACAGATTTGATAAATAGTGCTGTCTGTTAATTTCCCACAAAAAGTGGAGCAGGAAAACAAAGAGCTCAGACGGATTCTGCAAACTACCCTTTTTTACTCTGTGACAGCAAACATTGCAGAGGAATCCACTCAGGTTTTCCCAAAAGGAGTGAAATAACATAGCAGGCCCGGCTGAGCTCACACAGTTTGCCAGTTTACAATAAAAAGACAGGAACAGCATGAGAAGCTTGTTGTTGCCACATCGTTCTAATAACAATGCAGAACCATTTTCACTAAGATAATAACTTGGCAAAGGAAAGGTCAAATCAGATTATTTGTATTTTTTCAGAATAGGAACACAACATCTACATATGAGAAGAATACATCTGTGAAATCTCACACCAAATGTGTCAAGCTTACTCATAACCACAATGTCATATTTTTGTGTTAATAATTAAACTGACAACCAACAGTGTGGGCGTCTTTTTTTTAGTCAGCAATCACTTATGAATTATTAATTAATCTTGTTCTAGCATTCTGACACTATTCTGTAAGAAGAATGTGTTTTTTAAACGTTCCGCCGCTTCACAGATTAAGAGCACCATTCAGACGACCATCTCACCACTGTCCTCTGTTTGTTGGGGAGGTAGACTCGGATGGTGCCCCCACCTCGGGGTACATCCTCCGGACTAGTCTCCCCTGAGGAGGAGTAGGAGGAGGAGGTGGAGGACATGATGAGCGGCAGGAAGAGACGGGACACGCAGCACTTAAGACAGCACAACCTCAGGAGAGCTTCATGCACAGTGGAATCCAGAAGAGTTCGGCCTTGCTAGTTTCCTGCAATGACACGGACATATTTCAGTGTAAATAAGGTTACTGCTGACATTATGATGCTACCATGTGTAGAGCATGTAGAGGCCTCGCCTCAGTAATCAGCCACAATAAAACAACATTAAGCACAAAGCCCCATGACAGCGTATATGATTGTAAAAAAAAAAAGCTTTAAAAAAAAAAAAGCACATCGAAAAGCTATAATTATCTACATTAAAATGAGTTTACATACTATAAATAATGTGCAAACACATTATACACAAACACACGTTATGACGGAGAGGGTTGAGCACACTCACTTCTGGCAGAAGAGTTTTTTGAATGATTATTTTAAGTTACAATGAGTGATAAACAGTATGGCAATGTGGATGGACAGTGGACAAGTTCATGCTGAGGAAGGATCACAGTTATTATACAGCAGATAAAACATTGTCACTGACGAAGAACAGCTGATTGCCCAAGTTTGGAATTATGTCTGACGACACGGGACAGAAGCACACCTGCCATTACCCGGTATCAACCTAAACGATGCCTGCGGGACCTCGCACCGGTCAAACGACCAATTCATCTAACTAAATAACATGAATTTAACGTGTTGTGCCGATCATCATATCCATGCAGGATTGGAGCGCTGACAATCAAAGAAGCAACCTGCTAACTACTCGCATGCTAATCCTACCCAACGTTAGCCACTTAGCTTAGCCTGGGATTTGCCTGCGATGCAATATGACATTTGGAGGTTTGGAAGGCCATGTTTCTCTCGAGGCGGCAGTCAGACGATAACCAACTTACTATTTGTAAATGTAGAATGGTAGTTATTGGGTTAAAGGTGACTCGATAGCAATATAGCGTCATGACAATGCTAACTATTAAAGTTTTCAACCTCTATTCGTCTCAGAACGAGTCGCGCTGCGCGTGCTAACGCTAGCTGGCTAACTGCTGCCTGTAAGAGAGGAGATTATCTGGCTGGCGTGAACTCGGAGGCTAGTTTATCACACTTTAATGTCCAGGGCTCCATGCTACTTCCAGCCAGCTAACATTAGCCACTTTGGGGGGTTTACCACCGTGTCAGCTTGTTGGATCACTTTAGCGGTCTTCCCACAATATACAGCGGCTACTGAATTCAGTTGACACGAGCCGAACAGCACGCAACAGCCGTTGACGTACATCCGCGAGGACCCCAGCGGACGCCTCTTCCGCCAGTGTGTTTAACGCACTTTGGATAGAAGTTGAACGCTTACCTGTTGCAGCCATCTTGAATTCTTTCAAGCCGTCGCCGAAGTCGGATCTGTCAAGAACTTCGGCGAAAGCGGAAAACCTCCGAAACGCGCGTCCCTCATTGGTCCGTTCTCAGCTGCGCGAGGCGAGCGCCGCACGCGCTGCAACGCCCGCGAGACCCGGCGCGGGGCGCCAGTTCACCGTCACGTGTGTCCCGCGCGCCGCGCCGTCACCGCGCAGATCGGCTCTGTGATTACAGCAGCGAGGGGAGCGAATGATGGTAGTTGGTGTCGATGCGGATCGTTCGCTTGGGAATTCCAGATTATAAAGCGGGAAAGCAGCGGGACAGCGCGCGCGCGCGCACACTCCCGCGCGGCAGGTGGCGCTGTGCAAAGCGCTCCGCTTTGAACCGAAGAAGAAGACCGCTGTCCCAGCGTGCACTGCTGCTCCGGCGCCCGACGTTACCAAACCGGGCAGACGGGATGCCGCCGGGGCTTTGTTTCCGCCGCCACTAGGTGCTGTTCAGCGGACAGGCTCTCCACGATGAGCGCCATGCGGACCATCCTGAGCTCCGGGGCGCTGGTCGCCGTGCTGGGGCTCGGCTACGGGATGTGGGCCATCATATCTCCGGGAGAAGAGCGGCGCAGAGAGCTCATCAAGGTGATTCCCCGAGTAATAACTGTGTGTGTGTGTGTGTGTGTGTGTGTGTGTGTGTGTGTGCGTGTGTGTGTGCATGTCAATAAAACAAGCCTCGTTCAAACAGGAACAATTCATCGTTCAACACGTTCTATGACTTCAAGGACAATTTACTGTCATTATGCAACACGGGGTCGCACAGCCACATGCAGTCAGAGAAACACGACAAAAAGGGTTTCACCTTCCATTGAATCGCTTAATGCTCCAGTGCATCGCGTCATGAACAAAACCATCAGGTCTACATGCTAACATCAAACATCCAACATCATGGGAGCAATCCGTGTTGGTGTACTGGTGTGCAATGGCAACAGACTCCCATCCTACGATGGGTTATTTGTGGAGGATGATGAGAGGAGACTCCCAGCCGGAGGAGACACGCTGCTCTATATTGATAGCTGGAGGTCCTGTGGACGCGGGGCGGTGAGCTGTCCCGTGTGGACGCGGGGCGGTGATCTGTCCCGTGTGGACGCGGGGCGGTGAGCTGTCCCGTGTGGACGCGGGGCGGTGATCTGTCCCGTGTGGACGCGGGGCGGTGAGCTGTCCCGTGTGGACGCGGGGCGGTGATCTGTCCCGTGTGGACGCGGGGCGGTGATCTGTCCCGTGTGGACGCGGGGCGGTGAGCTGTCCCGTGTGGACGCGGGGCGGTGATCTGTCCCGTGTGGACGCGGGGCGGTGAGCTGTCCCGTGTGGACGCGGGGCGGTGATCTGTCCCGTGTGGACGCGGGGCGGTGATCTGTCCCGTGTGGACGCGGGGCGGTGAGCTGTCCCGTGTGGACGCCGGGCGGTGAATCGTTGCTTACATTCGTCTGCCTCTGCCACCCATCAGAATCTGCCTGAGTCGAATCCGGTGAGGATGGAAGAGACGAGGAGGAGGAACGTCCTGGTGATGCAGGCGCTGAAGGAGGCCGCCGAAACCAGCGACAACATTGCACGAGGATTTGGAGGACCTCCCAAATAGAGCGGCGCTGCGACCCGCTTGGAAAGGCTGCGTGTATTAAATGCCGCCGGCATGCAGGATCAGATGAAGATGGACATTGTGGGATTTTACTGGGAGATTGTTGTCTGATTGTGAAAACAATTTACCGTCGGATGTTAAAGTTGTTTATTAAAACTCTCAACGCAACCATGATTTCAGTCTCCGTTATGATCAGCTTCTATTCAATATAATTCCATTTATTTGATATAGCTCAAAGTGACAAATATGCCTCATAAGGCTTTACGCTCTGTACACATGCAGCATCCTCTGTCCTGGGACCCTCAGTGGTTCATTGGAAACCTGTTTCGCTGTTAACTGACAGTAACACAAACTGAAGAACGAAAGGAGGAGGAGCAATATCAGCGCCGTAACCACGGTTACGTGTCCAGGTTTTCACAGGCGTGTGAGTGTAGTGAACGCCGAGTGGCCTTTTTTCTCCCAGAATCAATTAAAATATATACATTTAAAACATTAAAGATGGAGAAAAAACCCCACATCACTCAGATTATATTTATTAGTTTATTCATGTTAATAAATATTTGTCAAACATTACTTAAAATGACCTCTCGTCTTATGAGGGAAGAGCCTGATCCGAGAGTTGCATGTACGAAATAAATGCCCTCCATTGTAGATCAGTTGAGTCCCTGAGGGGTCAGGGTTCAGAGGGGACATCGGGATTGGGCCTTAGTCAACAGGGTGAAAACAAACTAGGATGATGTGAAAATGGTGACACAGGGCCAGTTTTCAGAACAGCAGAGCAGATGTCCTTTTTCAGGTATTATAGAATATTCCAATGATGGCAGCTGCGTTCCGTGGGATAGCCGCACATAGTGGGGTCAAAGGTGATGAAATGCTAAAGAAAGGATGGTGGTTTAACCAGGTCAGAGGAACGTGGGGAATGAGGGAGGAGGAGGACGGATTAGAAGGTGAAATCAAGTCCTAGACGTGGACACGCTGAGCGTAACAAGATGCATCTAAAAGTAGGAAAACAGACAAATCAAAGTATTGTAACAATAGAAGACTTTTTTTGAATGTCACAAATACGAGCCTATCGATGTCTATCACTGCTTCTGTATCTTTCACGTGGTTTTTTAACCGTTTAGTGAGTGCAACGCAGTACCGAACGTCCCCATCCTCCCTCCGCACCAGCGAGCGGCGGTAATGCGCCACCTCGCTGCTTTGCCGACCAACCAGCGACCTGAGCGGGGAGCGAGAAGAGCGAGAAGAAGACGGAGAAGAAGAAGAAGAAGGAGGGAATTCAAACGCCGCCGCCGTGTCTCCACCTCTCCTCAAACGCGTTACTAAAGCAGCAGCAGCAGCGGTCCGCGACTGTCTCTACAGCCCGTGTCTGGCGTGCGTGGAATAGAAGGACAACCGTCGGCAGCATGATGGTGACTCTCCCGCAACGCGTACCTGCGCAGCGGGGCGCCGTGAGGGACTCGTGCTACGTGGTCCGCGCTGGATTCATACAACGCTGTCGACATTTCGGAATTTTTTTTTTTTTTTTTTTTGGACAAATATATTGGCCATTTTGTTTTTGTGTCCCCTCCCCCAACGGATTCCCACAGTGCACGTTGAGAGAGTTATCATTGGTTTAAAATACATGATGAAACAAAACGTTATTTTTAAAATGTAAAACGTACGGTCTGTGCTGTAACCTGGAGGATAAGGCCATGGCTGCTTGGTGCATCCTTTGTCTTGTAGAAAGTTGACTGGTCTTTGCTTCTCCGCTCTACAGCGCGAGTGTATTTCTATGCATGTCGGCCAAGCCGGGGTCCAGATGGGCAATGCATGCTGGGAGCTCTACTGCCTGGAGCACGGCATCCAGCCGGACGGACAGATGCCCAGCAACAAGAGCCGAGGAGGAGGAGACGACTCCTTCAACACCTTCTTCACTGAGACCGGCGCCGGGAAACACGTTCCCAGAGCTGTGTTTGTGGACCTGGAGCCAACCGTCATAGGTGGGTTCTGTTAGTGATGGGGGGGGGGTCCATATTCCACCTATTTTCATTTCAGTTCCACTGCATCCGAAGTCCTGAGGAGAGCGGAAACCTTGTTGAACGCCTGCGTTGCTAAAAAGCACCTGTCGTTGATCTGCAGATGAGGTTCGCTCAGGAACCTACCGACAGCTCTTCCATCCCGAGCAGCTGATCACTGGAAAGGAGGACGCCGCCAACAACTACGCCCGCGGCCACTACACCGTGGGCAAGGAGATCATAGACGTGGTCCTCGACAGGACACGCAAACTGGTTAGCGCTGATGCTCTATATAAACTTCTTCCAAATGTCGTATTTTGTGATGGAGACCTCAAAAAACGTGTGTTGTGTTGTGTTGTCTCTTCAGTCCGAGCAGTGCACCGGGCTGCAGGGCTTCCTCATCTTCCACTCCTTTGGAGGAGGAACCGGCTCTGGCTTCACCTCCCTGCTAATGGAGCGCCTGTCTGTTGACTACGGCAAAAAGTCCAAGCTTGAGTTTGCGGTCTACCCGGCCCCCCAGGTGTCCACAGCCGTGGTGGAGCCCTACAACTCCATCCTGACCACCCACACCACCCTGGATCACTCCGACTGCGCCTTCATGGTGGACAACGAGGCCATCTACGACATCTGCCGCAGGAACCTGGACATCGAGCGTCCCAGCTACACCAACCTGAACCGGCTGATCGGGCAGGTCGTTTCCTCCATCACGGCCTCCCTGCGCTTCGACGGCGCCCTCAACGTGGACCTGACCGAGTTCCAGACCAACCTGGTGCCCTACCCCCGCATCCACTTCCCCCTGACCACGTACGCTCCCGTTATCTCCGCGGAGAAGGCCCATCACGAGCTGCTCTCCGTGGCCGAGATCACCAACGCCTGCTTCGATCCGGCCAATCAGATGGTGAAGTGCGACCCCCGCCACGGTAAGTACATGGCCTGCTGCCTGCTGTACCGCGGCGACGTGGTGCCCAAGGACGTCAACTCCGCCATCGCCAACATCAAAACCAAGCGCAGCATCCAGTTCGTGGACTGGTGCCCCACCGGCTTCAAGGTGGGCATCAACTACCAGCCCCCCACCGTGGTGCCCGGGGGCGACCTGGCCAAGGTGCAGCGGGCCGTGTGCATGCTGAGCAACACCACGGCCATCGCCGAGGCCTGGGCGCGACTCGACCACAAGTTCGACCTGATGTACGCCAAGCGGGCCTTCGTCCACTGGTACGTGGGGGAGGGGATGGAGGAGGGGGAGTTCTCCGAGGCCAGGGAGGACATGGCCGCCCTGGAGAAGGATTACGAGGAGGTGGGCGCCGACAGTGTCGGAGACGAAGAGGAGGAGGAGGGCGATGATTATTAACTAAAATAAACGAATATATAAATCCTCGTTCTCCAGTATTTCATTCTGCACATTCTACATTATCACATTCTTTCATATGAAAACTATAAAATGATACTTTTCACTTCAACGGGCAGCAGATTCTCCAACGACGGCAGGAAGAACATCCGCAGTGGTTTGGTGTCCATTTTAAAGATGGACATTTGGAAAGTGAGTGATTTGATCCACTGCAGTACGGACAGTGTCGGCCCACAATTCCATCCTCAAATGTGAAGGCGGCACCGTCTCCAGGTAAAAGGTCGTCGCCCCACAACAGATGTCCCCCTGCATGGAAATAAATAAAACGTAGCTGCTGAATCCCTTTGCTCTCCCTCTGTCGGCGTGTTTTGTCAAAGCAACTGGACCAACGTTCAGGGAGAAGGCGTAACCTGTACGTCACTATGGTGGCTCCGCTGTCCACTCAGCCGGGGGCCAGGACCGGGAGCTGGACCCCACAGGCTGCCGTGGAGACGGATCGGGCCGCTGAGCTCTGCTGCAACCCGGAGCAGGAAGATTGAGCGGCGATGACGAGGAGCACCGCCAGACATGTCGGCGTGCACTGGATGAATCCGGTGACCGTCGTCTCACAGGGTTTTTTGTTTAGTCTGGTTAGAGTTTTGATTCCTACAGCTAGTAACGCTAGCAAACCTAGAGGAGGAAATCGATGGTGGTTCCATCTGATGGTGGTTCCATCTGATGGTGGTTCTACCTGATGGTGGTCCTGCTGTACACCTGTTTACTACTCACAATTATTTGAATCATTTCTGTTATAGGAATTGAATGTAACATACATTTAAATAGTTCATTCTGTACACATGACATCATTGTAGTCTGTCCATCAGGAGACGGATCCTCCTCTGACGTCCTCGCTGAGGGTTCTTAGTTCCTGTGCTGATGTGAGGGTTTCGGGACAGAGGATGTCTCATGTGTACAGACCCCTCTGAGGCAAATTTCGAATTTGCGATTTTGGACTATACAAAATAAAATTAAATGAGTAACTTCATATTAATATGGTCAAAACAAAGTATCATGTTATTCCCTTACCACTCCCTGCATGTATATGTACACACATACTTGTGTTCTACTTCTATAAATCTCCTCAATGTTATTCATGTGTTCAGTCGGCCTTTCTGAACTACTGGTCATCTCCATACATTGTTGAAGGTCTCACTTGACACAAAATCAGACATTTATTAAATACTTGCGAGCATGGGGAGGACATTGTGTGTTCAAAGAGCACCGACTGTGTGTCACTAAAGCTTTCTCTGCATATCCACCGTGACTGGACAGTCTTTGATGTTCAACCCATCTGCAGAACCAGTCAAAGGTTTGGACACACATTCTCAATGAGTCTTTATTAACCAAACGTTCTCTGTATGCAGCTGAAGAGTGGAGAGGGAGCGCCGCAGGGTTGGCGGTTCGAACCCCGGCTGCTCCATGTCCCATTTCAAAGTGTCCCTGAGCAAGACACCCAGCGCCTACCCTAAAATAATACGAAAATGGGCTTCTTCTCCCGGGAAAAAGTCCTACTGTGAAAACCTTTAAATAATTTGTCATTAATCAACACTTTACTGAGCTCAGGTAAGTGTTGCAAAGGTTACATTTGGTGCAGCCAACTAACCTGGACTACAAAGAAAGACGAAATGCAACTATTCCAACAGGGCATCATGAGTTGTCCTTATCAGCTCCTTCCCGTGGAGGATTCTCTACGTCGTGTGCAGAGAAGCCAAGATGCAAACCGACTCCAGCCCTTGAACTCGCTGAGGTGCTTCTACAGGTCGTAGTAGATCCTACTGCTGTCAAAGTTTGCTTTGTAGGCCAGTAGGTCCTGGGCAGGGAACTTGTCATCCTTGCCGGTCCACACCGTTAGCGTGTACCTGTGTAGGACAACGGCAGCATTAAACAGACCTGTGAGGTGGTAACAAATGTCAGAAAGAAGTATCCATTCATCCATCGAGGTACCTTGTTCTCTCACTCACAGCGTGCGACCCCCAGTGGACGTTTTAGGAATAGCAGCTACTTTTATAGAAATGCAATTTATGTCTCTCTGTAATTCTCACAATAGCAGAGTCATCCGGCGGGCCGCACTGGACCCCCCCCCCGCCGGCCGGATTTGACCCGCAGGCCTCGAGTTTGACCCATGTGCATTAATGCATCACTAACTATAATCCGATGTATATTATTCTGAAATGGAGCATTCTTTATAATGACTAAATTTACCTTGCTTACTTATATTTTAATACATGAGCTTTACTAGAATGAGAGGCGTTCCAGAGCAGCATGAGGGTCCACCGAGTGGACCCGGGCGGACATTCACACTACTGTGGGAGGTAGAGAGCTGAATGTAAAGGACGCGAGGATCATCCCTTGTCCCTCCACTAGCTCCACTAAAAAAAAAAAAAATTAGTTCATGCGTTTGTCACTTCCAGACTGGACTACTGTAATTCTTTGTTATCAGGCTGCTCTTATAAATCTCTTAAGCCTCTCCAGCTGATTCAGAATGCTGCAGCACGTGTATTAACAAGAACTAAGAAAAGGGATCATATCACTCCTGTATTAACTTCTCTGCACTGGCTCCCTGTTAAATCAAGAATAGATTTTAAGGTACTTCTCCTCACCTACAAGGCACTTGCTGGTGAGGCACTGTCGTATCTTCAAGAGCTTGTAACACCGTATTGCCCTACAAGGCAACTGCGCTCCATAGATGCTGGGTTACTTGTTGTTCCTAGGGTTTTAAAAAGTAGGCTGGGGGCCAGAGCCTTCAGTTATCAAGCTCCTCTTTTGTGGAACCGGGTTCCACTTTCAGTCCGGGGGGCAGATTCGGTCAGCTCTTTTAAAGTAAAACTTAAAACGTTCCTCTTTGATTCTGCCTATAGTTAGGGCTGGCTCAGGTTAGTCCGGACCAGCCCTTAGTTAAGCTGCTATAGGCTTAGAATGCCGGGGGAATTCTTAGGACACACCAAGCTCCTCTCTTACGCTCTCGTTCTACCATAATTCAAGTTTTATTGATGCACATGACTAATTCAGCTTCTTTCCGGGAGTTTTTTTTGTGCTTTCGCCCCTATCAGGTCTCCATAGATCGTGGTTCCTTCTGGACCCTGGTCCTGACACCTACCGTGGCCATGCTGACGCCTGCTGCTGCCATCATCATCATCATCATTATTTTAGATATTAATCATATTACTTTACTCATAAACCGACATTACCCTCTCCTAAAATCTCTGTGCTCTCCCTCCCCACAGGATTCTGTGGATGGTGGTTCTATGTGATGGTGGTTCTATCTGATGGTGGTTCTATCTGATGGTGGTTGCCCCTGCAGTGGTCCTGCTGTGCGCCTGGCTTACTACTCACAATTACTTGAATCATTTCTGTCATAGGAATTGCATGTATTATACATTGTTCATTCTGTACACATGGCATCCATTGTAGTCTGTCCATCCCGGGAGTGGGATCCCTCCTCTGACGTTCTCCCTAAGGTTTCTTCCCTTTTTTCCCTCTTGTAAGGGTTTTTTCATTTTTTGGGGAGTTTTTCCTGTGCCGATGGTGGGTTTCGGGGCAGAGGATGTCGTATGTGTACAGACTGTAAAGCCCTCTGAGGCAAATTTGTAATTTGCGATTCTGGGCTATACAAAATAAAATGACTTGACTTGACTTGACTTGACTAGCTTGTCTAGGTTTTCAACCATCAATAAAAGGATAAAACAGCCCGTGTTAATCCTCACCTGTCCGACTGCTGGAGCAGCCATGAGAGCTGGGAGAAGGACGCGGCCAGCAGCGCTGCACGCACCGGGAAGGTGACGGGGTGCTCGAGGGCTCTACAGATCTCCTCCATCGTACGCACCATATCCCAGCTGTACCCTGGGAAATAGTCAAACCACACCAGTCACCATGCACGCCTCTTCTAGCGTTCTCCACCCTAAAAAGAGTCCCCATAGACTTCTGTGCCCCCTCCGGCAGCAGCTCCACGTCTGGATGTCAAGAGCCGAGCTCACGCTCATCAGGCGCAGAAGTTACTCTCCTTGACCTGCACAGAGCCTCAGCAGATGGAGCTTCATGTGAAGGACACGGGCTGTCTGGATCCGCAGACCTCCACATGTGGTTGTGCTCGTCTTCCAGCTGGAGTCATTCTGTGTCTTTGCTTGGACCTGATGCTTAAGGTTTAGAGCAGAGCTGCATCAGGGACGCTCGTGTCTCTCTGGAGCTTTGGTGAGCAGGTGGTCAGCGCTGGTGGTCACCATGGTAACAAGAATGAGACAACAGTGTAATGTTTTGCCTCTAGGTGGTCCACCTTCACCCTAATAAGCTGCTTCAAGGATTTAAGCTTCTGAAAGCTGCTCAGCAGCACCCTGAGAGCTCGCTAACAATACAGAAGGGTTATAACACTATTACATCATACTACATGCAATGTAACAAAAAACCAACACATGCAAACACAGCGAGTGGCGCTGAAGTGTCTTCACCTGCGTTGTCTGTCCCCGCCGTCCACCCCGTGGTCCAGCCCAGTGACAGCACGGTGTGTGGAGGCAGCGTGCTCACAGACGAAAGGAAAGCCAGGGGGTCCAGAGGTGAGGCCAGCCCCCCGGGGCCAGGGAGGACGTCTGCGTTGACCCACACAGGACGGTTGGACCGATACACGTCCTCCAGCAGAACGACGGACGGAGACACCGCCTCCAGGCTGAGCGGAGAATACACCAGCGTCGGCAAAATACACAACGCCGCGGCGAATCCAGCGGGCAGAAGACGCGTCTCACCTCTTGAAATCCAGTTTTACTCCCTTGTCAGAACCCCCCAGTGCTTCCAGCCACTCTTTCAGCGTGATGTCGCTGTCCGTGTCAGGGGGGTGGGCCATGATCGGCTCTTTGGGGTCCGCACCTCGGATTATTACGTCCGCCTCCATCATGTGAGTGGGGCCTGAGGGGGAAGGTCGGCGGTCAAAACTTTTAACAATGAACTGCTGTATTGAATCAATTGTTCTACTTTGACTGTAATGTCGAATGAGATTTCTTATGTGGAGCAAAACACTCGACTAGATCTCCACTCTCTGCTGTCCTGCTCCTAAATGGTGGAAGGAGGTCTCTGAAGACACCAGGACCACAGAGAGCCTTCACGTCTTCAGACTAAAGACACACCTCTTCAGACTCTACCTCCCCCACCCATGCAGACATATGCCCCCACCTGTCAGCGCCTCCGCCAGCCTGCTCCTGCTGTTGACCGCGTGCGACCACGTGACGTCGGCAGCGTCCCTCCTCCGTCCGTGACGGAGGCTGAAGTACCGCAGCGTGTGGTCCGACATCCTCCCTGCGGGCGGATAACTACGTTATAAAGTCTTCCTCAGAGCTCCATGATCAGCAACTTTGAGCTCCCTCTTCCTCTTCTTCCTCTTCCTCTTCTTCTTCTTCTTCTTCTTCTTCTTCTTCTTCTTCTTCTTCTTCTTCTTTCTCTTCTCTTCCACACGGCAGCCGGCATCCATCATGTTGCGTTGCTGCCACCTTCTGGAAGTAAAATATGTCTGTAGGTCATAGGATCATGATCACAGCGCATGAGACATTCTTGAAGTCTATCAAGCTGGCTGGTCTCTTCTGCTTTTATTGATAGATACAACTGAATATCGTCTGCATAACAATTCATGTTTATGCTGTGTTTTCTGCTAACATTGCCTAAAGGAGATATATATATATATGGTAAAAAAAAGGTCCAAGCACAGAAGCTTGTGGGACTCCGCCACCGACATTGGGGGTCATCGAGGATTCATCGTTTATAAACATAAACTGGGATCGATCAGATGACTTCTTTGAATATCAATCCAATGCTCGTCCCTGCACCAGGATTTACTGATCAATGACGTCAGACGCAGCCCGAGGAGACAAGAATAGAGACGAGACCCTCGTCGGATGAATGCAGGGGGGCATTCATGATTTTAATTAGCGCGTTTGCACTGTGTTATGCTATGCGAGTATGAGGTGGTTAGTATTCTTTGTCTGGTCCACCTTGTGAGGCAGGCCCCTCTCGGAGGTCAAAAAAGACAAATACCTGCTTTATTAAATCAACTTTGTAATCTCCAACAAATCCCAATGCAATCACAGTGGGAATAACATATAATATTGGATTGAATGGAGACCCAAAGTTTTCCACCTAACAGACTGAAACCACTTCAGTGAGTTCCACTCGAAATCTGCTGATTACTAGAAAATCTCTCGCCCCATAAATCCCTCCTTCTCTCCACGCATCACGTCGTCAATGCAGGCCTCCATACAGCCGACGTGGTCACTGCGTTCCCTCCTGCGTCATGCATTCATTCTGCTCTGATTGAGACTGGACCCTCCATAACTCCGATAACCACTAGGAGACCAGTCTTATAAATGTTACTCATTAAGTTAACTTGGAGTCGATTTATTTAAGCCGGAACATTCTTCATTACATGCGCATGTTTCATTAAGACAAAATAGATTGTATGATTAGTTAACCTTCTTTTACCAGAGTTTGTTTGATGTTCACCAGAAATTCAGCCCTGCAGGTAGTAATCTCCAGTCAAAAGTAGGTCAAATTATTATTTATAACTTTCAATACCACAATATTCTGTAAAATATTCTGTGAAAACACAGAGTTTGGTTGCTCCATCACACTTTATTTCTTGTTGACAATGAAAGAAACGTATGATAGTGCTACCCAAATGTTTATTGATTGAGCCAATCACAGATTTGGAACCATCGGGATGAAAACAATCCTCAGAGCCAGTCTGAGTGAATCGTAGGCCGCATGTGATGACTTAAGGTCAGATGTAGCTGCGCGCCTCATCAGCCCAGTGTGTAGGTATAATGGAGGGTGCCCCCTTTCTTCAGGAAGCAGTCATGCGTATGTGTTCCCAGTTTGAGTTGACGCTGGCAGACTCCCAGCTGGTCGTCTAAGAGGATGTCACTGTCGTGAACCTCCAGCTTCATCACGTCATTCTCCTGGGCCTTGTAAGTGGTGAACTCCTCCTCCCACCAGGGGTTTTTGTTGTTGTTGCGCACAGATGTTTCACCGAGATCGGCGGAGCCGCAGAACACTTTGACATAAGCGTCTGGATTCCCCAGGATGTTGGTGTAAAGGTCGCTGGCCCGCAGGTTGAACAGCTTCAGCTGAGCATCAGTGAGAGTCAGGCTGCACAGGACCAGGAGCAGCAGGGGACGAGTGGACGCCATGGCTGCACAGGCCGCTGTGGAGGAGCAAACGCTGCACAGGAGACACGGATTCACACTTATCAACCTTTTGAGTGGTGTCATGACACATCCTTAGCTGAATCCTCCGGTGCCTGCACCGTTTGACCCCCCTCAGACGTCACCATGTGCAGAATTTTGGATCCGTACTCTGCAGCACCTGAGCTATCTGCCATACAATAATAGTGTCACACTGAACCTTATCTTACTAACCTACTGTGTGTGGTTAGTTACGGTGTGACCTTTTTGTTTCAGATATCCCTCCCAACACTGTTAGAAACCCATCATAACAATTACCAAAAATCTGTGTGAAAAAATACATGATTGACATTTGAGATTGTTACTAAAATAAGTTATAATTGTAGGAGGGATTTCTTTTTCATGGCGAAGATGGAGGATCCACCAATGTAATTGAATAGTTGGTAAACTTTGGGAGATCATTTTATTATTTACCTTATTTTAATGTTGGTCAAGATAAGGAAATATGCTAGTAAATAGAGCAGTATAACATCCAATTTTAAAAGGATGTTTAAAAATAAACCCTTAACGGCATCGTATAATCCCTTAAAGATAAAAGCTTGGCACACATTCACCCTCACTGTCCATGACTCACAGGAGTGTAATCATCTGCTGAGAGTGGGAAAATGTAGCACGATCACAGCTGTATTTGAAAAAAGGAAAGGGCCTTCGTTCAGTTCCAAGGCATGACCAGCCGTTTATTTCACTAAGAAACAAGTTAACGTGAAACTGGACCTTTTGAAAGTGTGAATTTATGTATTTTCCTGTCTGCTTATCAGTATTGGTCACAGTGGACAGAAATAAGAATTTAGAGCCGCTTCAGAAAACTGGTCCATTGTGTTTTATAACTTTATTATATTATATTTTAACTACAACTAGCCGTCCTTTTAATAACGTCATCACACTGTGAAGTTTGAATTTTAATGAGGTGTTTCAACTGTTCATTATTAATGACAACAAAATGAGCAGATATACCAGATGGTGAGACCTCAATAACTTGATCAGAGGTGATGAAGATATCCACACTCTTCATCGCTCCAGAAACAATTTTACAAAATAGCGTATGGGCATGGGTTAGTTTGAAGAAAGTAAAATGATACAAATGCTCTACGAAATCCAAAGTACAGTAACAATGTTAGGTCTTACCTGTAGTCTTGAAACGTTGTCTCGTCTCGTAGGCGTTCCCGTGTGTTTTTAAAGGCCAGCATATCAGCTTCATCGAACCCTCCCACGAATAAACACTCAGCGTTACACAACATGACGGATTTGAGACTTTTGGTTGGGTTGGAGTTGTACTCAATTTATATTTAGATATTTATATAAAATTATGCTATTAATCATCAGCTTTTAAATTTGAATAAATACTCCTATAATGAAGAAAGGTTCTTCTCATTACAATGCTAATAAGGGATTGATTCAAACATTTGAAAATGATATGTCTGAAAGCTTTTACACTTTTTAATCTTAAAATGTAGTTAATTCACGTGTAAAATGATGATGATGAAAATTGGGGTCAGACGGTGGATAACCTGACATGGATAGTGCGGTATATTACATTTAGTTATATTGTTGTAGCAGTACAACTGCTTTTTGGACCTCAGTGAACACGGCCTCTTTGTTGTGGTTGTAGCGCCCACGCGCTGTACGCGTGGGCAGAGATCGATGGCCGAATAAAGGAGTGAACGCTACGCAACATGTAGTCTGAATTCAGGTCTAGGGGAAAAGAGCGGGAAACCTAACAAAGACAGGAAGTAATCTGGTTCTAAATTTCTTAAATTTCCCTCTTTGAGGGTTATACCAAGGAGCAAACTTCTTTGGAGTTATTATCTAGAGGATCAACTGAGTCCAGTGTCATTCGCAGACAGCTTGTGGCACTATTGACAAGATGATCAATCTTGGATGAACTGAACTCTTCAGTGGAGTTGACTGATATTGAGACACAATGCTGAACTCAAAACCGAAGGAATCACTATGTAGCTGTGATGGAGCTACTACCGCCGGGTTTGTTGAAGGATGCACGGGTCTGCTTATCAATATCCTTTATTTTATTTTGCAGTGATCAGGTTTGTGGCTTTGTTGCTCCGCTCCCCGGACTTGCCCCTGAGCGTCTGCTCCAGTCTCTCCAAGTCCTGCTCACAGTTTTTACAGGGGAGACAATCAGTCAGGATGTTGCTCAGCTGTGCTTGTTAACTACCTGCTGGCACCATTCCCTGAACCACTCCCCCGCTCTCCCCTCTGCAGCTGAGCTAACCACACCTCGCGACCACATACCCCCAACCGCCTGACTTAGGCCTGTGGGCGGGAGAGGAAGTCCGCCACGACCTTCTACGTCCCTGGCCTATGGACAACCTTGAAGTTAAAAGGCTGTAGAGCCAGTTACCACCGAGTGATCCGGGCATTGGTATCCTTCATGGGGTGGAGCCACTGCAGTGGTGCATGTTCTGAACATAGGGCGAATTGGCGTCCCAGGAGGCAGTACAGCAGGGAGTCGACCGCCTACCGGATGGCCAGGCACTCCTTCTCCCCAGTACTGTACCTGGCCTCTCTCCCTCTGATAGTTTCCGGCTGATGTAGAGGCCTGGGCGGTCCACCCCCTGCACCTGCCGGGACAAAACGCCCCCCAGCCCTCTGTTCGACGCATCAGTCTGCAGGATAAAAGGGAGAGAGAAGTTAGGCTCTCTGTGGGGAACCACTGCCCCATACACCTGTTTCACCCCCTCAACCGCCCACTGGCACCGCTCCGTCCACTGGACCAGATCTGAGGCACCTTTCTGGGTCAGGTCAGTCAAGGGGCTGGTCAGCTCCGCAAAGCCATGGATGAACCTCCTGTAGTAGCCCACCACCTCCAAAAACTGCCTCACCTCTTTTTTTGTCTCAGGCAGGCTGCGATAGTCTTGTCCACTTGAGGGCGCACCCTCCGCCCAACTGCACACTTCCCCGGGTTAGCGGTGAGCCCGGTCAAAATAAAAAATGCCAAGGGGCAAAAACGCAGACACAAACGGGGACCGGGAACTCACAAGACATTCAGGGAATGACATTCAATGACGCGACCAAGGACGAACGACACACAGGGCTTAAATACACTGGGAAGGTACAGGTGATTGGACACAGGTGGAAACAATCAGACACAGCAGACAATCACAGGGGATGACAGGACAAGGCAGGAAGTGAAGTAACCAAGGGACACAAG